AAAAATTTCTTTTTAATCGTTTAATACAGGCATTTTGATGTTGCGTGCTGAAATACGAAACAGAAATTTGAATATATCATGCCTTAATATTACTGATATCTTCGATTGCGTGCGATCAATTTAATAATATAAGTCTAGTGATTGATAATTATTTGAAAATAACAGTAACATGTTTCACTTTTAAAAATGCTAGTTACTTTTACCATAATTTTACCATATTTTAATATATTCAGTAACTATTGTTGAAAAGTGACTCCTCAGTATTGGTAAGCATTTTTAATGCGTCGTCCGTCACTCTAATTTTAGCGAATTCTATTTTTGTATCAAGTTGCTAAAACAGTTTAATAAATGTACAAAGTTTTTAATAGTATCTTGAACTCTGAATCAAATAGTTCAACCTCGCGTGAGAATGCTTTATCTATGAAGATGGCATATTTTCGTGCAAAGGAATTCTTTCCGTTTTCGGACATTTGTTTAATTAGTATAGTGTACGTGCAGTTATTTACCACGCTTGCACGCAAGACCAATCCTTCGGCAGATATATAGCGGTCGGTAGTATGCTTTCAAAACAGCATGGTATTGAGCAGTAACCACAGGTTTGATCACAGGTTGTGGTGTTTGAGTTCCGAGAAATTTTGGCACTCGTATGTGAATCTTTGGATATATGTAATGTGTGTTTCTAAAGATACAAGAATATTAAAAATAAGTTGGTATATATTTGCTCCAGGTGTAAAATAAACCGTTTTGGAGTTAATTCGATGATTTAAATTTAAAACTTTTAACGATAAAATGAATATCGGTTTTTCAACAAATCACGTCCAAGGTACGAACTAATAGGAGGTGTGTGAGAGGTTTAACTTTTCACAAATGCAATTTATATTATTTTTTTTTTCTAATCTTAATATTATTTCGTTTTTAATATAATTTAGAAGTAATACTACAAATAAATCTCTCAGTTATTTCAAACGATTGGTGTTTTATAAAGTTTCAGTTTCGAGGTTTGTGGTCTTTTTGTCTGATGAGCAGAAAATTAATGCGACTACTATACTATACGCATACACACAAGGTGGTCTCTGTCGTGAGTGGGGTTTGTATTTCTCTGGAATGAATTCTTTACGCTCAGATGTTACCCCGCTTTGCTTGGAAATAACATATCGTATTGGGTTTTCATTGTGGGGTCATGTGTCCGTGATCAGTTCGTTAAGCTATCCTTTATAACTAGGATTAATTCTCTAAAGAACGTGATACCACGATATCTATTAATTAAAACTAACTATAAGCGAAATAGGGTTTCTTACATTCAATTGATTGTAAATCCGTTGTTTATGTTACAATACCCTGGTACCCTTTTTTTGGCATGAAGGGCAGAATATATTCTTTTGAACAAAGAAGGGGGAGTGGAAAATGACGCTGTTCCAATACAATTTCGTACGTTATTTAAATATTCTATACGAAATAAAAAATTGAAGGTATCAAAAATATCATTATAATAAAAATTCAATGATGTTCAATACAATGGAACTCTATTTAATAATTTTTAACGGTTTTCTGGTGGTTGTTGCTCAACCATTATTAAACTTAATCGCTTTTATTTGCGCTTGGATGAATTTACGTGTTCGCTCAAGAATGTGGTTATGATATAGTATTAGCATCCTATAAGCATAATATTATAAATCAAACTGAAAGTATGAAATGATATTCATGTTCCACTTCGCATATGGCCAATTGTTGTTGAGGATATTTTATAATCGTAATGTTTGGTTCCACATGGCCCCAGCACAAAAGTTAGCCCGGAAATAAAAACATTCTTTTGACTTTGTCAAAACATATTTTATTCAATTATCGGATCTAACTATAAAATTATATTTTAAAATATGATTCAATTTGGAGTTGGTTGAATAAATGATTTATTCGTTAGTAACATCATATAAAGCATACTTATTTCTGCTTGATATTGTGATATCATATAGGTGTTTCTGTACTATTGTTTTGGAGTATTTAAAATCTAAATATAAAACTCAAAAGAGTAAAATTCGGCACGAGTAAATTGCTTGAAAAATTAATAAATCGACGAATAAGTTCAGAATGAGAAAAGTAACTAAGATAAATGACATGATAATTAATTTTCAACGTCATTATAGTGAGTCGTCCGTCTCTGCTACGATATTATTTTCCAACGTTCCATGTAAGAGCTATGAAGTGTCTCGTCGACTTTCAATTATGCTGAGATGTACAACCACATAATACATATAGATTACATATAATAGGTATATCGGATCTATTGAATCCCGTATACCCGCGGGATATTGTATCATAATAACTTAGCTGCGTTATAGATACATTATAGGCGACCCTTCGACATAGTTAAATGCTGTTATTGTGGTATGTTCATGGACCGTTGATCGCGTTATTCGCCCGAATTGTAAAGATCTTGGTAATTACTAAAAAGCGAAAAGAATGAAGAGTAGCATAGACCGGTCGAAAATAGGTAGCTTGAGTTTACGGAGTAATGCTTGGTTCATTGAGGTTAGAGTAGTTCTAACCCTAAACGACTTCAACCAACCATACTCGAGCAACCATACATACTCAACGTAGCTATATTGAATATTTCGGACGATCTATTTTTGACCGTAATAGAGTATGTCTTATTTTGTTATATTCGCTCTCTTCGATAATTACCAAGGCAACTAAGAAATATATTTGGCATTCTTTGAACCGGATATATAGATAGACAGTACAAGGAAAGGAGAAAAGCATGGACATGTCACAATTTGAAACCAAATCCAAATATAAAAAAAAATTAACAATTGCCTTTGTCATTTTTCCAAGTCAATGCTCGTTCGTGTGTGATGAAATACGAGACAAGGCAATGGTGAGATCATAATTTGAATCAATCAGAATTAAAACTCTTTGTTTGGCATTTGTTCAAAACGTTGATATATTTTAATTTCGTGCTTGTATAAATAATAAAAGATTCCAGTTCCAATTTGTGCGTTTTGAAAGATATTTTTTAATAAACGTCAAAAATCAATATCAGTCACTATTCATTCTGTGATAACGTTTTACGCTAATCATAATATCAATTCTCACCACGATATACACATTCGGTTTTGGTATCGAATGCTGTCAAATGTCGGTGACGAACTAGTTGTGGATGAATATTTTTTCAGGTCAAGTTTTTTTTCAAAGACTATCAATACTATCAAGAATAATATGTTTGGCGAGTACACGATGCTTTCAAATTCCGATCTCGTGGAAAGACTTTGCAGTATACCCGTCGTCTTTTGTTTTACAGCAACAAGCAATCCGATACCATGAACCATGTTCAATAACTTTGGGAAAGGTATTAGAGTTATAGTCAGTGAGACCCTATTATCGAATTATACTGGCTGAAAAAAATATAATTATGTAGTTCTCGAATTGCCAGCTGTGTTCATAATACTAAAATTATTAACTTAACAGCTGAGATATTTAACAAAAAGAAATTGAAATCTAGCTCGACACAAGACAAGGTCGACGTCGGAGGTATTTCTTGATAGTTGTATATCGTTGAGCAGGTATAGTATATTCGATTAAGTTTCAGGTCCATCGTGATGTTTGTTAATTGTAGTATGTGGAAGTCCTTACCTTCGCTCGACCTTGTTTTGTGTGAGCAGTTCAGTCATTTATCTACGTATATGTCGCCCGTCTAAATATTAGATTTCGCTATCTCGATTACGCTATCTAACATCTAAGCTACTGTTTGAATAAGCGGATAGTTTGAAGAACTTATTATTGCAAAATAAACGATCATATTGAATATCATACAATGTTATTGACAATTGCGAATGATGTAATGTGTCAGAAATATTCGTTGCTTTATTTAATAACTACAATCGAGTATGGCGACATTGATGAAGCGACATATCTGTACCACGAGTTCGATTGTGAGCCAGTTTCAGGACTTGATTTGATTAATCACTTCCCACTTTAAACATACGCCAAATACAGAAATTGTTTTTGTTTATATAAAGTGAAATAAATTCTCGAAAATATAACTGGAGAAAATAACATAATTGCCTTAGTAAAAAAAATTGCTCATTGATGCCAAATTGATTTATTCGCAATGCCAAATTAATATTGATACAAATTGTTGAATTTATAAATTTCTTTTACAAAACTAATGATACGTTTTCAAATTATTTGTTCGCATATGCTTCATCTTAACACATTAAAATAAACGCCTCCGGGTGAAGCGACGGTGGGATAAATATACAAAATTATCCCCAGCAAAGAAAATTACGCGATTTTTATCAACTTTAAAGTACGGGCGTTAACTTGAACTGAGCGTAATTATCTACAAGTATAGCACATTTAAATTTTTTTCAGCTTATCTCTAGCCATATATATTTGCACAAACGTAAGAAAATCAAAGTTGCGTCTGTTATTGGAATTAGGTGTCAAATTGTGGTTCCTTCATCTCCAGTCTATGACTCGGCTCCTAATTTATCATGACGACCCAACACAACAATATACTATACAATGAAACGCCTTGATTATAGAATAGTAATGTATAAATACCTTTCTATGGTGTGACAAAAACACAAATTCTTAGATATTAGTTCACTAAAATCTGACTCTATCATAATGTATATGATTGTTTTTCGATAATGGTATTAATATCTGTTTAGAGTCTATCTGCTGATATTTTTAGAGTTATAGTATTCCGGATATATCTAATTGGAAATGATTGCCAAGTTTTAACAAATTTGAATACCCCGCAGACGAAGCAAATGATGATATCAATTTTGTCGCATGGGTAATTTGCATATGAGAATTTATGATTGAGCTCATTTTATACATGTTAGGTATACGTGACATTTGGCTGTAAAATATGATAGAATCACAATGATACGCACCATGTTCAAGGCTAGGATTGTGCCGATTTAGTCGTATTTGTATGGTACATATATTATTACACTTTAGTGCTATGTATGTGACCGGTATTATTTTTAATGATAAATTGGAGTACAATTTAGTCACCTGCATTTGTTTGAACTTGGAATATGTATAACACCTGGTATACTATTGAACAGGAGGGCCAAAAGGAGATAGGTTTCTTAGAAAACATGTCAGAAAACGGTGAGAAAACAATGAATTTTTGTTTATGTTGTACTCATAATCGTTACTGCATATGTCAGATGTTGAATTGTCGTATACAAGTTACTCTACCAGCAAGTATCCATTTACGTCGAAGTAATCACCCAGAAGGAATTCAAATTCAGTCATATATGATGTAGCCTAGTTAGACTTGCTTATTATACCTAGGCTATTTTCAGACGTCTTCGTTCTTTAATTGCCAGTGTTACAATTGCCAAGATTGTTATTAAGTTTGAATTTTTGATTTTATGTTCCTAAAAATCGAATGTTACCGGTATCACTCTGCTCGCCCGACAGAAATCTGACATTTGAAATTGGTTTTGATAGTTCCGAAACGTAAGGATTTTCACTCCGTTCTCTTAACCTAGCTAACCCCACAAAAATATTAAAATTTAATTCCAGACATTGGATTTTTTTCTGAAATCTTCTGACAATGATTTACTTGATTGAACCACAAACTTACAACGGAAATTGAACTCTAAATTTAAAACAAATTAGTTGAAATTGATTAAATGTTCAATTACCTACTACTACAGAAACGCTGTGGCTTTGTTCCAGCATTAATGGCGGGATTTTCGATATGGCAATATCAATAAAATATCTGTTAGAAAGTCAGTCAAAGTAATTGCATTCCGATGTTTGGCGTAATCATTGAATATTTCATTTACAATGCATGTACACGTCACAAAACATTTCCTTGTTGATAATGTTTTACATGATCGTAGTCTGGACCATGGCTCCAGTTTTAAAGTGAGAAAGTCGGCTGAAGTCACTGTGTCATAGTTTCGAACAAGATTTTCGCAATAATACAAATCAAAATTATTTTTATGAAAACAAGAAACGTGATGCTTACGTTTCACTGCTCGTCGCACGTTTTTAGCTAGTGATTTATTTTGCGTCGAACAATTACCGATACGTCCTCAAGTTAATAATAGGACATAATGTTTAGTACTCGTAGCCTATTGGACCCTCTTCATAGGAATTTATTTATTTTTTAGGCAAAGGTTGAATCAAGCTCAAGAGATCTTAGAATTGAATACTTTATTTAACATCTATTGCGTATCTTTTCAGCTCAAATAGCATAAATAAACCATGTCTAAGATAGCGTTGGTTTTGGGTGGAGCCGGTAACATCGGAAGTGCTTCCACGAAGGCCTTCCTTGAAAGTGGTGGCTACAAGACTGTTGTGATTACATCTCGGAGTCAAGAAAAAATTGACAAAGTTAAAGAAGCAATCAAGGCTAGTCTGGGACAGGATTCCTCTGCAAAAGTCTTGGGCGTGGTTGGAAACGTAGCAAATGAAAAAGCATCAGCAGAACTCCTAGATAAAGTAAGTCTTGAAATATATTCTCCTAAGTTACTGTTGCTTAAATGCAGCTGTATATTATATAGAAAGAAATTATAACGTAAAAAGGATATAACATAGAAAAATGTCGTGCAAGCTGAAGTGTTCCATGTGGATCCCCCATATTTATATTTATTAATTTAAATAAAAGCCTTTTCAAATTCTAAAGCCCTACCCCTTAGAAGAACCTGTGTACTCTCGTCGTACAAATTGTTTTTGTCCTCGTGCATATCGCTTGTGCGCTGGCAGATGAATTATTATAAGCTATGTCTACATCTTTGTCAGGTTAAGTCTGCTGTAGGTGATAAGGTTGACGTTATAATATCAGTGATGGGATTCCCGTATCACAATTTCGGACCACTGCTACATGTTAATGCGGAACAGATAAATGACGTATTTGGCTCTCAATTTTTTCCCGCATTTGGTGGATACAAGACATTTTTCCCGCTCGTGAAAAATAGTTCGTCTGGGGCATACGTGTCCGTTACAGGTGAGTCTATGATAACCTCGCGTATCTAGCAGTTCTATTTGCTAGTGCAATGCAATGAAGAAGTCATCATTTCACAATGTATATTTAAATTAAAATGCCGAATAAATATCAGTTTGCTTTGTTTCAACAATGATTCAATTTTTGGAAATGTATATTTGCGAAACCAAACATATTACTCGTTCCAGTTAATGGGTACATTGGGTGTAATTGGAATGATTTTTGACTTCTAAGTTCTAATTATGTATCTTTGTTCGGGTATATACTAATTTAAACTTTATATAGAACTTTGTTCACAGTATTGGTTGGATGATTGATAGTGATTGTTGTATATGAAATCCTCCCTTTGAATCATTCATTACTAAATTAACGTTTTACATTGAATTCTACTCCGGAAATCTAAAAGAATTCCTAAAATGTACATAAATCGTACGTCATTTTCTGTAATTAATGTGAAATCAGTCTGTGGATAAACCCGTAAAAGGATATAGATAGCAATGACATTGATATTATAGGCTATTAGCTATCGTACATTTTCCCGATGATGCGTGCTTAATAAAATTCCTTAATTGCCAATTAGAAGAATTTTATCTGATCAATATAAGTTGTAATTGAGGAAATGTTAACCGACAAATCTTCGTTTTTGGGGTTTAGCTTCGGAATATTCTCCTGACCTTTGACTCCGAAAGTATAGCAAACGTGATTAAATATTATTTCGCCTCAATATTTGTATTTAATTATTATTTCAAATTGACAGGGGGAGGACCGGATATGTATTTAGGACCAGGAACAGCCGGTATGACACTGGGTGGGTCGCTCAGCACCGCTTTGGCGAAAGTCATAATGAAAGAACAAGCACAAGACGGTGTTTGTATAAGTGAGGTGAGCGATGCATTAGTGGCTTCATGAGAAATGATAAAATATTTTACCTATCTTCCTGAACTTGTAATATATATTAATATCGAGTTCGGGTCGTATCTCTCTTTTATTTTTAACCGCGCCAAGAAGACAATGTTTTGTTACCCTCTTGCACAAAAAACTACATCAAACGTTTTGTCTGTGATATAAATTGACTAATGATCACATAAAGTCTGAAATAGCGGATATAATGGCAATTGGATATATATATATAAATATTCTTGTGATTATTGTCTAATATCTTACCTACACTTAATTACTTACTAAATACTTCAGGTTTCATTTTCTTGCGGCGTCTGTCCTGATCCATCTGTGATGCCTCCTGGATACAATTGGATTCCAAGTGTCGACGCCGGAAAGGCGCTTGTCAGTGTGGCGACTAAAAAAGTTGCTGGCGGACAGACGATAACAATTCGAACGGCGGATGACTTGTCACATGTTATCGCTAATGGTGCGTTGAAGCAAACAAATGGCGTGGCATAATATAGCACCTGGAAGACTGTATTTTGTTTTTGATAATGTCTCACATGGCTACAAAATTGAACAATTGTACGTGGATTGTCATCTGGATTTAGATCTGTATTTTATTTTATATTTGCATTTTAGGAATTATTCAAAACATATATATGTTATAACTCAATAGAGGGAGATATTCAATGATTGTCTAGAAAGACACCTTGCCTATAGTTACTGCACTTGAAAATATAGATACTACACCCGATGTCGGTAATTAGAGTGTCATTATTTGAGTGTTTAACAAAATATCTTCACATTTACTTTTCCTAGTCTAATCATTCAATCTTGCTGTCCGTGATATTAACAGGTTTACGAAACACTATGTTATAAACCAAGGACCTCAGAAACTTGCTTTTAGATTGATTATACATTTGATTTAAGTGTGCGATTTTAATATTTTTCGTCGAGAAGAAGCACGGTGCTATTTTCTAGTTATTTTTTTTACTTACTACCTGTACACTTTCTTTCAAACGTACGCTATTCATTTGTCAATGGCACGCTCGAAAAGTGTTTATCAATCGTATTTGTCATAAAAAAAATAACTAAAAACAAATATGGTAAGGAATGCTTCTAATTGGGGTGAATTTGAACCAAATGGATGTGGTAAACCGAGCATATAACTATGCTGAGATTGCCAATCATAATTGAATAAACCATTTTGGACAAGCGTTATTCATGAATTATGTGCAGCAAATTTGTTGGTTCAATGCAGTATATAATATTTTAGAAGTGTGATAGCTCAAGTTTCTCCGATGAGGGGCACATTATCAGTTTACGCATAGTATGATGCAATAAACCACATTTTTAGTCAAACATCAGTTTTTCCAACGAATATTTAACTAAATTTTGCATTTTTGTATTTAACTGTTTTGTGAAATTGAATTAATTTTCAATATTTACTGCTAATCAAATCTTTAATAATATTTTAGTTTCCCTCGCATCCTGTAGTCTGTTTAATTCTTTGTGTTGCGTGCCAGAACTGTTCCAGTGTAACGGGCGTTAACGAAGTTTAGATAATGCTATGGGTCAAATAGGTGCAGTATGATAAGTCAGTTGTTTTGGTATCTGGCAAATAAATCGTGGGTTAAACTTTGGATTAAAATTCTCGAACCGGATATTTTACAGTGGCATCACACCATTACAACAAAAATATCTGTGCAGTCATTGTGTAGTTATAGGCAGTGGCGTATCTATGGTATGGCAGCCGTGATTCGTGCCATGGGCGCCTTTTGGACAGGGGCGCAAAAGGGCGAGAAGTTTTAATCACGAAGTATTATGTTTTGAATAGTGTGTTTTCAATAAAATAATTTCCAATTGAAAATAATAGAAACTCGTATTTTTATTCAAATAATAACGTAGAAGTATTTAAGTGCAACAACAGTCGTTAAAAATTGTCAGTCAGCGATCAAGAATGCGACTTTTTAAATTTGCCATAGACGCCATTTTTCGTAGACACAGATTCAGATTCAGATGTATATTATATATTCGATATGACAAAAATGTTTTTTTTTTCAATTTCTTACACTACTATTGAATTGTAAGTATCGATTGACCACTGCTGGACTATCTAAGTTTTCAACTCGAAGTGCCAACTTAGTCAACATTGTCGAGACATCGCCTAAAATATCAAAAACCCGAAATACAGTGTAAAATTTGCTCATGGCATGAAACTGTGGGAACATTGCATTGAAAATAAAATGGGACGGGATATCATCAATTAAAATAAAAAAATTTGTTGCATTCGGAAAACTAGATGAAGTTAGGAACATTTATCGCACCGCTTGCTGCCCTATCTATGAAAGATGAATGTGTGACAAAGCAGGGTGGTCTAACTAAACTATTCGCAGAACAATTTTAGCGTACGCTAAACCATTGGCAGATATTTTTATTTATTAGTAAAACATTTCTTCAGCTATTCCAACTCGGGTTGGGATTCCGAGATTTCTAGCCTTTTCCTAATTCCGATGTCGCAACTGATATTTGTTAAAATCGTGGAATTTCAAGGTTGTATCTATAAACGTCAAAGGCGGTGGGAATGACGTCCTGTGACCGGTACGATCACGTGTTGAGAGGCCGTTACCGCAGGCGGGGGGAGGTTAACGATGGAATCCAAACAGTGCGTCAAATGTGCAAAGCGCGACGGCATTAAGCGTTTAATGAACTGAATGTCGTAACAGCGAAAAACAGTTAAATAAATTCCAGAATTGCGTCTCGCACCCCTTTGCCAGGCGTATTCCAGAGGGTATTGCCAATTAACAATATCGCGTTGGTCGCTCTTCATTGTTTCAAAAATAAGATAGTTGATGGGTACTGTATTTGCAAGAGAGAAACGAATGTAACAGCACTCCCGTGAATGTTGTATTCCCAGTACAAAATACTTGCATCCCCGATGCCTTCGCACCAGTGGCGTAGCAAGACTCTCGTGGGCCCTCCCGCAAAAATATTTTGTGGAAATGAACCTAAAAACTCTCGGACATTAGCTAAAACAAAGTGTTTTTTATTTCGTCAAAAAGCATAACATGTCGGTATAAAAAAAACAATGGTAACCTAAAATTTGCGCTTACGTGTTAGCAAACTCATCCACCATCTTCGTCATATCAATTTTTTCAATTTGCTTCAAAAATCAGTAGCTTACGTGTGATCATTGTCGTGTAAGTTTTGGAAGAAAATTCATTCGCGCCGGCGCCATCACTTTTGGAGATTGAACACGCATCTGGTTTTATACCGATACCACTGATGCTAGGCTTAATTCCTCCTCAGTTACGTTCGGTATTCCCAAGTCTAATTGCTTCAATTTTGGTTTAAATATTTCGTTTATCTTGGTTACTTTTTTTCTATACGTTCTTCCTCTTCTGCCCTTTATTCTTCGTTTTTATGCGCCACTAAGAGGTTTTGCTTTCGACATCAATCTGACAGCCTTCGTAATTGTGCCGGTGGCCGGTGCAATCAAACCACACGACGCCGAAAATCGACGACTTCGGCATTGTTACGTAACAAAACGATTTATATATTTACGGCAGAACTAGCATCAACATTATAAGATGTGCATTACTGCTTTTGCAATGCAGCTTTTAGTTTTGCAGCTTAAATTTATAAATTTTAACCGCTTGGGGTTAAAATTTTCGCTGTGGGCCCCCGCGACCGCGGGGTTTGCGGGGGTGGATGCTACGCCACTGCTTCGCACCTTGAACTCGACGTTTCGTGCGCTTATTTTGGTGAAAACACGCCTCCATTTTCATTTTCATGGCCATGTGACAGCAGTAATAAATTGTTTTGTCATTTTGTTTGTCCTTTATATATCTTCCTTAGGATAAAAAAAAAAACGCCACCCATGCAACATGATAATAACGGTACTCCATTTTTTTTTTATATATTTCAACATTTTAAAGTGACCAAACTCGCTGTATTTTGATCACTTTATAGCTGAGATAGAGATAGCTGGGCTCTTTTCCATCGAAGATATGTTCGTATAGAGGACTTGCACGGGTCACGTGACTTTGTTACTGGACGGCAATAAACAAAAACGTCCATTTGGCTCCTGACAGTTGCAAGTCGGATTATACGTTTCCGTTTTGTTTGGCTGTTGAAAATGGTTATTTCGTATTGTTCCGTTGGCTGTACGTATAGTATAGACAACGAAATAGATCTTCAGTTATATTCCACTGATTTCAAAAGATCCGGAACGTCGCGCAATGTGGATATCATCTATTGCCTATTGGCAGAACTGCTTGGTGTCAAGTCCAGAAGCCATCTTACTTGTGTTTCACTGTTTGCGGACAGCCCTTCGTTGATGGTGAGTGATAATGTGGTGATAGTGTGCCGTTATCAATTTCTTTAAATATTCACAAGCTCCCTCATTTCAATGGAAAGCAGATGACAAACTACTGTTATTGGTAGGACTAGGCGTGGGCCTACTTGCAGTTGCAGACTTGACTTGTGTAAGACAGTAAGAAATTAATAATCAATTGCTATAAGGTATTGTTTGGTGCTTGTGCAACTGATCCAAAATGTCGTTTTATTGTCATTGGTAAAAAAGATATGCTACCCGGAATAAATTTCATTTACGACTAGTGGCTGTGGTGGGATATGGACATAAATTTCACACTCTTTGATCGTTAGATTTTATGAAAACTCTATCTGTATCCATTATCTTACAGATTTGGGTGCGACCATGGAATAGATGGATGGCAAAGTATAAGTTGCAACAAGACCACAGGGGCACAAGACCTCAGCTTGCGTGACTTGATAATACATCCGCAGTATCCATTTATTGATGCTTATCGTAATGACAAAGTAACTTTTGATTACTGTGGATTGGCGGAGATAAAGTGTCCATTGTGCTTTTAACGAAAGCAACTTCAAGACGACCCTATCAAGAAAAAAGCTTGTTTCGGTGGGTCTGGTAGTGAAGGTTTCAGTCTGACGTTGGACACTGATACTACAACCAGATACAGTTGCCAATGAAACTTAGCGAGGCGTAATATTGCGACTTTGTGATCTGAAAGGAAATTCTGATGGGTAGCCGGCTAGTCGCAACCTTTGGTTTAAAGAATATTATGAGATATCACTTATAAGAGTCTAAACTTTTATTTGAGAGAGGTGTAACCCAAGCTAATTTGCAAATGGTATTCATGGTACCAAATGTATCACACACTTTACAGTAATTATAAATTATATTTGAAAAATAGAGCACATCAAAAATGTATTTTTAAAAAATATTTGGTTTAATCTGCAGATACTAGGTTGATATTAAAATTGACCATTTCAATGTCAAATTTTCTTTAGTCAAAAGGCACACTTGATTTGCAAAGATTTGTGAATGCGCACAGTGCACCAATTTGTCTAATGTTTTGATTACATAGGCAGGAGGTTGTGGATCGGTGCTGCTCAGAATGGGATATTTTTGCCTCTAAATGCATATTAAGTGTTTGACATGAATCCATCGTGCTCAGTCAGATTCGACTGTTTCCAAGGTATGAGGGCTCCAACAGCCTTATTTTATGGGTACACAAGAGAATTTTCAGTGTGGCATGCATGGGTCAGTTGGAGTCACTAACCTCAAGATATCTATAAGCAAGGATAAGATAACCTGGAAGTAACATTCCGGTATCTGCCTCCACAGCCCTTTCAAATGGAAGATATGATGCCTCGGGAGTAATTTTTATCAAATATTTTACAGTATTATGGTTCTAGTGAAAAGGGGTGTAGGCGGCTTTTTTAAAGTGTGGTAGGTCTAGTCGAAAGACACATTAAATGTATATGCTATTAACTGCAAATTGATATTGCAACGCATACAAGTTAACAGAATTTGTTGAAATGGTCCTGCCTTTTGCCTTTCTTCAAAATCCCCCTTTTTCTAACTATTCTCTTCTTCTCTGGGGATGGCGAAAATTCAAATATCGATAGGACATATAAGCAGCTGATAATGGGTTATCTTCCCTTTTTCCTGAAAATAAATTAAACACTAATCATCATTTGACAGTGCCAAGTTTGTGTATCAGATCAGTAATAAATTACCTGCTAACTAACAAAACAATCAGACAACACCTTCTGACCATTAATGAAGATTTCTTTCAATTTAAAACGCAACTATGCCTCCCAATAGGTAGTTTTTAGGATAGAATTTATCTGTGGTTGGGAACAGATTGCAAGGTGCAACATCGTACGATTACCATTCTATGTCGGGATTAGTTAGCCAGTTATTTGTTTTTGAAGCATCGACTTGATGGTGGGGGATGTCGTAATCGACCAGCGGTCTTGTGAACCACCCTCAGTGGGAGGAGAGCTGCAATCCCCTCGCACATAACTATCCCTGCATGGGATTGGAATCTGTGAAACTCCCAGGGGGATCAGAGATGTGGTGGCGAGCGTATTCTTAGATGGAGAATTCAATTGAATTCTGGTTATTTTTTTGGCATTAGCACTGGCGTTAAACTTTAGTTATCTATTCAACTTTTCACACTTACTAATAGATTACCTGCTAACTAGGGAAACAACACCTTATGGCAATTATTGAGCAATACCTTACACGAGTCAAGTCTGCAAGTAGGCCTACGCCTAGGCCCACCAATAACAGTAGTTTGTCATCTGCTTTCCATTGAAATGAAGGAGCTTATGAATATTTAAAAAAATTTATAACGGCACATTATGACTCACCATCAACGAAGTGCTGTCCGCAAACAGTGAAACACAAGTGAGATGGCTTCTGGACTTGACACCAAGCAGCCCTGCCAATAAATGATATCCACTTTGCGCGACGTTCCGAATCTTTTGAAAACAGTGGAATATAACTGAAGATCCATTTCGTTGTCTATACTACACGTACAGCCAGCGGAACAATACGAAATAACCATTTTCAACAGCCAAACAAAACGGAAACGTATAATCCGACTCGCAACTGACAGGAGCCAAATGGACGTTTTTGTTTTATTGCCGTCCAGTAACAAAGTCACGTGACCCGTGCAAGTCCTCTATAGTCGTTGATCAGATACAGTATTTTTAATTACTTATGATAATGAATCTTGATTGATTACCTCGAATAGCCACCACTATCTTTTCATCATAATATGGGAGTAGGGGGATTTTGAAAGGATGATTTTGAAGGAATAAACTAGGAGTATTAATTTCCCTTTTTACAAGATAAAATAATAGTGCAGTATTATTACAATACAAACATAATGGAGACAACATTAACAGATACCAATTACTTACAATAAACTCAATATCACAGCTATCAGCATAGCCTATATTTTTTAATACCAAGATTTACTTATTTTTTCTAGGTTTCTGCATTTTTTTCTTTTCTCACTGCCAATATTCCTTCATTTTCATATTTATTCCCCACCAAAATTTGATAAACTATCGATTTTTTTTACCAATTTTACACTTATATAAATAATAAATGAAAAAGGCCAACAAGCAAGACATAATTACAAATCATGTCCGAAAAAATTCGACAGTATCCCCAAAAAAACATTCAATCTTGCCGAAGGCAAAATTTTGGGACCTTCAGAAGTATGTCCACCAGGTTAGGGTTCAGGTAGTGCGCCCTCTTGGTGCACATACGTCGGGAGCGCCATACCGTAGGACGTAGGTGATTTTTTAACTTACGCATAACATAAGTCACATAAATTTGCAGGTACTACATTTAAGACGTATAAAACAATATTCAACACAATTGCCCTATGAAATTGTTTAATGTGAAAAGACACGAGTTTTGTTTCAGAATTTTCAATAGTTGAAAAATATATATTAGTATGAAATTTGTTTTAATTAACAGTTAAATCAATAGGTAAATTTTCCGTGCTTTTATTGGTAGAAACAAATCGTTTTTCCCTGATTATTTTCTGAAATTTCATGGGCGTACATTGCCTCCAAGTGAATGGGAAACTCGGGGAACCCCCTGTGCAGCTGTTCCGTCTGTCAGTTTCGCAGCTTCCTTGGGCGAGGTGTGGCCTACATCGCACAATTCTGGTTACTCTTAACCGTAAAAGATATTTCGTTTGTCACAGTTATATAGGTTAGTTTTAGGCTCTATTATAGTCCATTATTCCTAGCGAACTTCCAGCCCTTAAGATGGGTAGAAAGAGCAGATCTAAACATGTTGCCAAGCCTCCTGCCATCAGTGCTTATTCAAACAAAAAAGAAATGGATCGCTTAGTGCAGAAACTTTTGAACAGTAAGTAGGCTAAATTAATTGTGGGGCATTGAGAGTTATTCATGTATAGATGATGAACTCGCATGGTTAAACGTAAACATGTAAATTCTTTAATAAAAAGCATGATGCATTGGAAATCAAATTTGACTTTTTCAACATTAAATTACAAAAGGGAAATTTCATTATTTAACCCCATTTTATTTTCCAATACCATATGTAGCCTTATTTTTGGGGTCTCGTGTAGTTTCATACCTAAAGTACTTCTAGTGGACATAGCATAACAATTTTGCATATGTCAATTACCTGACTGCGTCATCCAAAAATTACGTCACTCTGACATGATAATGGTCTTCAAACTATACACACTGTCATCTGAGACGGCAGATGATCACTCGAAATGGAACAAGCTATTTTTCTCGTCGCAGCGATCCTGATACGATAGAGATTAATGAGTTCTTTATCGTCAGCGCAGATACTTTGGCAAGCTCTATGACGTGTTTGTGACGACGTAGTGACTTGATTTTTGGATGGCGTAGTTAGGTAGGGGTTAGGATTGACATGTGCAAAAATCGTTAACGAATATTAAATATAAATTGACATTTTTCAGTAAAATATACAGAATATCTTCATTGTTCTTACTGAATTCTATGGATGAAATTTATCAATGCAACACAGCTGGTAGTGAAATGTGTATTATTATTGAGTATTATAACTTATAATTTATGCTTATGATTCCATTTTAAATATAAAGAATATTCTAATCTATCTATTCCTCAAAGATTTATGTGTTTTTTTCAGCATGTGTGAAGCCGACAACAAGAAAGGATGAATGGGAAAACTACTTGGAAATTCAATTTCTGGTGGAAAGGATACGACAATATCAAAATAGCAGTGATTATAGTTTTCTACTTTAATAATTCGATCATAAAATGCGATAAAGACCTTCATTAACTTCTTCCATAAGACCAAGTATTTCCTTTTCTAAACCAATTGTGCTCATTACCTCAAAGTTGTCTTATCATAAATAATTGTATATATTTGGAAAATGTTCCTGACACACACTAGCAAAGAAGCATGTAGTATATTCTGATTGTCAAATATACAATGATTTTTAGAAACCATGTTTACCATTCTACATTTAGCTGTTTCAAGTCCTTCAGGAAAACTGAACTTTTGTTTAAGCAAATTAGGGAAGATATGCAGTATCAAGTTGCCGATCTGTATAAGGTAGCATATTTTATTTTTATTACTTTTCACTGAAGTTCTTTTGCATTTAGAACCCTTCTCTGGAAATCGTGAAGAAAAACTTCCATTGTTCGTTGATTGGTTGAAATTAAATGGAGTAAATATGCAGGATATTGTGTTAGAAAATTATGGAGGAGAATATGGAATTGGAGTGAAAGCAGCGAAAGATATTAAGGTAAATTTAATTCTTTGAATGCAATTAATTGTATATTTTATCTGCATTGTTTCATCACTATTGAATCATTGTTGCCAAACACTTTTTCAGATATTGTGTTATATTTATTATTGGTACACTGTGATTTTTTTTCCTATGGTACTTTTGATTTGCAAGACTATGTCCTGTATAAAAATTCTGCTTTTTTGTCAAACACTAAAACTTGTTAAAATTGACAAAAACCGAATACTTGGTATCTTATTCTAGTGCAGCGCTTTTCAACCTTCCATATCAAATATTTTGGTGTTGGACACTCCAACAGTAACAATGAAAAATTATTCCAGAAGATAAAATGCATGAAATTCGATGATCCTTCTGCTATTGAATTTCTCTCACAAATTTTTAAATCGTGGCTCAATAAAATATTTAGTCGAACGACTGTTTTTATTTTTAATTGTTGTTAAAGCAGGAAATACTGCTTCACACAAATAGGTGTTGGGAAATTGACAAACCTTTGACATAGTTCATTCAATGGGAAACTTGCAGTAAACCTTACAAAAGTCCAAAAACTCCTAGAACAGCTGGATTGATTTATAATTTATAGTGTTATGCCAAATGCTTATTGCTATAGCTGGAGATATGTATCGAGAAATGTATATCTATACAAAACATTCATGCTTATGAATACAGATGGACGATGAAATACTTCAAGTCCCATACAAACTAATGTTGACATCAGAAAAGGCAGAGGAATCCTATCTTGGTATGAGGCTTTTTCATTATTTGATTCGCAAGTTACTCTTTAGAATACATGATGTTTGATAAGTAAATTAGGTAAAAAAAACTTTAATTAACACTGATTAAAATAAAACAAACCTGGTTGAGATACATTGAGAACTGGCTTGTAAAATTGAAATTGTAACACAATTTCATGAAAACCCTGTACATTTTTTGTTCTTTATAACCAGCTTTGGTTTTTTCATGACTTCTGTACAGTAAAACAATGTGTTAACTCTCCTCTTACTGGCTATAACTAAAATACATTCGACAATGAATACATGAATCAATGATGAAACAATGGTGAAATTTTTTTCAGTCGACCTCATCAAATCGAGAAAAATGCTGATAGAAATGCCAAACATATCACTGGCTTTGTATTTGCATTGTGAAAGGCTGAACCCTGAATCATTTTACAAACCTTATATTGGTAAGTTTGTAGACAATGGTCTTTAAAATGCTAATTTTTCAACATAAATTTTTATAGTGAATTCTTAATTTTAAGAATGATATGAATTTAGTAATACTGATAAGTAAATTTATGATGCTTACCAGCTGCACACTGTTTATTACATGGTTTCGTTTTTTTTGGTGGGGGGACATGAACAAAGGCTTTCATAGTAAAATTAACTGTGAGCTGCTCGATTCTTTGGTCGCAATGAAATTATTCTTTTACTTTCATATGTTAGCTTTTTATTATGGAACATGACAAATAAAATGCCTGCTGGAAATCTGTTGAAAACAAAACTATTTTTTTTTATTGATCCATGGATTTTGAAAGTCTTTGGAAGAGGGGCCACAGATATAATATTTTAGAATTCACAGTCGTGATTTAAAGATAATTGAAGTAAATTTGCTATTGCTCTGTTATTACTCATCTGTGCTATTAATTTTGAGCCATAGCTCTTCTGACAAAAAGATAAAAGTCATAAATTGTCAAGCTGTATGCCTCGTATTACTTCTGTTATCCATGAGAATCACGATCACCATTGTTCAAGTTTTAGTAGCAGGTCTTCATCCATTAAGATATCTATAGCTTGGTGACTAAATTTTATTCACTATTTTTAGATGTACTTCCTAAAGAATACAACACCACGCTGTATTTTTCGCCCAACGAAATGGAAGCTTTGAAAGGGACGTCTGCTTTCTGTGAGTACATGCATAATACCGTATTTCTCCGTGTATAATACGCACTTTTATGGTCAAATTTAGTCTCACAAATATGGGGGTGCGTATTATACATTGGTCATTTTATGCTCTAACTGGCTAATAATTGGCACATTTATTAATCTCAAGTTCTTAATTTTATGTGGCAAAGTCTGTTAGAATCAGATCATGCTTGATTCGGTAGAAGCATACCCATTGATGAAGGCGCAAAAAAACTGGTGAAATAAAATTGAAAAAAACAAGCTGTACATCCGTTAACTGCTGTCATTGTCTGGTCTGTTTCTCTCGTTTCGCCGAATCGGCAAAACTTTACCGTAATAAATCACCATATTAGTGACCTAAGGCTTCTCTTTGAAGTGGGCGGCTGAAAACACGTTCTGATATCGGGCCTTGTCAGCTCTTAAAGGGGGAGGGGCAAATAACTATACAAGATACTTAAATGTCAAATTACGTCACATCATGATTGGCAGATGTTTCACAGGCAAATACATAAAACATATTACCATATATATATACTTAACAAAAGACAAGCAGACAGAATGCCTGAAACGTCCGAAAAAAACACCTACAAGGCAAAAGAGAACGGAATTTTTATATGCGTATTATGCATGGAGTTTGAAAAAATCTTGTTAAAAATGTACTAAATCAGGGGTGCGTACTATATGTGGAGAAATACGGTACTTCCCTATCCACCTTTTCCTAATTTTTGATTCATTGTAATTAATTAAGTAATGGTACTACACATTTGCTCACCATTGGATAGGCCTATTGATTGTCTTCATAAATATCCGTCCTGTGGATGTGATTGTGTGCAATAAGAACAATAATGTTCACACAGGTCGTTAGTTGACTTGAAGATCTGACTATGTTGTCTGAGGTATAAATATCAAAAAATACAATCTTATTCCTGCAAAGATAATTTCTAATTCTTGCTAAACCGTGGAATATGATTTAATCTGTTTTGTGAGCAATTCACTTACAATGGTTGTGGTTCCGGACATAATATTAAGCAACTGTAGAAAGTTTCCACCAATGCATAAACTAGACAAAAGATGTGTTGGAGAGTCTTCATCTCCTTCCCCAATTTATACAATCTCAACAATGGTTTGTGAAAGCTTGCTCTGACTCCTTTATTTGAATGGTTCATGCATGTAAAATTGGCCAAGCAAATGAGCGCATTTTATACAAAAAGTACCTACATGGGAAGGATTAACAAACTCACACAAGAAACAAAACCATTCTTTTTAGTTGACTTTTCAGAATACATATTACATCCGATTTATTTAAGGTAAAACATGGATTCTATTTTTAGCAACTGCGATTTCCCAGTATAAAAGTATTGCGAGGCAGTATGGCATGTTTTTCAATTTGATGCATGGTGGCACAGCCATGCCAGAAGTAGAAAAGATTCCACTTACTGCAAAGAATGAGTTTACCTATGATGCTTATCGATGGGCTGTTGCATCTGTTTCCACACGTCTCAATAGGATAGCTATTTTGACCAAGTAAGTAATTGCGATCAGCAAAATTACAGTTATTTAAAAAAAAAAAAAAAAATTTTAGGCAAAACATTGGTTATACTGGAATTTCTTTGCATTTTAATCGAAGAATTTATATTAATTTTTATGCAGTAGAATCCCCACATATACACCCGTCATCCATGATTTCACTATAATAATAATCAATTTCGCCGGGAAAAATAGCAATCTCTGGTATCTGAATTCTTAAATAATTCCCTTTTTTTCACGGACTAATAATTATAATCTGTGAAATTTATCAGTCAGGTTTAATTAAAATTTAATTGCTACTGCAGAATTGCTCTCCTCAAACCTAATTCATAACTTTTCATTTTCACGTAGCTTGCTAATCTACTCCATCTTAATAATAAAAAAGTTTGCAGCCTGGTAATAAACTTTTTTTGGATTGACACTGATTTAAACTACTGAATTTTAAAATCAACTCTTTAGACAGCCTTTTTTCACCTATTTTACCATTAACGCAATCAAGTCAATGACCACCATAGATCAAAATTTTTTTGTTTAACGTGTTCGCTCATTATTTTCATGTAATTACAGAGAAGAAAAGCAGGAACTTTGCAAGCATGGTGGTTCATGTCATGATCATCATGCAAAAGATTCAACTCTTGCTCTCATACCAATGTGGGATATGATAAATCACAGCTTGGGACAGGTCAGTGCTAAAGCCTTAAATACAGTTTACATGGACCAAAGCATTATGGTGCATTGCACAGTTACAGCCTATTAGGCAATCTTCCATGTATATGAATTTGGAATAATGAATTGTATTTTTATTGCCACACTTATTCTGAATGTGTGATTGCAAGTGTCCGTATACTATGTACTCTGTGGTTGGTGCATTGTGCTGAGCATTGAAGACGTGCTTGCCATCGCACGTTTAATTACTCCGCATGCGCTTGCAGGTTTGAATCCTATGAAGATTAATTATGTGCGAGATGATTTGCTAGACTTCTCGTCATCGCAGGGTGGTTCACGTAGCCGCTGTTCAGTTATAAAACTGTCCACCATCAAGTGCAGGCATCTGGACAAATAACTGGTCAACTATTCCCATACCCAACATGGACTGCTAACCGTAGGAGAGGCCATGGTTCACCTTATGATTAAGCCTTATTGTCAGCTTGCCTATTTCCCAGGATAAAAATTCTATCCTGAATATGTAATTTCTTTCCTATGGTTTATTCACTTTATCAACATTTTTATACTACTTCTGGGGTGCTATGTAAAGTACCGTTCATTTGGTGCAAACTGGTTCAAATGCAGGCATAACATTTCAATGAAAATCAAATTTTGTTTTACAGATAAGTACTGATTGCGATCCAACGTTGAAAGTATGCAAGAGTTATGCAATGCAAGACTTCAAGAGTGGAGAACAAATAAAAATATTCTACGGTGCTCGGAGCAATGTTGGATTCCTTGTGTACAATGGATTTGTGGTCGAAAATAATCCATATGATCGTGTGGACATACAGCTTGGTATACTACTGTTTTGTGATGCGGAAATTAGCTTGCTTTAAAATCAAATCCAAATATTATTTTGTTAAATTGGCCAAAATATTTTGATGATTTTAAAGCTGGGATTTCGGACTTCTAATGGTGAACTAATCGAAGTCAAAATTCCTGGAAGTAAAAAAAGCATTTAGTTAATCCAGCATTATCAAGATACAATTGAGTCATTTTTTAAATGGTCTTGTGTAAATATTCCAGAATCCACACCCCTTGAGGCAAAATAAGAATAATACCCCCGACAAATTGTCGAAAATATCGCTAATCATATATCATATCGCTTTTTAAATTCAGGAGTCAGTTCTAATGATAAATTGTACAAGAAGAGAGTACAATTGCTAGAAAGATTGAGGATCCACTCGAGGGGCTCTTTCCATATATTTGCGATGGTTGAGAACTTACCAACTTCACCTGAACTGTTGGCATTTCTGAGAGTTTTTCATATGAATGAAGGTTTGTTGTCTGGTGATATAACAGAATTGTTGAGAAATAAAAAAATGAACACCAAGCTAGTTACTAAACTAAAGTTACATGTAAGAAATTGGATGGAAAATGGCATTCATAATAGAAAAATCTTACTGAATGTTGAAGAAAATGCTTGAAAAATAGTTAACACTTGTTCAGTTTTATGGCAATCGAAGATTAACAGTTACCTAATACCGGTAGTTAGTGTTGCACATAATTTAGTTTGGTGTCACGCAATAATATTCGATTATTCAGTTCGATTCGGCGAAAATATTCGATTCAAATCAAAAAATTATTCGATTTTGGACAGCCCGAACTGTGAGCGAATTGAACAAATGATCACTGAAGTGCCAAGAGCTACTTCGTTATGGGATAGAATTATTCACTAGTAAATACCAATTGATGCGAGTATAGAAGAATTTCTTATTAGTTCAAAAACAGCCATAAAGTAGTGAAATAATCTACATATCTGAAATTCTCGAAAAAAAACTTTGTGCATAGAATTTTATTGGTGAGAGCCTACAGCCAACCAAGCTTAATGGCTGAAAACCTTTTTGGGGGAAAAAAGTTCTGAAAGAACACAGTCCATTATAATATCTGTATAATAAGCACATTGAACCCAGATTTTATCATTTTTATATAGTTTACAGATCTGATACAGGGGTTTTTGACAATCAGTTCCTATTCATGTTCTTATTTTTTACTAACAGAAGAGTTGGATTCCTGGTATGAGAAAGACTTATTCGGTGCAAATGGTCTCAAAGATATTTACATGCCGAACACCAGACCTATTGAGGCTGACTTGAAATGTTGGAAGTATTTGGAAAATCGGGCTGAATTATTAGTGCGTGGATTTAAGAAAACGGAAGTGGTAAGTTGAGCACAATGGTCATGCCGTTTTTTGCTTTGGAGTAAACCAGAGAAAAATTGTGTGATTATGTGTACGCATATATATTTTTTTTTTTACTATCACAATTCATGTCCAAGGTTTGAACAAATTTGGACAAATAATGTTGGAGCATAACTTATTACATAGGCTTTCTAGAATTTGCAGGTACAAAACTTTTGGTTATTGATCTTGTGACATGCGTTGTTCGCATCGCACAAGCTAGCTGTTAGGGCATTGTAACGTCATTAGCATAGATAATAAATTGGAATTATCTTCCAGATTAAATTAGATTTAAAAACTCGTTTCGTGGGCCGCAACCCATTTAAAATTTGCATTGCGGGTCGCATTTGGTCGCACACCCTTGACTTAATAGATTAGGAAAAAATGGAAATCTGATTGATTAGAGCCATTGGTTGCGAACCACACTTAATTGAATGGATTGTTTGTTCATAGGTATGTTATCAATGTGAGAATTTTCTGTCAAGGTGCATTTTCTATCATATGACTAGTCAATATGTGCCTATTGTCGTTTGTAGGAAGAAGAAATATTTTCAAATCCTGAAGTGTCAGAGAGAATGAAATTAGCAATTCGGATGCAAAGAGAAACAAGAAGAGTACTTGAATCATGTCAAGAGTTCTGTTGCAACTTTGCTCTTGATGGGCCATTTCGAGAAAAACTTTTAGGTAGCTCAATGCCTGACTATGGCACTCTAGCTACAAGCGTTGCCCCACCCACAGAAGAAGAAGGGTGTGAACGAGACACGGACGCTGATATTCAGTTACTCAGTAAAGTGACCGCAGAAAATATGATAAGTGAGAAGAATTTGACTGAAACTGATTTAAAAAAGAATGAAATCAGTAATCAGACTGAGGAAATTAATTTGCCTATACCTGCGGTTAATTGAGAACATGATTCATGATAAAGCATCGTTAGGTTATTTTGTTTTAATCATATGATAATTTAGTGCGATGAGTTTTGCAGTCTGAACTATGGCGATCAAAAATGATGACACACCCATGAAAACTGATATGGACAATTTTGAGTTAACTTAGGGGTTATATACAGTTGTGGGATTCAAAATTTTTACGTAGAGGTCTGCTTTTGTATCGTACACTACACATTACCCATTGAATAAGGTTTAAAAAAAATGGGTATGCTGATTACTGCACCATCCTGAGAACATATTTGAGCGCCCCCCATGAATCCCACCACTGGTTTTATATATATATATTCCATATGAATATGCTGAAAATTGGGTACTCCCTTAGTATGTGTACCAGGTTAGGCCATAATTTTATTCGGGGACTGTCTGTGTTAGCCAAATGAAAATACCCCCTGCCCATAGGTTTCAGTCCCTTGATGTAAAGAAGGCGAACAAAATTAGTTAACTCCATATTGGTACACATACTTCAGGAGCGCTAAAAATTGTGTATTCTTCTGGCATGCATCAGAAGTACTAATCAATATGATTCTACTTATGTTATTTTGAATAATTGTTTGTTGAATACTCTTTAAGCTGACTTGATTTATTCATGTTGTCTGCCTTGTTTTGGTAGCTACTCCAAGATTATGACTTGTGAATATGTATCACAGTTTTAAAATTCCATAGTTAGTTGACTGAAAGTTATTAAATTTTATATTCTTATTGCTAAATCATGGTTCAAATACTTGCATCCCTGCTGATGAAGCTTATTACTATTTTTGAGATCCTTAGCTCATGCAAATCCTGATCTTCAATTAAGCAAGGAGAGCAATAAATGATTGCTTGCTTTGCTAATATTAGATGGTTTATTTTTTATCTATATCATGAGAATGTCAACTTTTTCTTTTTTAATTTCATTATTTAGAATTTACTTAAATTGACAGATTTAACTAATAAACTTCCATCGCAGATATTATGGCGAGATTTAATGTACCTGATCTAGGTATGACATAGATCAGGGGTCGGCAACCTTTCGTACGCAGCTTCTCATGCCAAAATTTTTTATGTGTTTGGTTTGCCTTTTCAACTACCTTATTAGAATAGTAAGCGAATGGAAGATAAAATTTATTTTAATACTTTTATTGGACAAAGTCTAATACAATCAGAAGACTCGCTTTTAATGAGATCCTCGTTCTTTCTTTTCCTTGCTCAACCCTGTAATATCGGGACTATATAAATTTATTACATCATTTTCTGTAGGCAATTCAGTTCGCAATCTCGCAACACTGCACCGCACAAGCTTATACACTGATTCCATGTGCGCCTCAAATCACTTGGCGTGTCATGGAAAATCCTCTCGTGGCACGCGTGCCAGGGGTTGCCGACTCCTGACATAGATGGTCCTCCTGCGATATCACCATACAGATTTTAGTAATTCACCCATCTAATCGACGGTCTGCATACTGCTGATTAGGTGGAGTGCATTAGTGATGTACTGATACCAATAAAATTAAAACAATATTTCAAAAAGCGGATATTTCGATATGTTGAGATGTGAAATCGAATTTGTGACCCAGATGCTAAAAGGCAGTTTATTGAAATAACTGCAACGTAATTTTCCTTGTAACCCTAGCCGATATATCGGTACATCACCTGGTGTGCGTGCGCAAGAGCTTATATAGTAATGAATCTGTAATACCGTCGAACACCTAAAACCCAAAACTGTAGGAGTCCACACAAAAATCAGTCTTTTGTAGTCGACCAGCAGTTTTATTGCATCATTTTTATGATGATAGGACATGGATGAATTTTTCAAGACAAGACAGACATTTATTTGGTCAACTCTGGCATAGTTTAGATTAACTACAGTTCAGACTTTCCTTTGATTTTGAGAAGTTCAACCTCAAATATGAGCGTGGCACCACCTAAAACAAAAAACCTCTTGTGATTATTTAGCTTGAACAAGTTGTTAAAATTTGATCTGATTTTCACATTATGTTTTCCATTGACCCTTCCAAGACTGCCTGCGACTCCTTACTTACCAGGTATCGGAGATCCACGGTCACCATACCCTGCAATGCATATAAATATCATTATTTGTGTTTTATTAATTCTGTTGATTTATAAATTTTTGTGAAGCAAATTCTTACCAAGATCGGACGGTATTTTTAATTTTCTTTTCTCTCCTTCGCACATGCTGAAAATATAAGAAAATTCAGTAACCTTTGACTTTTTATAGTTGGCAGTTGGCACAAAAATATATGAAGGAGTTTGGCAATGCTACGGAAAAACAGGGAATCCTCAAGAAGATTTGATAACATATGGAATCGTATGGAAGCCACGGTGTAAAGTTCTCCTAGATCAGAATTATAACGGTTCTTTGGAAAAACATAGGCAGCAGACTTTATAAAACGTGGTAGATCAGGGGTTCTCAAACTTTCGATGTTGCGGAGCCCTTGAAAGGTTGAATATTATTCACGGAGCCCCAAAATAAATGTTAAAATTGTTCCTTTCATATTAATATTCCTGAGCAAGTTAAAAGTACTTTACCTATTTCAGAATGCTGAACCTTTTTTAATAGGGTTAACACAAGTTATAAATAAATCTAAATTTTATACTAAAGCTGTTCTCCCTAAATCAAAAATTTCCCTCGGAATATAAATGTATTGTTATACACAATGACGACGTTAATTGCTTTTTTGTTCTCGTGGGGAATTGTGAGTTGAATGTGAAAAACATGTTACCATATTATAGTCATCGGCGACGAAATGCTAAAAATAATAATCAATAAAGAGGTAAATCCACATCTCAAATTTTTTGATTGAAAAACGGCATTCTAAAATATTAAAACTGAAACTTGAAATGGAAGATCACACGTTTGGTTTCAGAATACTCACCTCAGATTGAAAACGCTTTTATAGACATTGTAAATCACAAAATTTGGTGTTATGTTAGGTTTTCATCGTAGTAACTGCGAAATCGAAACACAATCAATTGTGCGCGCGATGTACCTTTTTTTCATTCTGAAACTACCGACGGAGCTGATTGCAATAAAATAATTTTCTATTGTTCGTATTTTGCTCAGACATTGTGATTTTTCAAACGGCGATATCTTGCTTAAAAATAATCTCAAGTGCGAAAGAACAAATCAAGTTTGACAAATCCCAATATCGCAAAAATACGACCCCAATTTATTTGTAGTTGGCATTTTATCACATATTTTATGTTTTTTTAGAATAGTATTCTTTCATTTTAGTAATCCTAATAGTAATCTCGAATCAAACGTGAGTAACGATGAGCACAATTACATTATAACGACGAGACACGTTAAATGCTCCATCGGTCATGGATTGAATATTTTAAGCAACAGAAATCTCGTTTTCCGTTTTTTTAATTGCGAAGAATGTTGCGCAGAAATTTCCGATTCCAATTTTGAACCACCTCCCTCTTAAGAATCCTGGCTGCGCTACTGCTTATAAATAATGTCATTTTTTAATTCCGCCTCTTTGCTATATTTCGATGCTATATTGTTGTCAGATTTTATCAAATCTGTTATTGCTTCTTTGAACAGTTACAAAATTTTGAGTCAGTATTTTGAAGAGTAATCGAATAGCTCGCGGAGCCCCTGGGTTTCTCTCGCGGAGCCCCGGGGCTCCGTACGGAGCACTTTGAGAACCTATGTGGTAGATTGTATAGAAGTGTGATACTTCAGAAATAGTAAGATTTCTTCTAAATATACATAAATTTGAAATCTTATTTGGTATATTCCAACAGTGTCTTTTTGAGTTCAATGTTAACATATTACAGATTGCTTCATTATTGATAAGAAAGTAAAATAGGAAGAATGTGTACAGCAGGCCTGCACAAGATGCGGCCCGCGGGTGATTTGGAAACACGCCACTTCTCGAGTCTAACAATCAAAGCCGGCATTGTTATGCAAGCTCACCGCTACTCCGATCATATTCAAAATTGTGAAATTTCTGTTTTGCACTAGTTTCATAAATATTGAACTTTGTGTGAAATTGGTGTGCCCTTCGCAACCCCTTAAAATCGTCGCTCGACCCCTCGCTCCCCAGTTTGCGAAAACCTGATCTGACTGGATCACGCATAAAACAATATCGGTATACAATCTCACACCCATCAGTGCATATTAGCAACCTATTAATAACCCCATTATTTTTACTAGCAGTTTATGAAACTGAAGTTTCTTCTTTGATTCAAATTTAGAACTTAACAAAAATTCTTTCATTTATGAATGGTGCAGAAGTTTTCGCACAAAAGATTTTGCTATTTACTGTAAAATTTCAAATAAATTGGAGCAGATTTTGTAGAAAAATGTAATTTAACAGTCAAAAAAGTACAACAGAGGAAGACCTATTGCTACTAAACGGATTGTTTGTCTAGCCTACGATGAAAATATTCAAGAATGGTAGATATGACTAAATAACTTGTCATACATATATTTGGGACGATTTTACAAATCTGAACCTGAGTAGAATATTTTCCTGCAGTCAGTTTATACTGCAACACGCAATACCTAATTCTAATGAAAAAGAAATATTGAAAATGAAGGATGGGTTTTCAAGGTAGATGAACCATTAAATACATATTTGCCATCTCCTATGCAAAAATACTGTAGGCCTACCTTGGTTTTACTCAAGAAAATAAGATTCTTTATATTTTTAAGTTCCCCACTAATGAAAGTGATTCATTAAATTTAACTGTTTCACAATATTATTTTGATTTTAGTTCAGCTTGTTAAATATGTATGTGGCAAAGTTTGCGGCCCGCCGGGCCTTCAGATTTATGCTTGCGGCCCTCGTGGTAATTTGAGTTGTGCAGGCCTGGTGTACAGGATCACATTTTATTAGGTGCCTTTTATTATGCTATAATTTGTTGTGGTTTTGTGTTGACTGCTTGGAACGCTTCGAAATTATGTATGAAACCTCTAAATACGATAATATTGCAATACGAAAATGTTTACTCTTATGTGGAGGCAGTGTGGACAAAAAACATGTAGCCTACTAGTAGATTTTAAACAAGTGAGCGAATTACCAAAACACTTGCGCAACTCATCGAAATCTGAAGTGTGATTACTCGGTCAAGACATTGCCTGGCAATCAATACCATTCTTGTCAAACACCTAATTAAGGGCCAATTGCCAAATAAAGCATCTTTGCCTTGTATATTGTATAACCAAGTGGCTACATTGATACAAAATAACAAACCAACATAATTTCTCGCGACCTGGCAAAAAATCAGGTCCACGTACCAGCGAGTGGGACCATTTGTTTAGCCTGCAGTGCTTACTCATGGAAGAAAAGATAAAGCTAAGGATAATGAACTACTCATTTGGATGTAACACGATCAAAAAAGCTACGAAATAGACAAATATTGTTGGGGCTCGTAACAGTACTCAATTACATTTACTAATACTCGTCGACCAGCACAAATATCACTTTCCAACTTTCAAATCATATTCACTTGTGAGCATGTTTAACAGAATTAGGCAACCCCACCCAGGGTCGCACCCACAGTTTGGGAACCACTGTCGTAGAGAGTTTTTTGAAGTCATCCTCAATTGACTCAGTAGGAGACAAGTAATGTTTACTGACTCCACGCTCTTCTTATGTTTATCGCATTGGTAATATACAGTCTGGCCATATATTATAAAAATTAAGACATCAAAATAGACTCGTCTTACCCAAGTAGTCCTTGGTCCCATCCTTTAATAACCTGTCCTACACCTAGTGTGAAAGTAAACGGCTGGTCGCGATCAACAGAACTATCAAATTTTGTACCATCTTCAAGAGTTCCCTAAAAATAAATGCAAAAATGAAGCAAACCTCTATTTTAATTAATCTATTCGATCAATATATTTGTTCCAGGGCCGGTCCAGTTGGAGTATTTTTCATGTTATTCTTGGATACATAAATATTGAGTGTATGGAGACCTTGTTTCATAATCACATCTCTTGTCTAGCTGGCATCAAAAAGTAAAAGGGAGAAAAGCCCCAGCACACGCATAGAGTTGAAGCATGAGTTAATGCTTTTGGGTGTCGCTGCTTGATAGCCAGCTTTGGTGCCCCGCGGCTTCCCCTCCCCAGTAAAATGTGTATTCAATATTATTTTTTCGTCTTAATTTTGCATGTTAACTTTTTTCACTGAATGGAAAAAAATAAACTTGACTATGACTAATGCTGATGTTAGATAACTAGAGGGAAATATTTTAGAAAAATTTGCGTAAAAAAATTTAATAATTGTGCCTGTTACTGGTATTTGCAATGGTTTATCAAGTCCTTACCATAACATGGTGGTCAGTTGTAGCTTCTTTATTCAACTATTAATAACCAGACAAGAAGCAAATGAAGCTAAGCTTTAAGTTTGGTTCAGATATCAGACAAGAATATTTTACCGTATAGTGCATATCTAAGACATCTCCCTTCTTCGCTTTCCTTGTCTCATCTTTGTTACAATTTTCTGGTTTGTGCTTCACTCCAATTTGAAGACTTTTTTTCTTTTCAGCAGCATTTACAGCCACAAGCACCAACACCAAAACGATTGAGGCTAATAATCTCATCATTATAACAAACTACAATTATAGGTATACAAACTTAAATAAGATAGTAACAGGAAGAAATCAAAACTTTAGCATAAATTGTTATAATCAAGAACAATATAATCAATATCAGATAATAAGAATAGGAAGGTATAATGGTAATCCACCATTCTTGTCTTGAGATGATTTATGTCATTGGATTGTATATTGTCCTATTATGAACAAATCAGGGTAAATTCAATGACACTGTCACATGCATGACCTTTAGTATTGAGCACATCCCTAAAATTTATAAAACCAACTTAAAAACGATATAAATCAAATGCCTGCCTACAAAATAGCAGTATGCGCAGGAAATAATATTCCGTTACACAGGAAACAATGGATCACCTGTGTTACATAAACACATACAAATACAATAACAATCTCAGAAAATAAATAGGGTATATTGATTAACTGATTTAGCACCAAATAAAATATGCCTGGTGCAAATTTGGAAAATGGACAATGGCTTTAATCATTGAAGACATTTCAAATGGTTAAGTATATGGTTCAAAATATTACATTCCACAGCACTTGGAATAGGAAGCATCAACACATTTTTAAACACTGAATTGGTTGAACATTTCAAAATCTGAATAAGGTGTCAGAATCATCACTCCACATAAAATAATACAGCCTAAATAGAAATGCCCAATCTTTTTTTTACCTTTATTTACCTAAATCTATTGAACATTACATAATGGAAAGTTGGCCTACAATTTCTTCTTTATATATTCCTAATCAGACTGAGAAATAAATATAGCAGTATTGAAAATTGAAACATAAATCAACAAACAATAAATGATGAATCAAAAATAAAGATTGCACATTTTATTGAAAATAAGAAAAACTGAATAATAACACAATAAATTTCTTCACATTTAAATTAACAGGCATATAATCAAATTTGCTATTAGTTATTATACTTTCATATTTCAAAATCAATAAATTCTGTATAATTTCATCTGATCAAAAACAGTATTATGCTAAATAAATAAACTTGGGACATGAAAAGAACATAAAAGCGATATGTTCAGAATAGCAAATGCTGTGTTTGAAAAAGCTGACTTTGGCTGGGTTTTACAATCCAAAATTGAATTTGTGAAAGTGTGATTCAAGCATTTTCAACATCTCTGCCTAGCCAGATATGATTAACCAATCAAAAATACCCTTCAATCCAAAAATTTTCAAGTATTTATACCAGGGGTGACCAACCTGCTTTAGACCGCGATCGACTAAAATCTTCAAAATAGCTTGCAATCGACTGATTGGTAATAAGATCATACACAAAAACGAATGAGTACTGAATATGCAGATAACTGCACACATGTATACAAATAATTCCACTGCTGCCAATAAGCTCGGCTCTGGGAGTGCATTTTCAATGAAATTGCCACAATAATTTGTATTTTTATGATCCATTTAATTTGTTAATTTGATTATGTATGATATTCAGCACATTCATTTCACGGTAATTTTTTGGGGTTTGTTATTAAATTCACTCAACATCAGACTATCGATCGCGATCGACGTGTTGGCCACTCCTGATTCATACTATAATAGCTATTTTACAACACAGTATCTAATATGTTATACATATGAAAAGTGGAATCATTAGAAAAATATAATTGCACAGACGAAGCTCGTTGCTGATTATATTTTTAATAAAGCTAAAAAATTTGAATGCTGCATTCCAAATTACTACAGCACCGAAAATTTAAGTTCACAAATGCAGGTTGAAATCAAAATAGACCCAATGGGTCATCAGTTACAGTGGCTGTTTTAGCCTTTTCCGGTTGAGATATATTCTTTTTAGTAGTGGTTGCCTTCTTCGGTTTACCAGATGGTTTATTTGAGGTTGACTGGAAGATATCTGCGACATCATCATCGTCAAAAATACATGAAGCTGGTGCTTTTGAGGCCTTAGCTTTCTTCTCACTTTTTTTAGTCTTTTTCTGCGGCAACGTTTCTGCGAATATATCATCATCAAAAATGCTGTTGTTTGCGGCAGCTGTTTTCTTTTTCTGGGCTTTCGGTGATTTTTTAGGTGGAATTTCTGCCGTAATTTCATCATCAGCGAACAGATCTTTTTCAATGTTTTTCTTAGATTTAGCAGAAGGAAGAGTAAAATCTAATTCATCACCAAATATATCCATATCGTCTATGACTTTTTTCGTTTTTTCAGATTTAGGTTTTGCTTCTGGAAGTATATCACCAAATATATCATCATCTGATGGCAATTTACTCTCTCTTTTTGACGTCTTTCTTTGATTAGTTTTACCAAAAATATCTCCTGCATCCTCCATGTTATCTTTTTCACTATCATCACCGAATATATCATCCTGTTTGCTAGGTTTTTTCTTATTTTTAGACAAAACGCCGCCTGTAATGTTGAGATCTTCAAACAGCTCATCGACATCATCATTGAAAGACAAATTTGGGGCTGATTTTTTCTCTTTGTTGGATTTTTCATCTTTCAAAGTATCACCGAATATATCATCATCGTCAAACAATTTCGGTGCTTTGGTTTTAGACTTGGTTGACTTGCTCTTAGAAAATAGCGAACCTGAAAATAATTCCGCATCAATATCTACAGAATCTATTAAAGCTGTTTGAGGTTTTTCTTTTTCAGCAGGTGTTTCAGATTGTTGAAATATATCAGAGGTGGATTTTTGCTCCTTCGATTCAGAAATTTTATTCGGTTTGTTCTTCTCTCCTCCACTCTGCTTTTTCGAGGCACTGTCTTCTAATGGAGGTTTAGGAGCCGAGATTTCCTTATCATTGAGAATATCACTGGTGAAAGTTGATGGTGGACTTGAAACAGGTCGGCGAGATTTTCCATGACGACTAGGTGGGCGCCGGTTCGCCTGTCCTCGAGCTCTTGTCTTGTTTACGCTCTCAAGTGTCTTCAGAACAGGGGGTTTGTCAAACGATACTTCTGTCTTTTCATTTGGTTTTGGTTTAGGTACAGCACCTGGTAATAAAGTGGAAGGATTGAAGGAGAGACCAGCACGTAATTCATTCACTGATTTCTTGCCACCAGACCCATCTATCATCACTGGTTTGCTTTTAGTCATAATCGGTGAATTTCCAAATGGCTTAAATGGTTTTGCTGTGGCATTACTAAATGATTTCTTGGTCGTGGTGGGTGACGGTACAATAACTGGTTTTGTCAATTCGACTATAGGTCTTGTTTCATCGGATTTAGTAGATGTTTCATTTACAGTGGGTAAAACAGCATCTTCCTTTTTGTCTTCATCTTTCAATTTGGAGCTAGCATCTGACGTTTTTCTTGAGCCTTTCTCTGAATCAAAATCAGCACTGCTTGAAGACTTGTTGCTTATTTCGGAAGTTGATCGTCTTTTACTGATTGCGGCAGATAGCTCAGCGCCACCAAAACCTCCTCCAAACATTGCCACTGCTCCTGCGGGTTTCTTTTTAGGTGGAATAATTTCTTCCTTTTCAGATTCATCTCCTGATTCTGCACTGAATAAAGAATCTGATTTGCTTTTCATAATCTCTTCATTCTTTATATTATTTGATTCAGGCTCTTTTTTTACTGGCAAACTTTGGCCAGGAGAAAACAAATCATCACTGTCGCTACCATCACTTAATAATGACTTCTTTTTTACTTTATCATTATCCTTCGATTTGGATTTTGGTTTTATAGCTCCGGTGAAGTCATCATCGGAATCACTATCAAAAAGCCCTTTAGCTTTGCTATCAGTTTTTGGTTTAGCAGTTTCTTTGGTTTTACCGGTATCTTTTGGTTTTGACTTGCTTTCCACAGGTGGTTTCGGTTTTGTTTTCATTGATGAGAAGAAATCATCATCGGATTCACTATCAAAAAGTCCTTTTGATTTGTTAGCAGTTTTATTCACTGGAGGTGGTTTATTAGAGAACATAGAATCATCATCCGAAGAACTGTCAAGCGCTGAAGGCTTGGTTGGTTTAGCTGATTCTTTTGATGACTTCGAAATATCATTTTTCTTTATTTCTGGTTTCTTTACAACAACTGGCTTCTTTGGTGCAGGCTTCTGAGCAAAGAAATCATCATCACTGCTATCATCACCAAATAGATCAGATGCTGGCTTCTTAGTTTTTTTATCTGCTTTAATCGACATAGGAGGGGGCTTTTCATTTTCTGAATCACTACTACTTTCAAGAAAAGATTTTGATTTTGGCTTTGAGGTTGCAGAGATGTTTTGTTTCGACGGTGCTTTCTTAGCAAATAAATCATCATCGTTATCTTCTTCTTCATCAGCGAGGAATAAATTGCTTCCCTTCTTGGTTGAATACTGTTCAGAATGTTGAGAGGTTGTATCACTTCTTGTTGTGTCACTCTCTCTTCGAAGTTTTGATAGTAGTTCTTTGTTCATTGCCCCGCTAAACATTGATACCCCACCAAGAGGCTTAGAAGATTTTTCTTCAACTTCATCATCTTTGTCTGATTTCTCTTCTTCTTCAGATGACAATGTTTGACTTTTATTGTCTCTTATTTCATCTTCTTCTGATACTTCATCAGATTCTTCATCCTCAATATCAACGTCATCAAAGAGACCTCCAGATTTCTTCTTTTTATCAAATAAGTTTGTTCCAGCACCAAATAACCCACCAGCATTAGCGAATAAATCATCGCCGTCTTCTTCATTCGAACCAAACAAATCAACATCCTTTTCTTTTGTAGCTGTTTTCTTTTTTTTTGAAATTTTTGATGAAGTTCGATCTTTCTTCGGAGGTTTCACTTGTGGTGCTGGTGAATTTTCATCCTCGCTCGAACTGTAATCATTTTTCTTTCCAAATAAGTCATTATCTGACTGACTATCAGAAGTGAAGCTTGCTTTTTTAGTCTTTTTCACAGAACCAGCTCTGATATCTTTCTCGTTATCTGAATCACTAGAAATACTATCAGAATCATATTCAGATGATGATGATGTAATTGAATCTTTTTTATCATCACTTGGCTTTTCAACCTCTTCATCTGATTCACTAATGCTTCCTTGATCATCTTGAATTTCATCTTCGCTTGGGAGATCTTTGATTCCAACATCCTCAGACTCTTGAAATCCTCTACTTCCAATTAAATGTGGTAAAGGTCTTGTTACATATGGATCTTTTGGTTCATAAATATTAGTTGGCAAATTATTTGTGCCTTGCCCATCTTCAGCATCTGAATCCATATCAGAATCATAATCAGAGTTTGCTGCATTCGCATCCAAAACATCAAAAGCGTCGTCAAGAACTTTGATGCCACTTTGTATTGCTTCTCTGAGTTTAGGAAGAGCATCAATCTCAGTTTGTTCTTTCACTTTATTATCTGATTCTTCTTTTTCCTTTGACTCTGCGTTTGTTTCCTCTGAAACATCCTCGTCATATACTCGATTTTCAATAAATTGAGAATCACTCAAGGTTAAAAACCGATCTGCAACACTGCGCATTTTAGTTTCGGTCATACATGTCTCGTGAACTAAATTGTTTATTGCAAGTGTTGATTCATGTGCTTTGGCCATAAAATTTGTCGAAAACTCTTGCAAATATTTTAATAAACCGGCATCTGCAGCTAAATTCCAATCTGCAGAGTTTTGTCGCAATTCATTAGAATTCCATGCATGCAACCATACTTTTTGATCATTTGAAGTTGGCCCATTGGCCAAAGTATCAGTTTCTCCAGCAGGCTCCGAAGTAGGGCCATTTGTCACTAATTCAGATGACATTATACCAAAAATATTCTATATTAACACATTGAATTCTGAGAATTTGCAAGTTTCACAGAGTTTATGGTTTCTATGAAGACTACAGATGTAAATAACTATGCAATGATAAATTCATTTTAAAGAGCTGTTTGATTCTCATGGCAGATTCAAACAATACAATAATCAGACATGTACAAGTCTTCAAGTATTTTGTGGCTCAACTGCCGCACATGGCATTTCCAAAAGAAGCAAAAACCGATGAGTTTAGTGCCAAAACATAGACAGCTTCCGTGGTTACGCGCAATGAATACCCAATTTTCTGCGTAACACGCTCGGCTGTTAATGAGGCTTCCCTATTGCTGATGGGAAAATTGTGAGTTGGAATGTTTTTCTATGGATACATTTGTCGATTGGGTTAGGTGAGGGTTTAAGTAGAATAATTTCGCAGACTAAAATATGTGGTACATGAATTTTAAAACGGTATAGCGCCTAAACATGAGGAGAGGCGTGGTCTTCGTAGGAAGCTTGCCATGAATGGTAAGAAGCTCATGTTAAATTAAACAAAGAGCAAAAGAAGCAAAAAGTATAAAGACACATTCATCCTTATTTTAAAGCTCTTTTTTTGCAGATGAATGCATCGTTGCCACATACCAGTTGAAATTTACAGATTAAAATTTAAACTTTCCTGATATTAGAAACGCTGATATAGCTCGAACTGAAAGTACATTACGGCTAGCTGCTACACATACACTAACATAAGTCAATTTTGAAAGACGGTACGGACTGTACCGGTCTAACGACAGACTGATGTATGGATGTACTACACAGCTAAACTTGTTAGCTATGGGTTACCGTATTAACATAACTTTACATTCAGACATTGTCATTTACCGTATGCTGGTAGACTACGGTATGATCTGTATGTTGATGATAATTTTGCTGGCTTGCTATCAATGATCCTTTCACCAAATAACGTAGCCCTTGATTGATAATGAGGATTCGGAACACAATTGCATAGTTTAAAATTCCGGATAAGTGAAGAAAATTAAATATACATTACTCATATATAAATTGTACTGTATTTCACATATTCAATATCAACAATTCATTGTATTTCCATTCATTGTAGTTGATTGTTGTCTCGAATGTTATCATGGTTAAGGTAATTAAATATATTTTATATTAGCATGGAAAAACAAAATTTATAAAGATTGGATAGAAAATCTAAAGACTTGCCACGTTAATAGGATTTTCCCATTTCCTGTTTGTGTAAATGTTTTTATTCGCATATACAGTAATAAAAAATATCTGCTAATGTACGGCAGATTGTTCAACCCCCAAAAATTCCTGTAACGGAACCACAGTCCACACGTATCCATTAATATGAAGTCAGGCGTTAATTTCAGTCACGTGGTTTTAGTTGTGGGGGGATCCCCGAGTCGCACGTTTGTGGAATTTCATATTGACTACTAATTCTAATAATACTAATACTAATAAATAATAAATACTAATAAAGGAAAGAGAAATAATTAAATTTAAGAACTGCATAAATCAAAGAGAAGTTTATAAAGGATTTGCAGATGACATGACACTAACCCTTGAGTCATTGTCATCTGTAGATTCAGTGTTAAAATTAATGGGATTATTCCAATATGGGACTGGTCTTAAAATAAATAAGAACAAATGTCAATTACTGATATGTGGAACTGGCCGTTGAGTGAAACCTATAAGGGTATAACTGTAAAACGTGAAGAGATTAAATTACTAGGGGTATATATTGGAAATACCTATAAGTCTAGAGATAAAAACTGATTGAACATTTTGGCAAAAATACAAAAAATTATAAATCTTTGGAAAGGGCGGAATCTAACTATTGTTGGAAGAGTTCTTATAGCTAAAACATTGCTACTATCAAAATTATGGTACATGGTCAGTTTTGAATTTATGCCAGAAAAATATATCCAGAAATTGGAAGTAGTCTATTTATTTGGAATGAAAAAGCACAAATTGTCAGTAGGAATATTAGATGTAGTGAACAAAATGAAAAGGGTATAAAAATGATGAACGTTAGGAATCAAATTAAGGCATTGCAAGTAAAATGGATTCTCAAATTGCTTGAGGGAGCTATTAGTCCTTGGGCTAATAGAGCAAAATTTTATGTGAATAAGTATTTTGAAGTTTTGTCAAAAGGTAACTCAGAATGTTTACATTTGAATTTCAAATTGGAAACTAATATAAGTATTCCAAAATGGTATACCAGTATTATTAACTTATTCAAACAAGTTAGCTTAGAATGGAATTAACCACAAAACTATGCAGAAATATTGCAGGAAATTATTTGGCACAATCCATTAATCTTAGATAGGAACAAAACTGAACTAGCTGCAAAATTAAATTGGGTCCAAGCAAAAATAATAACAGTGGGTAATATACTTGACAAAACGTTTGATAGCCTATCCAAAAGAATTTATCCACAATTACAAAATAATACAATGAATACGTTTAGGAGAAGTAGTTTACTAAATAAGTGTTCAAATGAGTTAAGGCAAGTATGGGAAGCTCTTCCGATAGAATGGAGGGAAATCCTATCAAGAAATAGAGAAAATAGTCCAAAAAGGTTACTTATCAACAGGTACAATGGGTCGAAAGACTTATCCACTAAACAAATTTATGGGCTTTTGCAAAGAAAGAAAAATAGTGCATTTTTGAATAATCACAATGAATATATCATAAACTAACCCAATTCATTAATTGGAACAAAACATGGAAATTTAACATAGGGAATAAGTATAAGGAGTTGTGTTGGAAGGTTATTCATAATGGACTGCCAACAGGGGATAAAATAAAACACTGGTTCATGAATGAACCAGGTATATGTGTTATGTGTGAATGCAATAGTGAAGAGGCTTTATGTCATTTATTTTTGGAATGTCAATGGGCTGTTGATTTCTGGCAATGGTGCTACATAGAAAATGATCAAAATACTATTTTAGCAAATGATTCGGAATCCAAATCTAAATTAATCACAATAATATGCGGAAAATCAACAATTTGGGAATATAGAAATTTAGTCAAATATGATGAAATAGTTAAAAGTAAAAGTAATATGCGATCAATTTTCAAATGTAAACTGATAGGAATCTTAAATTTAATGAAAACAAGTGAAAGGAATGATTTACTATTGTATGAACATATGGATGATCTCATACATAGATCAATCATGATGTGACATTGACATTTTCTATGCAACACCAACTTAAATGAATAGTATATGAAAGGATTCAAATGTCCAAATTTATGAATCATTTGGATTTAATTCATACATAGATAGTGAATAGAAAAATGCCAAAACACCCACTTTGGCTGTTTTCTGATTTTCTGTCTAATTTTCTAATTTCCATGCAAAAATTAACTAAATCGATTAATTATTGGTAACTATCTATAAAATGTGTGCACGAATTGGATGATGGCTACGATGATATGGATTTACGTAATTTTAATGGATATACATTGGACTATATATGATACAAAACTCCGGTAATGGTATGGTTTTATATTTTAATTGTTACATATATTATTGAACTTGTGGGCAATGTGTTTGAAATCATGAAACTATTTTAATTTGATACAAATTATACTAATTCGACACTAAAATCAATATACAAAAATACCGTTTGGCATTGGAATTTATTTGGCAAAAAAAAAAAAAAATTACTAATTCTGAATTTCATTAACTTTCACCATTTATTGCTTAATAAGTATTGTCGGTTACACCAGAAAGGTATTGTCAGTTACACCATTTTAAACTTCTCATGAGGTTTAAAATGCAGAAGTTTCTTGTGCCCGATGTCAGGATGTACAAAAATTCAAGCAGCAAAAAAAACTAGGTGAATGAAACTCGGACCTGACGATGAGCAGAATATTTAATTTTGAAGATTCAACAATAGTTACTGGTTTGGAAGTGATTGTGTTTTTGAGTAAATTTATTTACTGATAAATCTTCTGTTAAAAACAAATTTTTCTCAATATCTGTTATTTTTTTATTTCTGGACTTCTGAGTAATTGACAAAATGCTGAAATGTGGCAAATTATATGGGAAAATGTTGAAATGGTCTCATTTTGTGCAAGAAATATTACCAGAAGCGTTGTAGGTTTCTTAAATGATCCTTCTCCATATAATTTTTTTAATTGGTTGGGGAAAATCTGTTTGTATTCTTTTTTGAGTCTAGGCCATATCTTTCCTATCTCTACTTCTCAATCGACAATCTCAATTTATTTTATGATCGTAAAACGCCTGCTATTCTAATTCTTTAATTTGAAATATCTTATCAACTTGATTCCGCTCAATTTTCCAGTTTTTTTCAACTAAATCTGATTCTGTGCAACAATATAATCATTATTACGAATTACGATGGTTAAAAAGAAAAACAAGAAAGAAAAAGGAAGAGGTGCAGAAAAGGCAGCACAGAAATTAGCGAAGAAATCAAAAAAAGACGAAGGTGTTGAAGATTTGGAAGCTTTGATTGCTGAATTCAAAGTCATCGACAAGAAAAAACATGAAGTTTTTGAAGAAAAATCATCACCGCCTTCACCAAGAATAAATCTTTCTGTTACTGTTCATCCAGAAAAAGATGAAATTTTGTTATTTGGTGGTGAATATGACACTGGAAATAAAACTTATGTCTATAATGATCTATATCTTTATAATATAAAGAAAAATGAATGGAATCATCTGTTTGTTCCTAATCCTCCACCACCTAGATGTGCCCATCAAGCTGTAGCTGTTTCAAAAGATGGCGGTCAATTATGGATATTTGGAGGGGAATTCGCATCTCCTACACACAGTAAATTTTATCATTATAAAGACTTATGGATTTTACATTTACTAAATAAACGTTGGGAACAAATCGACAAACCAGGAGGGCCATCACCAAGAAGTGGCCATAGAATGGTCAATTTTAAAAAGCAATTAATTGTTTTCGGTGGATTTCATGAAAGTTCAAGAGACTTTGCTTATTTTAATGATTGCTACAGTTTTGATCTAACAGAATATCAATGGAGTAAAATTATTCCGACAGGAAGAGGTCCGTCACCAAGATCTGGATGTCATTTATTATCTTCTTCAAATGGCATTGTCATTATTGGAGGATATTCAAAAGTAAAAATTAAGAAAGATATTGATAAAGGAACACCACATGATGACATGTTTTTTCTCGAACCTGACACCATTGGTGGCAAAGACACATCTGCTATTTTAAAATGGAAATGGGGAAAAGTAAAAGAAAGTGGATCAAAGCCATCGCCTCGGTCAGCGTTTGGAATGGCGACAATCGGAGGAAATCGTGTCGTCATGTTTGGAGGAGTATTTGATGAAGACGAGGAAGATGATATTTCAAGTATATTTTATAATTCAATGTATTGTCTTGATTTAACATCTTTTAGATGGTTTCCATTTGATTTGAGAAAAACCAAGCAGAAATCAAAGACAAAAAAATCAAAAAATGTAGAAGAAAGCGAAAAGATGAATGAAGATGAAAATGAAGAAGAACCTATGGAAACAGATGAAACAGAAATTGAATTGAAAGAAAACGAAGACGATTCAGAGAAAAAGAAGAATATTGTTTGGATTCCATGTGGAAGAATGAACCCCGTACTTGTGACAAAACACGGATTTATGTATTTGTATGGAGGAGCTTATGAAGAAGATGAAAAGCAAGTTACTTTGAATGATATGTGGTGCATCAATTTAAAAACACTGACAACTTGGAAACAACTCTATGAAGCTGATGACACAAGTGGTGACTGGCATGAGTCGGACAGTCAGTCATCATCTGAAGATGAGAGTGAAAAAGCTGACGAAGCTGTAGGAGGAACATATGACAATCAGGGTACGAAAGAAACCAAGAGTGATATAAAGAAAACAGTTCGACATCCAAAACCTGAGGAACAGGAAGGTAAAGATGAATACTGGCTTAGAACGTCGGAGTATTGGCTTGAATTAATGTGCGATGAAGCTGATGAAGATATACCTGCTGATAAAATCAAGATGGCTGCAGAGGAAATGGCAGCTGCATGGTTTGATAAAAAGATGAAGAAGAAACTTAAAAAAATGGACGAGTAAAGAAGTTACAGACCTCAGTTATACTGGAAAATATAATATGACCATTTAAGTTGGAAATAATTTGCACGTTGTAGAAATATCATTTATCGGTAGTAAAAAGCCCGCTCAGTTCTATTTCATGCTTCGCTGTAACAAATTTTGAATATTAGAGAACGTATCATTGCAAATAAGTTGTTAGAAATGCTGTACTGTCAGTACTGTTTAAAATGTTAAGAAATGGCATCCATCTTGACGTATGTCATTTAGTAATTGCACACTTTGCTACTGTACTGCAATTTAATTTGATGATATTGTTCTTTGTACTAACTCAATCATCTATATTTTTTTCTTAGCAAATTATTTAGATATCAAATATTAGTCAAGCCCATTTCAATATAGAAATGCTCTAAATTGATGCATTTTATTGATGACTTGACTTGCTGCATCAACCATATAATATGGGGAAAAGCAAAAGACAGAGTATTCATCAAAAAGATGTATTTCATCGATTAAATTATTTATATCAGGCTGCTCATACAGTGCTGACGATTAATCCTATGGATTGGGATTTATCAAGACATTACACGAATACTTTAAGAACTTTGGCAAAAAAGAATGTTCTGCGTCTCCATCCACATCTTAAACGTACGCTTTGTAAAGGATGTGATTTGTTACTAATACCTGGAATAACTTCAAAAGTTCGAACAAGTGGAAAAAGAGAGAACCATATTATTATTGAATGTTTGCACTGTGATACTCTGAAACGATTTCTTTGTAAAAATGATTATGTGTTATGGCATGATAATCCAAAAAATATTAAAGAAATTGTGATTTTAGAAAAAAGATCTATCGTTTTTGCTAAAACTGGAAGGGGTAAACAATTAAATGAAAAAAGGCAAACAGAAGTCATCTTCAGATGAAATGCAGCAGTTAGGAAAAATGAAACAAGATAATGCAATTTATAACAATTGAATACTTGGAATAATTTTTATTATAGTTATCAAAAATGTATCGACCATTGAAATATGTATGTTATCTAAAATAGCCTTATTTTGTAGTTTTGTTATGTGCCGTATGTGAATACTGAACTTTTTAGCAAATGTTACTAGGTAAAAAGAAGTCTTGTTACATTTTCCAGTGAAAATAGTATTTTTTTTAAAGAACACAGTATCTTAAGTAATCTAGTAATTTTGAAATATCGTTCAGAAAACAGTTGTAGTAGAATATTTATTTTGAATCAATTGATTTACTGGCCCATGTGCATGTCTAACATGTTTGTAACAGTGTACATAACACGTGTTAAAATGATATACTTCACATGATATTGTAATTGACTGTAAACAAACATCTTTAGCCATTGTTTTCAAAATCCATTTTAACTGCAAAATTTGATTTACATCAACTTTATCTTATCTTTTCATATGGATTGCTACAAGAAATTCTTATTATCGTAACATTTGTTCATTTTTTGAGTTCATTTTATGAATCATGCCAGATGTCGATACATTATGTCTTTTCATTTAAAAGTAAATTTATTTCTTCATTTAGTAATAAACATTATGCGAGTAATACAAAATGCGAAATATTTATCTACGTGTCAAAACCATCCAGTCATTGTGTCAGATTCGCAATGCGAGTAAAAATACATCTCCGTTTTCTCATACTGTTTTACTTCCAAAAACAACATTTCCAGCCAAAGTCTCTTCCAGTATTGCTCAAATAGAAAATTCAATTCAGCAGGTAAATCAACAGTAATTTACTCTAGTACATGATTACTGGCGACTCTCAACAGTCAACAGGGTTAACAAAATCATTTTTAATTTTAGACTTACAAATTTGATGACTTATATGAATGGCAAAGAACCAATAATGAAGGAGAAGAATTCATACTGCATGATGGGCCGCCATATGCAAATGGTGATGTTCATGTTGGACATGCACTGAATAAAGTAAGTTCATTTCAAAAGACGACTCAGACTTCCTCATCTCCAGGTTGTCATATATTCTGAATCCGAAAACAGTCTCCAAGTTGAATGAAATTTCCAAATTCATGAAAATCTAATTTTAACTTCATTATTTGTCTTTTGAAAATAGTCTGTCACCGTAATAGTTTACAGTTACTGCTGGAAATTTAGACTTTTATTCAAGCTCTGGAACTGGTTTGGAGTCACAATGCTCCTTCGCTTTGACCCCAATACTAGATGGGAGAAAAATTGTTTATCAGTATATACATTGTGCCTCTGGGCTCTGATTGAATATCTGGCGCGGTTTGCAGGATTCGTAGGAAATACTTATGTGCGACAGTTTGCTTGACTCCTCATTGTTGCAGGGTGATTCTCAAAACCGCTGGTCGGTTATGACTTCCTTCGTCATCAGGTCCATGTATGAAACAAATATCTGATAAACTATTTTCATACTCGACATGGGCTGGAAACTGGATGACAGGCTGTGGTTTGTCATATGATTAAGTCATCTTTTTGGCTTTTCTCTCTCCTGAGATAAATATGGAATTCCTTTCAAATAGATATAGAAAATATTTTACTCAGCTCTAGTTTAATAATGCAGAAATTGAAATATCATTTTTCAGATTCTTAAAGATGTCACGAATCGTTATAAAATGATGAGAGGTTATCGTGTCCATTACGTTCCAGGATGGGATTGTCATGGATTACCTATCGAAATCAAAGCTATTAAAACAAGTGACCATCACACACTTACTCCTATGCAAATTAGGACTGAGGCGAAGAAATTTGCGGAGAAAACTATATTGAGACAAAAAGATGCCTTCAAAAGATGGGGAATAATGGCAGATTGGAGTAATGAAGGCTGTTATTTTACATACACAAAACAATTTGAAGCCAAAGAAATTGAAGCATTTTATGAAATTTATAAAAAGGGATACATTTATAGAGATTTAAAACCTGTCTACTGGTCACCCTCAAGTTGCACAGCATTGGCAGAAGCTGAGTTGGAATATAACACAGATCACAAAAGCAGGTTGAGATATTTTACATTCAGTTAATGGAAAAATATTGCAATGCGGATGTCAATTTTTCCGAATACTACTAAAATCATTTATTGAATTTTTTTGTTTTTAGATCTGTCTATATATCTTTCCCTATGACAGACATTCCACCATTTCTGAAGGATTTTGTTCCAGATAACTCTGTTATAAATATCATTGTGTGGACCACTCAACCATGGACAATACCTGCTAACCGTGCTGTCTGTTATGCTAATGATGAAAGGTACTGAATGGCACATCATAGACAGCAATATTATGCTGTGAACATTGTTTTCTGGGTTGGGAAGCTGTACTGTTTTGTTGTTTTGTTGGAGCTTGCCATATTAGATGGAGCTAGTGCTAGAGCTACCAGAAATTTTTGTAGCTTCCACTACTAACCATCTAGTTCCTTTTTTCGCAATTGTAATTTTCAAATAAGGTACTTCTTACAAAAAATTAAATGTATCCTTTTTAGCTTTCTAATATTAATTTAAAAGTTTAAAGTTTAATTCTAAAATTTGAAGCGCTTATATCATAGTTTCATTAAGTGTTGTTTTAGTTAATTAATATCTTTCAGGATAAAAATGATGATTTCACGGTAGTGAATGATTTTGGCACGTCAATTATTGGAAATTAGGGTTTTTATCTAACTTCTAATTATAAAACTCTTACATATCCTCATACAAAAAATTTTTACAGTTACCACCTAGGTAGAACTGAAGATGGTAGATTTTTTATCCTAATTGGAAAACAGCAAGAAAATTTACAAAAGATATTTGATGCCAAACTCCACACATTACTGACGTTTGAAGGCAAAAAACTTGAAGGAATGAAATGCAAACATCCAATGAATGCCACAAGAATCACACCACTGTTGCCATCATCTCATGTAACATTAGACAAAGGAACTGGATTTGTTCATGTTGCACCAGCGCATGGGGCAGAGGATTTTATATTGGGAGTACAACATGGACTTGATGTGGTAAGCAATGACAGATACCAATCTCTTCTGGCAGATGAAGTTGAATTTTTAAATTTTCTGCAGTCAGTTAGAATATCAGGCTTCTACTAGAGTCAAATTTTGACAAACGTAAACGGCATTAGGCTGACTAAGCATTCTTAACAGACATTCAAATAAAGCTTGCATGCCCCAAAATTTTCATTATCAAAATTGGGTTTTCTCGACTTCAGAAATGAAATCAAAGTTAAAATTTCATTATTCTGGAGTCAAGATCCAAGGTCGGTTTTTATTTGAATCAAAAATTGGTGTCGGAGTCTGATGTAAACTTTCCTTACTTTACATTCCAGACTTTTTCTATTGTAAAATTTTCATAAAAAAACAAATTGATAACCAGAGACAACGATCTTTTTGGAGTTTCATTTTCTCCTGTTAATTTGGCACGTAAGATGCAGTAATGATAAGTTATTTTCTCAGCTTGTTGCCTTTGTTTTAATCTTTTACCTTTTACTTTCTTCATCTTTTCAGACTAGTGGAGTAGATGATATGGGAAAATTTACTGAAATTTCTGGATTTGATTTGGATGGGATGTTTATTTTTGATGACGGAAATGATTCAGTTATCGAGAGATTAAAACAGAATAATAAATTGATTCACGAACATGAATATATTCACAGCTATCCTTATGACTGGAGAACAAAGAAGCCTATATTTGTTAAAACAAGCAGGTAATGGATTTCCTACTTGGGTATAGTTTGATCATACGACCATTATTCCTGTGTTTTGCTATGAACAAGGTCCTGTAAAAAACACTGGTATCCAACAATATGTTGAGGTGCTAGTTCGATTCAGTATTGCCTATACTATTTATTACACTCTTGTATGATTTTACCTTGAGATACATTATGATCTATCGCAGTAGTTCTCGGACTTTTCAAGCCGCGCCCCCTTTTTAGAATTTGTCAAGTCTCGCCCCACCTCGTGGATGGAACGTAAATATCCAAAAAAAAGTACCGGTAATGTTTAATATCCGAAATGAGGAGGGCAAGATCAAATCTAACAAATATTTTTAATCAGCTTCACGCCCCCTTGTGGGACGTGCCCCACCGTTTGAGAACCACTGGTTAATGCTTTGACTGTTAGGTCATTGCTCCCATCTGAAATGTGTTATCAAGTCGAAGTAATGATTAATTATCAAACGCTTTTTCTATGGCCCCATCATGAATATAACAAGCATAGCAATTACATTTCATTAACATGTGTTTGATGAACAACATTATATTGGGTCAATATTATTACAGAGAATCTCAAATAAGATTCAATTTTCACTTTATGAAATTCAGATATGCTCCGTTTTTATAATAAAAATTTTAGCATGAGAGTGAAAATATGGATCAAAATTTAATTTGTCACACGATTACAAAAATTGAATAAAACGTACAATTTGATAAAATAGAAATAGTAGCTATAAGATATTTTAGAGATTGTCAAAGGAAGTTCTGTATGAGAATAGGTCTTGCAAGTATCAATCTTACTGGTTCTAGATTCGGGATTGAGTATCTAAACAATAAGCTTGCATTTAAAAAGACTGGTTTTTGTTTCAAAGTAGTCCGTCAAACATAATATTGTGTCTGTTAACATCAAATATTAGTTTTTATGTTTTATGTTTCACAGGCAATGGTTCGTAGACACAGAATCTTTGAAAGGAACAACAACAAAGCTACTTGAAGATGTAAAAATCATTCCAACTTCTGGTCGTGCAAGTATGATGTCACAATTAAAAGGAAGAACATTTTGGTGCATTTCAAGACAGAGAGCGTGGGGTGTACCAATACCTGTATTTTACCAAAAGTAATTAATTATTATTATTCATTAAAATTGCCTCAAGCCTCACATCAATCGTTGCCGTAAACTTTGCTCTGTGATCAATCTCTTTAATTTCTGGGTGAGTGCTCATTACCTTGCTTTAAGGAAACTTTATCCAAAAAATTTATGGTTTTTAGTTAATAGTAATATAGATTTATAGATGTTTTAAAGTAGATATGGTTGTCGGAATATTAAATGAAGATTGATACCCAAATTAGCTAATAACAGAGGTTGTTTAACAATAAATTTGAATTGTCGCAATAAAACCTTTTGGCTGTTTTATTTTGTGTGGATATGCATTATTTTTATCACATGATCCAAAAATTTCTCTTTTTCATTTAACATATCACAGAAATTGTGTCTTATGTTATAAAAATATTTTAATGCATTCAACCTGGAAATGTATAATGTATAATGTTCGATAATGAACTCTTTAGGGCGTGTGATTTTGTAGTTGATGGCCACTGGTTTAGCCAACGTACTGACCAACAAACCATGACACACTGTATATAAACTTGTTATAGACACAAAGGGGAGTCACTGCTGTCAGAAAACAATGAAATGCTGCTCACAGACGCTTCCATAAAACACATTATTTCAGTAATAGAGGAATATGGTTCAGATGGATGGTGGAAATTACCGATGCATCAACTTTTACCTCAATCTGTTTTAGATGATGCTGGTTTCCATAATTCATCTCCTGATGATTTTGAACCAGGAAAAGATATTCTTGATATATGGTTTGATTCTGGATTAACTTGGGCAGCTGTTCTAGGGTAATTAAATAATTCATGCATTATTGACTTTCACTGGATTCCATCAAGTTGTAGGACAATCGGTATTATTTATTACATCAAAATTGAACAAGCTTTTATAGCCTCTGACATATAGACAAAACATATCATCCACTGTGAGAATCACTGGTCTAGATGTTTATAGGAATTTGAGACTTTGTAAGCATTCATGTGGTACAGCTCACATATAGACCCAGCGATACAAATATGTGGAACGAAGAATAGCCTAGGCAATTTTTCACACGACCCCACAACATAATATTATTTGATCAATCCTTCCTATATGCAAATCATTTCATTTACTGCTACGATTTCTATTAGATCACAATTAAAAATAAATAAAAGGTATATTGAATAAAGTAAACACTGATTAAAATAAAACAAACCTGGCTAAGATATATTGAGAACTGAACGGAACTAAATTTAATTATAACATACCGGTAACTTAATGAACATTGATTTTCACTCAGTATTTTGGGGTATGTTCATATGAAACTACGTATTTTTGTTAAGGAAAGAAGGTGCAAAAAAACATTCTGATATTCCTGTTGCTGATCTATACTTGGAAGGAAAGGATCAGTACGGTGGATGGTTCCAATCTTCATTGCTGACAAGTTGTGCAGTTCGGGGGAGAGCTCCTTACAAAAATTTACTTGTTCATGGATTTGTATTGGCAGAATCAGGAGACAAGATGTCCAAATCTCTCGGAAATGTCATTGATCCTATGGTTGTAATAAATGGAGGGAAGGTGCGTTGCATTGTCATCTTTTTTGTTCTTTTTCAGTAAATCTTATTGACCAAAAGTTTAAATCAAAACAATGGATTTGGAAATTCATTGGTTGAAAGCAGAATGTCACAAAGTGATGACGCTGTGAAAAGAGTAATTTCACAGGCGGAATGTAGCAAATGGCGTTAATTCAAAATAGAATATTCAGGCATGCATCGTCAATTCGAGTTCCTAAGTTTATTAATCAGATTTGTCTTCCCCCTTTTTTTTTCCTCAACATAATCTTTTTGAAAAATGTTCATTCTTTTTATATTTTCAGAATTTGAATAAAAATCCATCATATGGAGCAGATGTGTTGAGACTTTGGGTTGCAGAGTCAAATATTTACCATGAAGTTTTAATTGGAAAAAATATTCTTGATTCAACTAAAGATTCATTAAACAAAGTAGGATTTCTCTAATCTTCTTCACTAATTTGCACTTATTTTATTATGCAATTATCAGAGATTTAATCGAGAGTTTTTTTCAAAATCTAATATCCAGCAATATACATGAGGTTAGAAATTGAGCTATTCGACTCAGTGTTACTTACGTGGTTACATTGCTTGGGGTTTGCATAATTATGTTTTTGAGATTTGATATGCACCTCTTGCCTGCACAAGTTGGTTACGGCCATGGTTTTCAAATTTTCAGGATCAGTGGTGCATTTCCAAACAATCTCGCCCCGTGGTCTTCTATAAAAATACTTGTTTTGCTTTGAAGTTGTTTCAATCTGTTATTTTATGCCCCACGTTTAATAATAAAAAGCGATAGAATAGATGTATTACAGTCGAAAGATTGAATAATTTACAGTGAATTCACTTTAAATTAATTTCTTCATTGTCGATGAAACCTAGTGAAAGTGTGCCTCTGTGCCTTTGCTTGTTACCCCAAGAGAACCGCGCTGCAGACCCTTAGGCAGGGTTGGACCTATTTAAGAAACACTTTGATACTGCTTCTTTGACCAAGCACTTCCATGATTCTGAATTATTCAAACGGCGACTCGGGTCAGTAAGTATGAGAGGTTGTGCTCCCCAATTCCATCACACCGCCATGTTACCGACTTTCCCCAACCAGGGGTAAATAATTATAGAAATGTCAGCCCATTTTTATTAATAAAAAATATTATAATTCGTTTCAGATCCGACTTTGCTTCAGATTTCTTCTTGGTAGTATATCAGATTTTCGATTTGATGATCACAAAGTATGTCTGAAAAAAATGTGGAGTGTTGACAGATATATGCTTTCTTTATTACACAAATACACCAATGAGGTATAGTGGTGAAATTGTTGGTATAACATGACTTACTCAAATAAACATTTAGATTTTAGAACATTCAGTTATACTACTGATACTTATACATAAGTGATCATATCTGAATGCATGTAGTGCCTAGTTGTTCTAGTCTCCAAAGTGTTCATTAACACTATCATAATCTTGATAAATTTTGTTTTGAGTTTCATTCATACAACTTTTGTAGCTATCCCCTGGAAAGGAGACTGAATTTTTTGTGCTCGATTTTCTGAATGACTAACAAGTGTGGTTTGATTACCATAAATATCATAGTTCATTAACATACATTGATTTTCATCTGCAAAAATGTCTTTTTTTGTGACACAGATTGTATAAATCACTTATACTCTAGCGATGTTTGGTACTAAGAATAAATCATGAATCACATAAAAATACTCATGCCTCAATCCTGATTATTTTCAGGTCACTGAAGCATATGATTGTTACGATTATGGGAAAGTGACTCGTCTATTGTTACGTTTTATGACAAAGTTATCAAGTTTTTTTTTCACAATCATAAAAGATAGGTAGGTATTGAAGTAAATACTGGATAATCATACCAATATTGGTTACATTGTAATATCTGATTATCTGAAAATAATAGTTTAGGTTAGAACAGTGATCCCTCAGACTTCTTGCAAAGACTCCCAACACTTATGGCCACCCTCTCTTTTCTAAAAATATCTAATTTTGCTTTTAATGGGTCATGTTTAATAGCAATAAAGCCAACAAACGAGATTGAAAGATGAAAGGCATTTTAGTCAAATAATTAAACTAATCAGTCGTTTTACTTTAAATTGATGTACTGGTAGTCATGGTGAATGAGGCCTACTGAAGTACCATTTTAGTGTCTTTTTGGGGAAGCTGAGTATCCAGTTCGAGAACTCACGGGTGGGAATGTGCGCTTTTTCTAAATTTTGGGATTTTCCATATCAACCTTCCATATTTTAAGTGCAACAAATAAAAGTAAATCATAATCTTTTATCAATGATTGACTTGGTATAATGTGGTATTCTTCAGGATAGAATTGATTAACCGTGTTATTTCTGAACAACATTAGTTTTCCTCAAGGATAATATTGATAACATGGGGAATAATATTTGTGGGAATCCTCATTTCGAAATTTTAATAAATTGCCGATTTTCTAGAAGGTCGCCCAATCTTTAGTCCACCCATGGGCACTTATATGAGGTAGGCGTTCACATGGTGCTAATATTCAACCCTACTTATAAATTTATACTGGCCTTGTTTGGCCAACCCCTCCCCCCAAAGTAGTATATTGTAATTACTATTTCACAACGAAAATGAGAAGCAAGTATGACATGAATATTTATCTCGGAGCAGCTAGACGCCATATTTCTAGATGTGTGACCAAACAGCAGTTCAGAGTGAGGCCGAAGTCAATCAAAGGCAATATGAAACAGGTGTATAATAGAATAGTTCTGGCAGTTATTTTTATCTTGTCATATTTCCAATTAACCGCTCTGGAGGACGGACCCCTGTACTATCTCATATAGGTATTGTGTTCAGTATATTGCTACTGATGTATTACTTTAGATTTACTATTGGGTATTGGTCACTTCAGCAAAATATAAAGCAAGTTCTCAGCAATCTTTTCTGGATTTCACATGCATATTTAAACCTGCTATTTTTATTTTTGTACATCAGGCTTTACTGTGATGAACAGAATAGTGTTGCAAGAAGATCTTGTCAAACTACAATATACCATATACTCAATATTCTTGCCAAATCAGCAGCTCCTATCCTGCCACATTCAATGGAGGAAGTTGTAACGCATCATCCATGTCCAAGTACTCTTATGTATTATTGTAGAGTTTGTTGCAATGACTTAGTTTTCCGTAGTTTCAGCATCACCTTAGTTGTGTTTTTATATGGTTGCTTTGACGATGCAATATCCTCCTAATCTCTTAATTATGTAAATATAAGGTACACCGTTTGAACTCAAAAATCTTTTTTTGCTGGTGATGCTAGTTTTTGTGCTTTCACGTATGCAAATGGAGATCACTTCTTGAAAGCTTCAGTATTGGCAAGCTTACTTCTGCTTCATTTGAACATTTCGACTACGATTCCACACTTCAGTTGTTATTAAGACTCTGATCCCTAACATTATGAGGTTTGAACTTTGACACTTCCTATTTTCATTAACATGCTAAATAGCTTAATAACCAGGGCCACAGAGTTTGAAAGTTTGGTATGTTTTTATTGATATTGGAGCTGTATCCAGAAATTCAATTGTGGTTCTTAAAATCAAAAGTTCAGAAGAAATTTAGAAAGCATAAAATTTACTAAGAATTTTCAACATACTTGGAAGTGTTTTTGTGGTTCGAATCTCAGAATGGGACAAATCTCCCACAGCCCTAAATTTATTGCTAAACATGCCAATAAACAGTATATTTTTGTAGTAACGGAAAGCATCTTCAAGAATGGTTGGTGTGATGCAGATATCTCTGAAGAATGGCGTGATGAGTCAATACACAATAACTTCTCACATTTAATAAATATTAGAGATATATTTACTTCAAAACTACAAGGAAAAGAACATCTATTTGATGTAGAGTTGCGGGTGACAAAAGGAAGGTTGCTTGACATTATTCAGGTGAATATAAGTTAAAATTTTCATAGTGTGACTGAGGTTGGACAGAATATGTCGAGTATAGGATAGATAGTCGGTACTAGTATATCGAACTGTAGTTCCTTCCTCTTTTTCTACTTCCTATTTGCAACAAGGATACTCGAACGAGATGGTATCAAAGTGACAAATAAGAATAACAAACTTGTTCCATGAAATTGTACGTATATTGGTGAATGGTCCATTTTCTGTTTGATTAAATTATATCCTCTTTATTCTTAAAGAATAGTCGCATCTATTTGTGTAACGGTTTTCTTGCACTATGCACACATTCTGATATCTCTCTAACCACAAGCTTTCATATGCAGGATTTGTTTAAAAGTACACCGAAACAAACCTTGTTATTTATCACCATTTTCAGGCGGTGCAACCACCAGACATCAACTCACATTTTCTGAACTGAGAGAACTTTTTGGGTGTTCTAGATGCTTTGTTCATCTGCTTGAGTCGTCATCTGACATTGACAAATTTGCAGATGACAATTCATCATCTGTGTATGACAGTGATATAGGATCGTGTGTGATAAAGAGGAGGGATGCTGCTATGCAAAAATGTCAAAGATGCAGACTTTATACAACTGTAAAGTCTACTGATCCATGCGAGAGATGTTCAGATGTAATTGCAGGCCCATGGGCTGATTGATATTTATCATTGAAAAATAAATGTATACTGTGCTGCTTTTGATTTTCTTTTATGAGACTGCTGCCTACATTGAATAAATAGGAGGTAGCAGAAAGGGTACGCATCTTCGACGGTTTTACTGATATGGAATGATCTGCATGCAGTAGCGATCATTGATAAATGCAGAAGTTTTGCAGGTTTCTCCTGTATTGCCAGTTACATGACACAAATAGCAGTCGTCTGCTAATTCTGGTGTAAACCTTATTTTTTCACAAGTCTCTCCTGCGATTGATTAGTTTAGAATTTAAACTATTTCTTTTACAATTTTTCAACAACTTTGTATACCTTCCTCCAAATTACCAATGCTTAATAATTCTGCGCAAGTGGTTTTTCCACTTTTAACAATAAAATTGCCTATACCAGGGATGGCGAACCTTTTTCAATGAATGGGTCAAAAATTATAATTTTATCGCGGAACAGAAGAGAGTGGGTCACAGATATTTAACGTTCGTATCTATAAGAAACTTCTGAAACAAATCTTATAAGCTGGTGTTGGTGTAGTTTTGGGCTGTACTTATGCAGCACTTCTATCAGGGACTTTTCATGGCACTCGGTTTTATGATATTAGAGTACGAAAACACGCATATGAATTACCAAAAACGTTTAGGATGGATGATGCGTTAAATTATTTTACGGTTCTAGTGTTTGGAGGTAATTCCGCTTTGACAGTGTTATAATTTTCGATCAGTTTCCAACCACATTAAGCCACTTTTACACTGCCCCATTGTTATATCAGATTTCTAGATCAAGTCTGAAAGTTTTTGTTTTTACAACGGCGAGAAACTAATAAAATGCAAAGTAGCATCTAGTTCTCGTATAACCCCTAAAACAGTCGGCAGATGCACTTCCAAAAAAGACCAGGCGTTGCGAGAAATGAACAGATCAATTGCATTGTTATGTCATAAACGATGCCAGGCCCAATAGCTGAATAACGGTACACAGCGGTGCATACATGCGTACAAGATTAGGGGTTTTGAAAATTACCATACCGGCCCGAAAATCAACATATGAGCGATCGCAGCCCTTCCTGACTGTACATTATAATAGTTTAGTTATTGTTAGATTAATTTAAGGCCGGTTTTATCAATTTTTATCACTGATATGTTAGCATTTTTTTTATTTTATTCGTGCCTTCGCTTGGCGGGTCACAAATAAAACGCGGTGGGTCACTTTGTGACTCGCTGACTGGTCTATACCTATCGAGGAAGATGCTTAGCTGAGGAAAACAGTGTTGTTAGTGGTTCTCAAACTTTTTATAAAATTATGCATAACGGTAAATTATGTAATATTGTCTTCGGTAGAGCGGGTCGTGCTTCGGAGAATCTTCGTAAAAGCATGACATCGAATTCGAGGTTAAAGTTGTCTCACGGACCCCAGTTTGAGAACCAATGATCTATCTATAGAATGACGGTAAAATCCTGAGAAAAATAAGCCCAATCCTGTGTTACTCTGTAGCCTATTTTATAGAGTTGTGCTGGAGCCGCTATTATTTTCACCTTATGTATACAATAAAGGTTACTTTATTAGGATACAATTTAAGATCAACATAAGAATATAGGCACACAAAATAGACTATTATTGCACCGATGGTAGAGAGAAAGATCTGACTATGCTTAGCAACCAATTACAACGTTCATACAGACAAAAATCATTACACAAAACTAAGCGCTAATAGATAGATATCAATTAGACCATAGCAACATTACATCATTTCTCTCTCTCGACTAGGACCATTTATTTTCTCTCTCTCGACTAGGACCATTTATTACTATCAATACTGGAAAGGCACTTGCACTTTGTATTTCATCACAAATTTACGGTTAAATAGGATTTATAGGAATGTTTTAGATTTTCTCAGTAAGTTACCTCCGGTGAAGGGATGGCCAATACCGAATAAATCACTATTTCGAAAATCAAATTCAAGAAGCTTATCTTAGTGTATGAAGGAATTTGCATACAATAACAATTGATTAACTTACAACCTGGCTATTTACCAGGCATTCTATGTCCGCAGGTTGCTAAGAGTAGTAATACTTTGAAATTCGATTTCGATACCCTGGCTCAGGATAAGCATTATGAAATACTAGCAACAACGAAGTATTCAATTCAGATATTGATGTTACGATTGAATAATTAATTTATTTAGATCTGTTAGCCATGGTAGAAGCAGCTTCTTCTAAAGATAAAGCCATATTATATAAAGAATTTGTCTCGGACATCATTGTTAATACAGTTCTTGATAATTTCAATGTGTCAGAAATATCAACATCTGGTTTCTTCAGCAATGTTGAATCCTGAAAAAGTTATTTTCTATATAGATTAAAACGGTAATAATTATAAGATATTTTAGAAAGCAAATAATGCAATAGAACAATCAATGATTGTCAAACTTTTGTTTAAGACAAAGTCTGTCCTATCAAGGCCCTAAATTGACTGATCTCAAAAAGAAGAAATCTTCCCTGTTTGGATGGGATGTCATTTTTTTTTGAGTACTGAAGTGAAACTCATGACGTCGTACCAGGGCTGGCTGGAGAGTTGCAGCCAACACTTTGAAGAAACCCGTATATCATAGTTTTGAGTCCTGTTTCACAAAACCGCATTTGGGCCTATGTTTCATGGTAGTTGTCATGAATATCAATAGCTATAGAGGTTCAAAAAGAAGTTCTGGACTATTGCATTTTCAAACCAGCTCCAAGCCCCAGTGGACTTTATGATGGCACTTTGATAAATCACAACTCACAAGACATTGATAGCCTTTGTGGGAATTTCATCATCATGTTACCAGCATGCACTAATATTTTGCAATAACAAATCCACACTTATCAAATGAAGGGAACTAAATAGTTCAATTTTCTAAAATTTCAAATAATTTAAATTGAGCCTTAAAAATCAAGATATATAACAATTCTAAATGATCACTAGTTATAACTGTAAAAATAGCAAACGGGAACAGCAAAAAAAAGAAATTCAAATTCTACCCATACTTTGTTTATATATTTCATCATGCAAGAACGATGGGTTTGATAATTATTGAATTTTTTTACCTGTGATTTAATCCATGTGCTTAGTGTAGTAGACATTCTTGACATCATGATAACACCATCATCAGGATTTGCATGAAGCAAGATATACGATAACCTTTGACCCACGATGAGCACCAATGAGGAAGACAATACTTCCTTGTCAGAAACTGTAACACTCGCCTGGCAAAGTATGTAAGATTTTGTGAGAATAGAGAACAAAGCAAAATTTTGAATAAAAGACACAAACAAAAATAGGTAACCTCAAGTCCTATCGCATCAAGTCCATTCTTAAACAGCTCATCAACATGATGCAATTTTACCTAAAAAACAAATTTTGTATTATTGAAATACATATATATATATATATGAGCAAACAGACTATTTACAGACTGTGAGCTGCACATAACCTTAATCCTTCACAGATTTGAGTTTATATGCATAGCTAGGGAAGGAGAAAAAAGATTTAAAATAGGAAAAGAGAGAAACATAGTGAAAAAGGTTGGAGATGATCGTCTCAGAGAGCCTACAGAAAATAATAAAGTAATATCATTTTAACGAACACTTCCATTAACTATGAAAATTTGAAAGCAATATTACTTTAGTAGTTCCAATGTTCCAACCACATTCCATTGCTACGAAACTACGATTCAACTAGAGTCTCCCTAATTCAAATATCAAAAGACAAAGGCCTCCACTAGGCACCAAAATTAAACTGACAGCGACTCGTTAAGTTTACTGGGGAAGGGAAGTCGCGAGAACCAAAGCTGGTTATCGAGCAGAGACACCCATGGTTCAAATATGTAATTTAAAATTTTAGAATTTTTTTAATCACTTCATTTGTTATGTATATAGTATTAAACATGCTGACTACAATAACAGATAGAAATCAGTTAAAAAAAAATAGGGGGAGTGTGGAGAGGTAATGTAAGAAGGTCATATATCCTGAAAGTTTGAGAACCACTAGTATACAAAATGACTATCTGTCATCTGAAAAGGAGAGAAACTAAGCTATCATACCTTTTCTGATGATATATGAAATTCTGATGCCATATGAACAGCTGTTTCAATCCATTTTTCCAACTCTAATCTGCATTCTTGGTCAGTCATATGCAGTCTTAGTGGACTACTGATTTCTTCTTTTTTATGAACATGAGAAGCAAGTTGTTGAACAGCAGCACTGACAACTTTGGTCAAAAACTGAAATGAAAAAAATATACACACAGATGTAATGTCAATATGTTGATCTTTCATATGATATAGATCAGGGCAATAAACATATAACAAGGATGGAGAGCTTGTACGAAATCAAAATGGCTCCACCTCTGGCTAGAAGCTCAATTGCTTATCTCTCCAGGTTAGGCTCTATGGCCATGGTTTCTTGGTATGACTATTACCAGAAAATATCGCGGTTTTACTGAAGCAGTAATTAAAACCAGGATATAAAGTCTTAAATTTTGAAGGTAAACTTTTGAATATAAGCTTAAAAGGCTAGAATTTATTAATTGTATAGAACAATAGATTAATATAAATGTAAAAAATTAAGTAGATGGATAGGAGATGAAGACATAACAATTTTTGATAGCTTAGGCTCATGCTCCAACAGAACATCAAATTCACTCAAAATAGGATATATTATGATCACCTGAGATTATAACTTATTGCTGCATTGTAAAACTTCTATAAATAATGGTTGATACATATAATAGCAAAGATACATAAGCATTAATAAGATAAAATCAGAACCGTGAGGTCTGGGACAATTCACACTAATCTTTAATCAACCGATCAACATTACAATCCTAAAACTTCGACGACACTAATATCAATAAAAAAAAGCCAAACTCTGAATTCACAGATCTCACTAAGTCACCAAAAAATCATATCTCAACTGCAATAATATATTTACATGTTGTCTGGCTTTATTTATTGGCATCTCCATTGTATCAGGATTAGGTAATGATGGATCTTGTGTGGTCAAGTCTAATCCAAAACATGATTTTCCTCTTCGATCGAACAAACCAGAAAGTGGCTTTACACCACGAAGCTGAAATTGCATAGTAGCATGCATGATACTGAAATAAAAGAAAATTGCTAAATTTATATACTGATACCATATTGATTATACTGGCCTTTTCTTTACAGATACATACAGCTTACATGAAGATAATGAAAATTAGTACAAAATTAGAATATTGAATTAAACATAGTAGTAAATATGGCATGAAGTTAGATGAATGAAGCCACACGAACAAGGTTACAAACTTACACTGTTATATAACAAGATGTAAGATGCTATCATTTGGAAGCGCTGAAATCTTTCCAGTTTGGCATCGCCAACATGACGTAATATATTTACACCATGGGCGAGACATGTTTATCATATTAAGTATATTAAAAGTATCATAAAAATTCCCATGTTCGCTATGAAAGATGACTAAGAGACTACAAAAGACGCAAATTTGTCCTCTAACTGCCACATTCCCCATTGAAGCTGATGTGAAAAATGCTTCCTGTATGCTACTAATTTTTTTCTCACAAGGGAAGAATTTAGAATGACCAAGGTCTAATGAACAAAATTAATGATGCAATTCAACGTTTACCATATCCAAATTAAAAAAAGACTTACAAACTTAAATGCATATTATGTTGTACCAGTCCATGATGAGCATGCGCATGAGCCCGGCCCATGTCCATGATTGATCGTTTGCCCGTGACATTCTGCCAGGGATCTTCTGACCCAGTAGAAATACCACTGGTATTGGAGGCCACTTGTTTAGGAATTGTATCCAGTTCCGCATCGGCAATGATTTGCAGTATATCAGTGCAGGCTTGACAAAATGGAGGCATCAAAATATCACTGATTCCAACCTCCTGTAAAAATAGCATAGTTGAGTATCCTGCTATGTTCGCAAAGTTGAAGTCGCAAAGGGAATTCATTGTTACCAAATTTAGTAGTTCGTTGATCCCTACAGGTGTACTAAATAATTAAAAAACCTAATTAAAACTGAATGAAGTAAAGCAAAACCTGATTAGGATATATCGAGAACTGCCTTTAAAATAAAATTAAAATTGTTGTAACAGGACTTTAGGAACATACTGTTTTCGCACATTCAATCAAAGTGATTCTAACTACTATTAAAATAAATAACTGAAATTTAGGTATTGAGTGTTCTTTTACATCGGGCTTATGATCCAAAACTTTGACTGGAATTGATCCTTAGATTCAGTTTTTTTCTGTTCAACAGCAAGTGTCTAACAGACAAACAAACAAACAGACAAATACCTATCAACATACTTACAGATCGAGATCGGTAAGTAATAATACAGTACTGCACACACACAAAATATGATATACACATATAACACTTGAGCCCGGGTGAGTTCGATAAAGCATATTATTATGTAACAAAAACAAAGTTTTGCCGCTGCCGATGTTAAGAAATGAACGTGCAAAATATTGTGTGCCTTGACTGACGTACGGTCGCACAATAACTGCACTATGCATTAATTGTCTCACTCCAAGAGTAGTGTGATAAATTTTAGTCGCAATGGTAGCAGTAGAATCAGAATGCCAATTTTTTTCAATTCCAAGCGAGCGAAGAATCGGACTTTGTAATTGTAAATTGGGAAGTTTGAGAAGTCATGTAACATTTATGGTTTGGGAATATTTATTTTTCGCTGTTTAGAATAATACATGGATACATAACAAGGTTTTTTGAGAGATTTTCAACACTTACGACTAAAAATTAGACAGGTCTTGAATCAGAATTATATGATTTGAATAAATCCCGAATAAATGATGAAGCATTTACTCTGGGTACAATTACATAATCAAATTAACAAATTAAATGGAACATAAAAAATTAGGACGATTTCATTAAGAATGCGCCCAATGAATTGATCTTATTTACAGCGGTGGGGGATTTTTTGTATACGTGTGTGCATATCTGCATATTCAGTACTCAGTCAATCGCGAGCTATTTTGGCGATTTTAGTCAATCGCGGTCGCAAGTAGGTTGGTCACCCCTGCTATACACCATTGCGTCTGGAAAGCAAACAATTTCGAAATAATCCGCTCAATAGCATGAATTTCTGATCACTTTCAGTTATTCCAAACATTGGAAACACAGTAAATTTTTCCAACCTTTCTACATAATCTATCCTTAGGTGCTTTTCCGACTTTATCCATAAGTTTAGCAAGAGCAGCATATCGCTTGGTAACAAATGTTCTCCATGACATAACAGCAAGACCATGTCTAGAATGAGGATCTTCTTGAACCATTTTTAGATGATCAATAGCAGTGATAAATTTGGATATTTCCTAAAGTAGTATTTACAATAAATTAATAGTTAATCTATCAAATTTTCAAGCAAACAAGTTTATTTTTAGTATATTATTGGTAAACTAGGCATAACTATAATGAGAAAATTGAGCTGAACAGTATACCAGACTATTTGTGTGACTGCTTTTCTAAAACCGTGCTTGCTCCATTAGCAAGGGGTTGAGCCTTGTGAGATCTTTTCCATGAGGCATTTTCACTCAAACCAAGGATCTGTCAATCAAGCAATAGAGATTTCTGATTCAGCATTTCCCACTCAAACCTATTATACAGTTCAGTTCAAGTCCTGAGTGAACTAGAAACCCTTTGATACCAGCATGGTTAGTACAATCTTATTGTACTCTTATAAAAGCAAAAGTAAGAAACTTTTTTTTTTATACAATGCATATTTATATGCCTTTTGCTCTGAACAAAGCTCCGCACAAGCATCCACAAACATGTAATATGCTACTTTATTTGTAAGGTCCAGAATCTTCCAAAACCAAAAATTTTAACCTGTGATCTCATCATGGTATGTTTAACACTTCAACCACTGGGCTGTCGCTCCTGCTAATGAATATACTGACATGAACATACCAGTGGTTCTTTATTCCATTCCACCATCAATTCCCAAAAGCTGTGTGAATGAAGACAATCAGGTGCAAGAGAATATGGAAATTTAACATACAAGGTTTGATGAAGAAAATCTGAAATAGAAACCATGTTTATTTATATTTGAATGGTATGTTGATGGCCCATACTGTTTAGGCTCCTGGGATAATAAAAACAAATCAAACCAATTCAAATTAACTACCGTATTTTCCGGCTGATAGGCTTAGACCTGTAAAGAGCTTCCTATTACTATATCATTATTTTATTCCTTTTTTCTTCAGTTAGGCGCTAGTGCACTCTAACTCTTCGACGTGTTTGCAGTACATGCGCCAAAACCAAAAAGCCTTGTTTTCATGAGATCCTATACGTGATGGTATTTGTAATTACTTTTACTCGTGATGAACACACAAATGCGAAAAACACAAGAAATCTTACCCAAGAATGCTCTCTGTGGATCCGTCAAACTGACTGTTATATTGTCTAGTTCAACGTTTTTTTGCAATAAACGAGGTGGAATGTCAAGTTCACATATAGAATGAGAGACAAGTTCAGCCATATAACCTGTTGTAAATACAAAAAAAATGAGTTTAATCCAAGTTTCAAATACAGTGGGACTGGGTGCTATATTATATTTTGGACTATCTTCATCCATGTTTACATCCTACATCGTGTCTACGACCACGACCAAATGGCTATTGCTATAAGGAAGGATGCTTGAATAAGATTAGTGTATTACCGTAAAGTAAGTATTAAAGTGATGAAAAAGAATGACAAAAAATTGTCAATCGTGTTTTTAAAGCATATCTGGCAACCAGTGTTTTCTCAGGTGGCTGAGCATGATCTGTGATGTCATAAGTTACAGTTGACAGATCATGACTTGCCAACTGCAAAGATGAAGTGACCATATTCTGTTTTAGTTGGGTGCACAGTTCAGTTGGTGTGTCTGAATTGTTGCTTTGGTTATGGCTATGTCCGTTCACTAATTATATATTTATCCTATATTAACAATAATCTTTTTGTATGAAATTGCAATTCACGATTTATACATTAGAAAAAACTGTGTTTCAGATGTGTTGATTTTGTCATGGCTATGTGTGTTCACTAATTATATACTTATACTAAATTAATCTCTGTCCACAAAATCTCAATTCATGTTTTATACAATATCAAAAAATAGTTTTATTTTTAACGGATTTTGATCGGTTATTTTTTGCCACAATTAATAATAAAAAACGAAAGTAAAAGAATGCATTACAGTCAAAGAATTAAACAAATCACATGTCATTCAATTTAAATTAATGTGGTCGTGGCAAATGATGCCTAGAAAAACCTTGCGACCCCCAGATAAACTATACCCGGGGGCCAAGGGCCCAATTTAAGAAACCTTGAACTAAACTAACTTCGGACAATTTCTAAAGAACAAGATTTCATACCTGGTCCATTTGACAACAAATCCTTCACTGATACTCCTTCGTTTACATAGTCATCACTTTGTTCAATAGTTTTCTCCTCCGTTGTATTGTCTTTGGAATCTTCTTTAGAAGCTGACACTCTTCTTTTTGTTTTTCCTAGTTTAATACTGGTGTTGATGAGAACAGAATCTTCTAATTGATGAATGAACAAATTCCATTTCTCAACATCAATCCATAATGTCTCCCAGTCACCTGAGATAAACAAAAAATATTGAAGTTAAAAGACTGAAATCTTGAGTTCGTTGTGAGTAGTTGTGCCCACCACCTAACTCAGTGTGTAATAAATTAGATAGGTAATGCCAATCCCGATATTTTCAAAATAAAGCAGATCCTCACATATCAGTTGATTTTTGTACAGAGCCATGTTCTGAGCGAAAGGCTATAAGTATGTTGTATAAATAAATTTGTAAATTTGTGCTTTTACCCAATTCTACATCTATGATTGATGTCATGAGTGATCGATCCATGTTTAAAATGTGAGATCACATTTGTATCTTAATTGTTATGGTTTAAAAAAGGGTTGCCTGCTCGACTCTCCTCATTGTTGTAATATTCATATATTTGCCAGACTGCCTTTCACACAACTCATTACTGATCTTAGGCCGTTAACAATAGGCCAAGATAAGCTAAATAATCTTCGCTATACAATAATTCTGTTCCCAAACTATAAATCTTCTTTACCTTAACACTTGTATGGTCGCCAGTTTTAAGTTTAAACAAGTTTTGGCCTACCTCTAGTTTTTATCAGGATATTTCATATACCTCATTAAAAATCTATTCCCATTTTATTGGATTTTGATAACAAAATAATGAATGTGTCGGATTCTATAATATGTTGTTAGATATAATACGTTGTGCCGGATTCTAGAGTGTATTCAAAATTCTAGATTTTAAAATAACTTTTTAGGATATATTTACGAAATAGGCCATCCATGCCAACTATATCATCAAAGCATTGAATCAAACCAAAAACACATTGATTATAATAATCTCATCCCTTGCTATGACTATTTTAGGATATTTAAACATAATAATATTATTAAGATGGAATCACCACTTCTAGGCTTTGAATGTTGTTCAGTACAAGATTCTTGATAAGATGGAGGATCAGCAATAGAATTCTCATCCACCTCCTGCTTCTGCATCTTCTCCCAACCATCCCCATCATCAGAATCTTCTTTCTGAGAGTATCAAATTATTGTAGGTATAAAACAATGAGATATTGAATATAACATAAGAGTTATTTATGACGAGCAAACATTCCTACTGCTCTTTCCCTTAAACTTTGACTCACCTTGTAACTGATAAACTGAATAAAAGTTTTTTTACAAGACAGACTGAATAATCAGTATTAAAAGCAAGTAAAAGTTTAATGAACTGAGAATTTCTCGGAGTTGAGAACAAGAGTGGGTGCAGAGTGGCTTGGTATTCAAAGCGTCAGGCTTAACGATCATGGCATCACAAATTAAATCCCATGCCCACCAGCATACCCGAGATGTAGCAAGGCAAAGAAAAATCTGGAAGATTCCAGTCCTTTTAGAATAAACTATCTCCTGACATATCAGAGGCTGTTTGTGAAGCCTTATTTTTTTTTAAATAGCTTGGAGTTCATAGTTGGAAGTCAAGAGTGAATTTTCCCGGCTTGCAATTAATATTCTTTATAATTACAGCTGATGAACCATATTACAGAAATTGATTGTGGTATTGGGGTTGTGGGAACAATGTACATCCATAATGATAATAAAGAGAGTATGGTAAGTACATACTTCTTCTTTATCTCCCTGAGTATTAGCAGCAATAGCCACACCCCGGGCAACAATTGCCAGAAAATAAGCTGCAATTGTACTGTGTGATGATGCACAAATGTCTTCTCTTATCCATTCCCACAAATTGATAGAATCTTCAGATGATTGTATATCTGAGCTCAATGAAGAATCTATTGATTCAGAGTTTGGTGTTGAAACATTGAAAACTTTTCTTTCTGCATGATTCTATGAAATCGTACAACTTGCGAAGGCAGTTTGTGAGACCTGTCATGGATAGAAGTTGATAAAATGTATATGAATCAGCTATACTTGAAAAAATTGTTCTTGTATAATGAAACTCATTGTCCAAAGACCTCAAAATTTCTAGAAGAACGTGTATGAAACCTTTTTTGATTTCCGATAAACTTTATTTTTACCTGCCATTTTATACCAGAACAATCATAAAATATATACTTGCATTTACCATTGATAATTGATGTATCTTGTATCAACCAATGTTGGAATAAAAGTTCGAGTATGATTCGAGGTTTTAAATCAATCGATCCATTCAAGGTGAATAAAATATCATCAGGGGATGTAGATCCAAACAAACTTGAATGAAATAGGAATGCAGCTGGAAATAATAGATTGTTTTGTAAATGAGAGAAATTGAGAAAAAAGAGAAGCAAAGTCATGATTTCCTGTCATTTTTGAGTACAAATTTTTGGATGACTTCAGTCAAAAAGGCCGTATTTTTCAATATACCAAGTAAAATATACCAAAAAATATATACCAAGTAAAATATACCAAAAAAAAATATACCAAAATCCCAAGTAAAAAAATCGTTTTAGATAAATTCTAGGCCAGCAACTCTTAACATTTATTCAAATTTGTATAAAAATATAGTCCATGCCAAAATCAATAAAGGAAATGAATATATTTTTTTAATTTCAAATATTAATTATCAGTCGAGGTTGTGCGAGACTAACTCTCAATTCATCCTCAATGCCTCTGCGCAAGTGGTTATGTATGCATATAATGCAAGGATGCTGTTGCAGGAATAAAAATACTATAATATGCAACTCAAGAGTCCTGCTGCACACTAACACAAATGTATTTCTGTAACGTTTCGTCTGACCAAAATCAGACAAGCAGTTAATAACAATGTCATTCTGGTCAGACGAAACGTTACAGAAATACATTTGTGTGATAGTGTGCCGCAGGACTCGTAAATTGCATAGTCAAATATCAATAACTGCATTTTTTTAGTTTAGACAAGAAAAGACATAATATATTCCAAAAATAAAATTAATTTTCAAAAGATTTTCTCTCAGTCTCAGTCTCAATGTTTTTAAATGTCCATTAAAAATGTGGCAGTTAAACTACCAAACCAACTATTATGATATTATAGCAGAACCTAATATCCTAGATCTATAGATTTTTAGTAACAGCTCCCTACATATCAGTTGCTGTTTGTACGAAGAAATTGAAGAAAAATAGTTTGAATTGAAGATATGAAAATACTGCATCTTGATCGCTGATGTATAAACCCTGTGAAAAAAAAAACGATGATACTGACCCAGTTTTGCACTTTTTGTTCGTTCTGTTGTACGTAATTCAACATGAGGTTCAGAAACATCATCTGCTTTTCTTGACAGATTATCTTGAAAAGAAAAACAATCTAAAAATTCTGCCACATCGAGAGATGGTTTTTCTTGTCCTTCAAACTTCACCCGCGGCATGTGTTGGGATTTATGAAAGCAAGCAATTGAATGCAAAGCTTCTGTTGATTCAGTTCTCGTCATATGAAGAAGTTCAGACATTGTGTCCACATTGGTGACCTAGTAGAAAACAGGAATGCTTATTTATGAAAAGGGATTGTGATAGAAGAAATATTGTTCATATTTGTATTACGAACTTCAAAATTCCATTAACATGTAGATCTTTTTTCCTTTTCAAAAAGAGAATAACTGAATGGAAATAATGAATAATATGAATTGAATTTTTACCTTTGTTTATCAAAATTACTTTAGATGGGAAATTTACTTAGTAAATCGATATTCAGAATGCAGAGGAGACAAGTATCGTTATCATATTCGATACTGGTTTCAGCTTAGGTAAATATAACTATTTGAGGTGGGCGATTAGTAACTTTTTGATAATTTGCAATTGCACGATTATTTGACCTGGAAAATCGGCAATAATTAAGCACGATCATTCAAAATTTCTAATTGATCATTTAAAATTTGATAACGTTTTGAATGAGCTTTGAAATAGCAAAACTCTTTGCTTTTTATCCAACCTGTTTTTGCGACAGCTATGACTGTGATCACATAAACTCATGGTAAAAATAAAACCGGACTGACCAGTCGCTTGGAAAAATATCGGAAACATTGCGCTGGGGCATCACACGCAAATTTCAGATACTTACATCTTCTAACACAGTTTTTTCAGTTGCAGCACTAGACATTCCAGATTCATTCAACTTTTGCAAAGCTTCATAAAGATCAATGAGATTGATTTGTTCTTGACAGTATTTCAACAAATCACTGTCGGCTTTTTTTAATGCTGAATTGAAAGACAAAAAAGAAAGACAATTGAAAGACAAAAAAGGATGAATAGGCAAGAACAAAAAAATAATAATACATTCCCATTTTAAAATATCGATATGAAATATTGATATTTATTGTGAGTTATCGCATCAGGGCATTGGAAATTGCATCTGATACGTTATTTAAATAACAATTATAATCTTTTTATCTCATGCATTTTATCATTTTTATTTTATTTTGAATAATCAGATTTATGACTACACTATCAGGTCAAAAACCTAATACTCAAGTTGACATGCTGTATTTCCCCGGCTATTAAATGGCCACCACAGATAAAGTGATTAATTTATGACCCCTCCGTTTTTGCCGATTCAGGGAAAAATGGCACCAGACTGGAAAACACAGCTGTTAATAATTAACCCATGGACATACAGGCTACAGCGCCCTATTTATTACAGCATATTCACAGGATATTTCAACGTTCCAGTTAATGACTTGCTGCTACCTTTTTAATTCTAGCCACAACTACCATTTCCAGCCATAACTGTCATGGAAAAAATAGAAAAAATTTCATACAAAAATGTGAATGTCTGAGAAAGAGTATACATAAGAGGCGAATGAAGAAATATATCAGGAAAGGTTGGGAACTCAAGCTTCAAAGCAATTTAACTGTCACATAATTCCTACACAATCACACACACCTCCGCCTTCTTTTAATCTTTGTTGGATAGCAGTGATACAACTTCTGAAAGTATCCGCTCCAATTTTTCTTGTATGAAGTAATTTCTCGAGTGCTTGTCGCAGCATTCCACTGATACGAATTTCCAGCAAAATTTTAACTGCTTCTTCCCCAGCTGAATATATATATCTGACTAATAATGACTTAACGAAAGCCTATAATTATATACATACAATTTAAAATTTAATATTGTATCACACATCGAGTTTAATATATCAGTAAGGAATGTAGTCCAAATTTTCATGTGTCCAAGTTAAAAAATCTTTATATTTTCACTACAAACTGAATTCAATTTATTGAGTAAAATACATTTCCAATACTTGATTTGTACATCCTTGTAAAAGTATGCTGCTATAGTAAAATCAAATTAGATTATGTCACATTCTTCCAGAAATGACTTTTTACTTATCGATCTTAAGATCGGTAAGTATGTTGATAGGTATTTGTCTGTTTGTTTGCTTGTTTGTTTGTCTGTTAGATACACGCGATATCTCACGAAAGCGAGGTTGAATATGCTCCAAATTTTGCATGTGCATTCATCATAGTTCGGAACAGGAGTCTATCGATTTTGGATGGATTATGTCGTATAATTAGCGAGTTATTAATCAATTAGCGATGGGACACACGGTGTCACTATGGAGTAAAACCACTGTTTTGGGGGATCCCCTAACCTCCGATCGATAAGTCTTCGGTTTCCAACCGAATTCTACTTTTTTAATCTTGTGTCATTATGGATATAGACCAGGGGCCATATTTTGGTATAGGTTCCATTTCTGTAACTGATTTAGTTTTGATGTTATTAAGTAGTGCCTTACGTTCATTTTTAGGTTTGGCTGTATAGATTTGAAAATTACAAAATTCGATTTTCTCAAAACCTCAAAATGTGACATAAGCTAATTTGGTTCTACTGCTGCAATGTGTAGGTTATTGGAAGGCAGATTTTAACTCACTTCTCTTCTTTGAATGCAAAATCAAATTGAGCTTCTTCAGCAAATGCATATCTCTGGCTTTCTTACTGTTTGCATCACTAAAAATAAATGTAAGTTTATAAATATCTCAACCAACCATACAACGTTGCTATGAAGTTTGAGTAGTATACAAAGTAAAATTGGAAACTAATAAAATAATTCATGCTATTTAAAAAGATTTTATTTTAGTTAATAATCACTACTAAAAATCGACTTTCTATCTTTACAATAATTTGATATTGATTGATCAATAAGTAGAGATAAGCAATTTTGTCACAACAACAATTCTGCAAAACGATTCATACATCCTAAGGGGGTGACAAGTGAATATGCCAAATCAAGTCTTGGTCAAAAACATGTGGCACTAAAAGAGAGCATAGCAGAAACAAGAGCAGAAAAGTCACTCAGCCTTCTGCTTTTACTATGACTCTGTAAATACTCAGACTACGGTAATTAATTCTAGTATTGAGTTATTCAAGTGTCAAATATGTGATATGATTTTGCTATCTACATAGGGAAACAATATTATGTTTCCGCGATTGGGGTGCAAGAACCGTTGATCATTTCAAAGGGATGCTAAAAATTTAAAAAAAAAATAGTGATTTGGATAATTAATGAGACAAATTGGAAACTAAAATTTTTGAAATAACAAACATTTCTGATAATTATGAACATTTATATTGTACAAACAATAACGTTTCATGATCATTAATTACCTGAGAGCAAGATGAAATGGAATCTTGATTTCTCGAACTTGTCCGTTAGCTTCCAGAAGACAACATTGGAATGTATGAGACACTGTACTGGATATCGTACTTGTATTTAATCCCATCATACCATGTCCTGGACATAACAATCTAAAACGAAATAGTAAAAATAATGGAAAAAAAAGATGTATTTTTTGGTAAATAATTTTTTTATGACATGTATTCACGTCTTTCACTCCAAACAAGGCATTACAAGCAGCCACTGATATCTAACGATGTGTCTATTGTTTTGAAGAACTGAATTCTTTCTGGCATTGCTGAGGGGCAAGGAATTTGAACCCAAAATATGCAATCGCGCATGACTAATTCTGAGGGCTGTTTTGAGTTTTAATCAGAAATTTCGGGAGGTTTAGAAAGTGAAAAAAAGAATATTTTTTACCCTACTGAGAAACAATTGCATTTCTTCCACAGCTTCAAAAATTGGTTATTATAATAAAAAATTAATCTAGAAAAGGCACATAAATTTAAAATATTTGATTTCATAAAACCTTCAAAAGAACTGAATAATGGCAATCTTGAAAATGCTCTCCGGTCTCCTCTAATACTCGACAAAATGTGTTCAAATTTTTTTATTTAACTAGTAGGAAGTTATTCTGAATATATGCAAAGTATAAATAGAATATGAGATAGTGGGTGGACTTTTTAATTTTTTTGACATTTACAACGGAAAATCTCATTTCCACTACCACATCCAAGGTGTTACAAATTGGGTAGGTAATGTATAGCATAATGTATATGCATTATGAAATGCATAAACAAAAAAAGGGAACAGTGTTTATGCATAATGAGAGATGAAGAATTTGAAAATAGACAGAGGTTGAAATATATCAAAAAAGATCGGGAACAACTGCCCTGGACTAAAACAGAAGATCAAATTATATCACAACATGGCTACTCACTTTGCATTTTTACTGACGTTGAATGCGCCGACCCTCGGTCCATTTATGCAAGTCCATACTTCTAACAGACCTCTACGTGGTGCATAGATCAGAAGAAATAGAGCGTGCCTTCGAATATTTGAACGATGCTCATTATCAACATGCGAGTGGTGATGATGATGTCTATGTGATCTGTGTGCATCGTCAAAAACCCTCATAAAACCGATTTGTGCATCCCTATAACCTGGAGAAAAATAATATATTCGAAGAAATATGAAAAAAGAAATAGTAACAATGATAAATACATTGAGAAGTCTCCTATATTGCATATGGTTCTTTATGAGTGACTTGAATTCTCAAATTTAATTTTGATTCTAAATTGCTCCGTTCTTCAGAAAAATTACAAGGGAAACTTCACTTTTAAGAATCTAAATTAAGCAAAGATTTTGCACCGAACAGAGCCATCTTCACTAAGCTATTATTACTGCGAAAATATTATTTCTACACTAAAAGGAATATTTTCTCTATCACACGTTCACTCCAAACAAGTTCCAGTGCGAGCTTGCACTGATATTTAACAATATGAGAAGAGCTACCAATTATTGGAAAGATCGCAATTTTTTCGGTCTAGCCAATTCATTATACCGTGGGTTAGATGGGATTTGAACAAGACTTGTAACCTGCGATGCAAGCATAGTTGAGTTTAATGCTTCAACCACTAGATACAAAATTTATTTTCACGCCCACAAACAGATACATAAGAGTACATGAGTACCAGTATTGATCATTGGACAAATATTAAAAAAACAATTCACCTTTCCACATTCTCAAAGCTATAGCCCTTGAAACATCCATCAGAATAACTCTTCCCAGGCTATCAGTAGTAGCAGCTAGAGCAGATGAAGAGAGATGAGCACCAGGAGCAAGGATAATGTTATCACCGTGCCTCAGTGGATCTGGCATTCCACACCTAATGTCTAATGGTGTGCCAAGCTCTACCTGAAACGTAAAATTAATTTATTTTTTTAGGGAATCAAATCTAAAATATTGGCCTAAATTAGTGCACAGCAGTGGGTCTTTCGACAGTTTCTAGTACTCAATTTCATGAGAGAAAACATAATTCACATGAATATGAAGAGCAGAGAAGCATTGACAAGGCTACTGCAAAGCTATTCTAGGTTTCAAAAATTCTGAAAGGAAATTCCACTATAGGAAGGATTATATTTCATGCTCAGCTTTCAACTGCTGCTGTAGAAATTCACTTAATGCTAGATTGAAGCAACGTTAGCCTTGTCACAATTTTTTTCATTTCAGTATTTTTTCAATAACTCGGAACGTACCGGTACATGTCAATGGTTTACAATTTCTAAAATGGGCTGTGTATGATACTTGTAATTGGTCCTAACATCTATAGAAAGTGAAAATATTTGAAACAGGGTTTTTTCAGTAATCAAAACATGTTTCGGTAAGTTACTGTGAATTAACCGCATTGTCCAAAGCAAGCATTCACACTAACCTTAGGTTTCTGTTTTTGTGTTGGTTCAGATTGAGCTCCAGTTCCCCATGCCAGCCATCTACTTGCTGAACTATACAAGGCTGATTTTAATTTGCTTGCAACTGCAAGAGCTACATGAGAAAGATGGGGTTGTGTGCTACCCTGAAATCAAAATTAATTTGGAATTTGAAAATAAAATTAGATTGTGCTTTATTATAAAAAGTATGTCCCTTTTTTGACATTCTAGAATACTTAAATTTCCATATATGGTTTGAATTTTTCAAATTGCTACCCCAGATATATTCAAGTCAAAGCACTGCCTTTATCAAGCTCATCTCTTGCCCACTCTTTCACCGTGTGCTGGCTATGATAACTTATACAACATATTTATGTGCCTTCCACTCTGAACAAGGCTCTCACACAAGCAGCCATACCAGTTCGACATTGTTCAAAGAAGTATTAACAGCATCAATAAAATTGGACAATGGTAGTGCCGGAATGTGACAGCGAGGGGGTAAGTTAAACATGACATTATCTATAATTTTCAATAGATAATGCCATATTTCTATTACCACCCTGTTGCCACAATTTGAATCTTTTTCCAAATACAAAGTAGAATATAAATCATGGGAATATAATTTTGATTTACTCAGGAACTCAAATTAACATTGATCGCTCAGTAACAACGTCTTTCTTTGTTTTTATTTTTATAAATTTATTGTGGGGCTCCGTAGCGGCCCTTTTTGGAGCCAGAGTGAGAGAACGAAAAGTATAAAATAAAACATCTTAGAATATTATACAAGGGATATAACCTTACATTAGATTTTGGGTCAATTTTGTGCCGTTTTCTAGCTATGTCCCAAGTAGGGTCATTGAATGACCTTTTTCTTTTTGATTGTAACTTGTTTGAATTGCGAGTGGGAGTCGAATTTGGACTGATATTGAAAGTGCTTCCTGACCCCTAAACAATTTAAGATTGAAATTTCAATATCTATGACATTAGATGGACAGACGACCTAATGGGTAAAAACTTTGGTACTCCTGAAGTATGTGAACCAAGATGGCAGACACATGAACGTAGTATGCGTACCAGGTTAGGATTAAGCCATAGTTTCAGGTACAAGTACTAAGGGAGACACTTGGCTAGTTCCCGAACTCGTAATAGCGGTAAAATTAGGGAAAATTGAACTGAAATTATGGCCTAACCCCAACCTGGTACACATACTACGTTCCGGGGTCCGCCATCTTGGTTCGCATACTTCGGGAGTACCGAAATTTCAAATGAACTATGATAGTATCGCAGGTTGAATATCATGTGTTCAAATCCCGTGCCAACCGTCCCACAAAGAGTGTAACAAATTGGGTAGGCAATGCCGAACTGAAAATACACCTGACCTTACAATCTATAGTAGCTCTTTTAACTGGCAACGGCCCATCTGTACAGAGCCAAGTTTAGAGTACTTGTATGAAGTATTGTTTAGAGTGAAAGTCATATAAAACGCTTCAAAAAGAATCAGCTCAAATAAAACTCAAATGCAACAACCAACAATTGTCATAACAATTCGGGATATTTTGTCTTATTTTTAAAAGCTTTTCTATTCAATAAAATACTTACTTCTACAGCATAATAGAATCCTGTGAATGGAGAAGTCCCTGTTGCTATGAAGCAAGACATAGCAGGTGCGGTGTTTCGAATATCAGCAGAATATCCACCTAATATTGATGCTGTTTTCATTTGATTGAAAGGATCAGGCATGAGAACACCAGGACTGATATGAGATGAGATTGGACTCTGATGACTTGTTAGTCTCCATTTTTTGTAAGACATTGGTGGTGGTTCAATAGTCATACCTCCACTAGCAGCAGCTAAATTAAAAAAAGATTGATCAATAAAGCTCTGGAATGTTTTACTGATAATGATGGGTTTCACGGGATAAAAACAATGAATAGTGGTTAAAAGAAGTTGTGATTTGCTGAAGTTGTTGACCAAAAACTTTATTTCCTGTGTTGGCTCATTCACAGCTTATCATTCAAGTCAAAATCATCTGACAAGAATCCAAATGCAAATTAGAAAGTCAGATATATTATGGATAAAAAAAATTAGATCAGCAGCTACTAACATTTCCAAAGTGAATATATGTTGTGTAACTTGTGTTATATGTATTTATTTATTTGCAGCATCCAAGCCTGTCAAACTCAGTCAGTGTATCTACCTAACATAAAAAAAAAATTCTGGAGCGCGAGTTATCTGGAATTCACTAATATATAGCTGTTTATTTGATCGGATTGACATGAAATGGTCAAGCCTTGTGTTAATTGGTATTTACCAACACATAATTCTACCCTATAATTCCTTATAGTCTCAGTAGTTGTTGTCCGTAACTTCGCTCGGAGATCAATCTCCTTCATTTTTGAGTGAGTGCATGTTGCCTTAATTTAGGTGAAAAAATACTACCGGTACTTATAGCCCTTCTTTGCATTTATACGTCCAACTATAATGTTCATATCAGCCTCAATTGGAAATATTATTGAAACTTACTAATAAAAATGAATATCATTCAACAGAGCACTTTGATTTAACTTGAAAGGAGTTAGTCAAAATGTGTCAATCGCATTAAATCAACGTCTCCCAATATATTGAGAATTTCAATATTTTGAAATCTTTTTTATTCACCTAATGCCACTTGACTCCTACAAGCTCTCAATGTTTGAAACAAACTGAATCCTTCGAGTAATACGAGAGCATCGCCATATAATATTGTAACTTCATCAGGTTGGTCTGGTGTAGAAATTCCAGTTTTTGTGAGAATGATGATCAAGTGTTCTACATTTAATTTCCATAACAGGAGATTCGTGAAGCAATTGAGAGATCAATAAAGCACATTCTAAAAAAGAAATCAGCATAATTGAGAAAATATATAAACCAGATTATCTTTGATGATAAAACGTGGGAATACATAAATTTGATGGTGTCACTATCAGGGCTCTGGGACCATGATCTGGAGCCAAGTCGTTTCGCCCAAAGTTGGACCGTATCATCTAGCTGGTCCGGCCCAATGCCAGAAAACGTGGGCTCTCAAGAGCCTTGAAGGTCTGAAACGTGTTTCAAGCAATGAAAAATTGTATACAGAATGTATACAAAGCTGGAGGAACCAGAAATTTAAGTGGTACATCTCCGAATCCATTAAATATTTCCCCACACTTTTTTCATACAAATAATAAATCAACCCTTTTACATTATTGGCTTCATTTGCTAAATTATATGTTTATACCTAATCCTAATCCAGAAATAATTAGTCTAGCTAATAACTCTAAGCCAGTGAAGCATAGTCACGAGACCAGTTAGCAGATTGTTCAATGAATACAACAATTATACTATAAAATCACACATGTACAGTGAACCGTAAACGAATACTGTATTTAATGATTTCGTTTCCAAGTAATAAAATATAATGTATACTGAAATGGATGAATGAAAAATATTACATTATATTAGCGCCTCCCTACCGAGGGTCTACAGCTAGATTTTGAGGGGGCCATGAGCTTTCCATGCATGATATGAAGGAAAAATTAAAATGGAATGGTAAAATGCAACACAAAAAATCAAAGGCAAGGGATAACACAAAATATTTAGTTTGCTTGGTTCAATAGAATCTCAATGCAACATTTGGCACTGTTTTTCACGTGGATATCTCATACATGACAAAGCACATCTCATGTTGTCAAATTCACGATTGCCTCTATGTGCAGTTTTGATGAGAAGCATTAGTAGAGGTCACCAGTGCATAACAGTTTTAACCGGTTTAAATAAGTCCAAAACTTTATGGCAAACCATCAAAGGGGTCCATGGCACAAAAGAGGTCGAGATACACTGTGTTAAATTCATACCTCTGTATACATTCTTATATACCCTGACGAAAAACCGACGACTATGCAACTCCAGTCCACGCTGCCATGTGAAGTCTTCTTCAAAGATACAAGAGGAATACAAAGGATACTTGTGATGTGTTCCCTGGATAAAAGGTTTTATTTCAAGCCCATAAAAAGGAAGCATTTACCAAATTTGAGATTTTTTCATTTCTTCAAATAGAGTAATTTCCATTTTCCCCCATCTTGAATAGGAAATTGGGAAAAAAGACATAAGCATTTGATAACATGGATGTTCAAAAATTGTCATGTTAAATATAGGGTAACAATTTACAGCCTGTTATCAGATAGCAAAAGTTATGTTTGCATAAAACCTGAATATATTAAATAGGCCCATGTGACAATCCAAGATATCTCCCAAAAAGAATAAACATGAAAATTAGCTGTATTTTTCACTTAAGGGTGAGAAACTAAGCCTATGCCGTGGGCGCATTGGCCAGTGGGTGAACGGGCCGTTAGACTTGGCCGTATTGGCATTCCAGTATACACATCTAGACTTCAAATTTCATGGCCACAACGTTACCCAGGGTGTACTAAAGGGACAAACTCCGGTCCTTCCAAAAATAGTAGCTCATTGCGTATCATTAGATATGAGTGGCCATTAACATAGGACCTTGCTTCAAGAGAAAAGAGTATAATATTGTATAAAAAACTGTTATACAATTACTAACGATTAGCTTCTGCATTAACTGAAAATAAAAAATAATATACCCCGATTCTTCTGATATTTCCATTTGTGTTGCAATTTTGTATTTTCTAGTTCCATGGCTTCTTGCACTATGACCCTCAGATTTGGCTGTAAAGCAACAATACCAGACATTCAAAATATAATTGGTATGGTATAAATCTCGGGAATCTAATTGAAACAAATTGAACCTAAATTTGAATTCTAAATTCAAAAAATCATTTGGAAAGTAAGAAATATATTCAATATAAATTAATACGGACTATTTTCAACTATCGACGTTTGAATAATTTGGTGTTCTCAAATCATGATGCGCGTTACTTCTGATACAATCACAATCTATAAATAATAGCCTATACTAATTTTGCGGTTAAAGGGTTAGGCTTATTAACTGTGTTCACATCGCAGGTAACACACCTATGGTTCAAATATCATGACCATCATGTCAACCACGGTATAATACCAGAACCAGGGAAGATTCTGGTGTTTCAAAAAATAAAGAGTCCCTTAATAAATATCACTAGATATTAATCATTGTAATGTAGGTTGTTCTGAGCAAAAGCCATTTCATAAAAAAGCAGTGTTCTTATCAATCGCATTTGCAAAATTTAATTTGATATGTATATTGGTATTAAAAAAATTTCGAAACTTAAATCAAGGACATTTCTATTCATAGCACCTGTGTTTATGGTTAAATAATCAGATTCATGATTAGGATTCAGAAACATAGTCTATATTGATCGAGTTGCTATTCTTTCAAACATAATATTATTATTAAATATTCTTTGACAATTCTCAAAATAAAAAGAGTTTTTTTTTAAAAAATTCAACTTCTGTCACAACCAACCTGCAAGTAGAATGATCTTTCCAGCATAACCTATTACCAACAAATCATAGGTAGGTGAGAATGCAATCTGGCATTTATGGAACCAGTTATTTTCTTGATCATCTGAAGAATCATTCTCATCCTGATACCAGAAGAAATAATATTAAAATATTAATATTTGTTGGGTGCGAAGGCCTAGCAGGTAAAACAATACACTCATATTAAATTGGGCAGTCAATGCTGAACTGGAAAGATTATTACATTATTAGTGGCTGCTTATACAGACCCTTATTCAGAGCAAAAGCTGTGAAATAAGATCATATGAAAATGTGTGTTTCAACCCATTGTTGCTCAAGCAAGTGAAATATTCGAATCAATTTATTTATTATATTCAATATTTTAAAATCCTGATTTTAAAAATGAAATGAAAGTTTCATTTGAAATTATAATTTTAAGTGTCACAGAATGACCAAAAATGCCTTACGGTAATTTAAATATCCTATTTATGGAAACTTCAAAAAATATAAATCCAATCCAATAACTGTACTTTCCAAAATTTATCAAAAACATGTTATTCGCTGAACATGGAAATATATTCGATATTCACGAACATTATTTTAGAATGTGTTCAGAATAGAAAGTTATTAGACTTTGGCCATCTGTGATTAAAATTCCACTAAAAGCAAAATTGTCTCAATTTCTGATGATTTATATTATTCAGACTTCTAAAAGTGATATCTTTTTTCGATTAAAAAGAATGAAAAGTGAAATGTCTCCCTGAAATAATTGTCCACTACTAAATTATCAATTATTAAATAATTTTTAAGCAACCTTTTGCTTGTTATTTTCTTCATTGTCATTTTCCCAATTATTCGCCCAATCATCTTCATTCCATCCATCAGCATCATTATCTATATATAATATAGGCTAGATGTTATTTTCGAATACCAGCCATGTCGAGTCCTTCCATATAGTAGTTAGCTACTAAACCCTAACAATGGCTACTTGTGCAAAGCTTTGTTTAGAGTGAAGGACGTATAAATAAGCCATGTTAAAAAAAAGTAAAATGGTAGCAACTTTAGCACAATTTGTAAATTTGAGCTTGAAGCCAATATAAAAATTTAAATAGTATTAATTGATAAATTTGTTTTAATATGGAACAAGACTATTGAATTGAATGGTCATTCACAGCAGAGTATGCAATATTCACACATGAATCCACCACCACAAACCTCGATGCAACTTGCTCAAAAGAGGAGTACCTGGCGTCAAATGTGGAGGCTATCTGCTTGCAGTGGCATGAACAGCTAGTGATGATGTTGAATGTATCCAAGTATTATACCGTTTCAACATCCAAGCCTACAATTCCCAACTATCAGTATTTAGATGATAAAATATAGCAAACCTTCCATCTGCTGTTCATTTCCTGCATCTCTGACCGGAAATAAATATTTTCTGACAGATGTAACATCCTCAATAACACAAGTTTGTTTTAAACTGCAAGCCATATCTAGTTAATATTTATGAAATCATATAACATCTTGCAAATGTAAGGCTGTAAATATTATAACAAGGCACATAAGGATGTATGATTTAAAATAAATTGAATATATAACATCTATGAAACAATATCCAATCAAAGAAAAGCCAATGATAAACCATATATCATTTGCATGAATTAGCAACACTAGCACATAATCGTTAGATCATGATTTAAAATGAAATTTCAGTACAGCAAAAGATAGAGATGACAGATATTAAACTAGAGGACAAATGCTAAATTCAAAATTTAGATTGAAAATTCCAAACAATGCAAATCTCAAATATATGCAAAGAATATAGCAGGAGACAGAAAATGAAAACAGAAAATGAATGTGTTTACTAAATACATAACCAACTGCTTGGATTATGCCAGTGGTTCCCAAACTGTGTGTCACACATTAGTGCGACATAATTTTGAGTGTGAGTCGAAATATAAAATCATTTTCTAAAAAATTTCCTAAACTTGACACAAAATGATAGAATCTGTTACACTCAAATCAACAGTGAAAAAATGCCAAATATTCGACTGATATGTGATTGTTTATATGTACAAAAACAACCCCATATATCGCATTGATTCAATGTGCATATATTATGAAAATCCTCCTCGTCAAAATTGAAATGTCAAATATTACTTCCAACATGTCATATAGAAAAACATGTAATATAGAAAGTAAATGTATGAAGTTTGAAAAGTTTGGGAATCTCTGGACTAATCTATAAAACTTGCATTTAGAATAGCTAACATTCAAACTATTGGGTATATACTAGAAAAAATTTGAAATCTCTAGCTACTAAATATATTCAACAGACAGTACGAAAAATAGTAACATGATCTAACGTGACATTCAAGGTTTAAAAAAAATTCAAATTATAAAGCAGAAGTCTTGAATATAAACTATATTTCCAGATGTTAGTGATAAAGATGGTACTACAACATAAAATATATGGAAAAATTATTTATGTACAATTTATATAATATGTATGTTGATAAAATGTAAAAGAAATATATAGCGTGAAATTGCACAAACACTGAATTTGACATATACATAGAGGTCATGATGGCCTACTATATTGGAATTACAGACATAACCAAGTTGGCGATATAGGTTAGAGATACCAGGTTCAAGTCTCACTTCCAACACTTTTCTCAAAAGTGCAATAAATTCAGTAAGCTGTGCATTTCTATTATCAATGAGAAAAAATTATAAAACACAACTTTTTTAAAGATATGAAAAATAAATTTCATGAAAAATGACACTTTTAGCAATGCAGTATTGAATAAGGTTTAAATTGCAATTGACTAAAATTTTTCTGAATTCACGATCTATAATGAGCAGACCAACAAAAACTGATATATTAACGAAACGCGAATACACTAAAGCACTATTACTAAAAAGGCAATGGTAAATTTATAAAATTTAATGGACGGATTGGCACAAAAGTATGGTTGAATTCATGTCCTTCTCATCAGTTTACCAGTTCTGGCTGTGCATGGGAATAGAAGTAGGGCAAGGATAAGTTTTCCGTTTTACTGGCAATTGGAAATCTTGTTTGAATATATAGGGTGTTCATAAAGTCCAATTACAATTTTGTTATGAAATATATCTTAACAAGGTTTGTTTGATTTTAATCAGGGTTTGAGTTTTTTACCAATACAAACTATATATGGTATTGATGAATTCCCTATTCAATTTCAAAATTTTTCAGACTTTATGAAAACCCTGTATATTAGATACGGTATATAATATAACATGAAGCATTTGTTTAAATACTCAGATAATAACAAAACAAGCGTGTGGTTGTAAAAACCTGTGAAGTGGCTTCAAAACGTATTGAAACATTATCTGTTTTAATCCCACTTGAATAAAACACAATCAAGTATTCAAGTATTTCTATTGATCAATGCTATGTTATAAATATTTTACAATACCAAAGATAAAATCCAACAATATGTCAAATTAGGGAATTTCAAGTGAAATTTTCAACTAAATTTGCACATTTTCTCAGTAATGAAGACTATGCCAAGGGATTGGGCAATACTGCATTTTTGACGAAAATACAATGAGTACAATACAACTCATAAATTTCTTGAACACTCTAAGATGCTTTGCACAAAGTTATGTTCTCTGTAGAACAGTGGTTCTCAAGTGGTGAGGCGCGCCCCACAAGGGGGACGTAAACAATTTTTCGAGGGGGTGTGAAGCTAATTAAAAATAATTGATCGATTTGATCTTGCGCGCCTTATTTGTTTTTTAAAACTTTCCATTTATTCAACTATTTACGTTCCATCTATGTATTTTCAACATGTTTTTCGAATAAAATTTTGCCTTACTATTTGTTATTTTATTTGTAGCCTTCTTAGCTAGTTATATTTTTGAGATGGGGCACGAGACTTGACAAATTCTGAAAAAGGGGCGCGGCTCAAAAAGTTTGAAAACCACTGCTCTAGAACAAGTTGCAAACGATCTGGGTTCTGTTTTTTAAAGCACCCTTTATATAGCATCTATAGACGAGTTACAAAGCCACTTAAAAATAGGTTTAAGTTAAGGCATGTGGAAACAGTATCTTTTAAAATATGATTAATTTTTTTTATTTGAAAAAAAACGGTTCTCAAATTCATGAGAAATTCTTAACTAAACAGAAATTAGGAGCAATATTTGAATAGTACTCAAACATATTCATAATTTGTACACAGTAAAACAATTCCAATTTATGTATCTTTAGAAATACAAGAAAATCGAAACCCCAGCTGGCATATAAATATATTCCCAAAGCGTCTTTGTTTGAAACATCAAAATGAATGACCCCTGTTATAAAGACTCAAAATAAGAATAATAAATTAGGCTAGCATCTCCAAAGCTACCGTAACTTGCAACAAGAATGAATCATTGAAAATTGCTTTAAATCTAAAATAACGCAACCAACTGTGCTTATAATTTCCAAATATTGCACTTAGCAAATGAAATATCATGGGACATGAACATCACACATATTAATAATGCTTATGAAATAAAAATCGATATAACAAGAAATCCAAATTCAGGTATGAAAAGAATAACATGAGCACAAGTGTGAAAATGCAATATACCAAACAATATGGTAGTTGTACCAAAACAATACTTTTTACCAAGCAACCTAAATAGCACCGTATAGGTATATTGCAGAATAGTATTGAAACATGTTTCATTAAACTATAAAACGCGAGAAATAATCAGTTTTGGAATTTTCGAATAATATTATAGATTTGCTTTCAATTTATAAACACATATTTTAGCAAAGACAATTTTGTTCAATGAATGCGATTTATTTCACAAAGTAAATAAATTTTGTGATAAAATAGTTAGTGGTCCATACCTGAATGTATCAAAAAAAAAAACATATATGAAGTACGGTATATATATTATATGATAAAAACAGTGAGACACATTCACGAAAATTCTTAAAGTCTTGTACCCCAATCTATAGCGTTATTTCTGTGCTAAGCCATGTTTTTCGAGAATTTGTTGTGATTCAAGTTCATTAAATTGCAGTAGAAGTATTAAAACTTTTGCCATAGTCCCACATTCATTTCCCATAATATATTCATACAAAATCCTCCTTAGATATTCAAGTTTATCTGGATCGGCGAGAGGTGTGGCAAGTGACACTCTTGCTTGGAACGACTGAAGCATCGTTTCATTTTCACGTTCCCTCTGTTGCGTATCAGCAAGAATTTTATTCACTTCCGCTAGTTGTTTTTTCAAATTTTCATTTTCTTGCTCCATGTCTGCACTTTGTAATTTTTTTTCAGCAGTCATAGCACGATACATGGCTTTATCAACTTGTTCGGACATATTTTTTTCCATTTCATGCATTTCTGACTCGTACTTTTCGACAACTTCTTCCATTTTCTCTTCTTTTCCTTGAATTTCTCTTTGCAGAAAAACTAGTTCCTTGTGATGATCAGATCGCACTGAATCTTCAAATGATAAATTTTTTTTCTTCATTTTTTCAAGTTTTAAGTCGAAACTCTCGTTATTTTTCTGAATTTGCGTTTCATATTCAGTCATCATTTTCTTGATCTTCTTTGTTGTTTCTTCATCTTTCTCACGCAACCTTCTTTCAAAATCCTCTTTTAAGTTTCCTAATTTTCTTTCAACTTCCACATCTTTATCTTCAACGGCAGTTTTAGACAAAACCTCCATTTGTTTTTGCGATGAACTGATTTCATCTCGTAATGACTGCATTTTCCTCTCATAATCTTCAATTGTATCATTTAAATTTTGCTTTACAGTTTCTCTATCATTCTCCAACTTTTCACTTCTTTTTCTAGCAGCATCTAATTGGGCTTCAAGAGCTGATATCATATTCAAATTTTCTCTTTCCGTGCTGTCAATAGTCTCTTGCTTATTCTTTAAACTTTCTTCAAGGAAAAGAATTTTAGCATCTGATTCGTTTTGTTTATTTTTCAAATTCTCTGTTTCGTTTGCAAAATCTTCTTTTGCTACCAACAATTGTGTTTCACTCTGCAATCTCCTTTCTTTTTCTTCCTGTAGTGCCATTTCCGATCGATCTTTTTCTTCATCCATTTTCTTTTCTGTTTCTTGCAATTTTAGCTTTGCCTCTTGAAGTACTTGTTCAAGTCGATCTTTCACTTCGGCAAGTTGAGCTTGTTCATCCTCGTACTTTAATTTTTCTTCCTCAATCATATTGACAATATTTTTATCAGATTCCTCTTTGATTCTAGCTTCAATTTCCAATTTTTCTTTTTCCCATGCCGAAAGCATTTCTTGTTTTTCACTTTGTAATTGTTCAAATTGTTTTTTCAAGCTTTCAAATTCAGTCAACAATGTTTTGTTCTCAGTAATAGCAGTTTCTTTGGTTTTATTAGCTTCTTCTAGGGCTTGCACCATTTGCTCTTCCAAAGAACTCTTGTCATCTTCTAACTGAGAAATTAATTTCAGTTTTTCTTCTAATTGGGAAGTAAAAGTATTTTTAATTTGAGCCAGTCTAACTTCAGCTTTCTTTTTCAAATCTGCCATTTTCTTTTGATGTTCTTGGTTTAATTTCGTAGTTTGAGCTTCTAGTTGTTCTTTAGATTCTTTTTCCAACTGTATTGTTTTCTCAACAACAATGGCATCCTTTTCTGCAAGTTCTTTTTTGACTTTTTCTAAAGATTTTGCCATTTCGTTGTTTTCCGCTTGCGTTAGTTTCATTGAAGAATCGTTTTCCAATTTTTCTTTTTTCCAGTTTTCAAGGTCTTCAGTTTTAGTTTCAATTTCTAATTTCATGTTTTCCAGCTTTTCATTTAAATCAGAAATTGTTGAATCTCTCTCCTTCAACTGAACTTGTGAACCATCAAATGAAGAATTGACATCCGAAAGCTTCAAATTCGAACTCTCAATTTCTTTTTCAAATTCCATAATTTTTTCATTCTTTTCATTTACATCTTTTTCCAATTTCTTTATCATTTCATCATAATTTCGACTTTGTTTTTTAGAAGATTCCATAATGTTTTTTATTTGTAGTTGCAAATCATCCACAATGTCTTTTTTCGAATGTTCTGCAATTTCTGCATCCTTTTTAACTTTCTCAGAAAATTTTTGCTGTTCAATAAGTTTACTTTCAGTCTCTTGAAGCTTTTGTTCCAAAAGGGTTAAATTTTCTTGTACAAGCTTTGCACTGTCAGTAAGGTGTTGAATATTTTTTTCAGCAGAGGCCTTCTCCTCACCAAGTTTGTGGATTGTTTCTAGCTGTGATGTTAATTCAGCTTTGGCATTTTTGAGATGAGAGTGTTGTTGTGCTATTTTTTGTTCGGCTTTAGATTTCAATTCAGTATATTTTGTTTGCCAATCACTATTCTGCTTTTCCAAAGCAGCAGCATGCTCTTTCGTCAGAGCTTCAAATTTACCTGAATGTACTTTATTTTCTGATTTTAAGCTTTCTAAAAACTTGTCATTTTCTGAAATTTTGGCATGAGCTTCTTTTAACTGAATAGACTGAGCACTGAAATTTTCCGTCAGTTTATTAAATTCTGAAATCTTGGCATCCAATTCAGTAGCAACTTTCTTTTCTTCATTAGATTTGTCTTCTAATTGCTGTTGAAGATTTTTTATTTCACTTTGTAACTGATTTAAGTTATCATTAGATATATCAAGATTCTTCATCAATTGTTCAACTTTAGATTCTTTATCCAAGTTTAACTTTCTAAATTGGGAAAGCTCAGCTTCAGCAGCATCTACTTTCTGTTTTAGATTCGTTACTTCAATCTCATTACTCTGAAACTTTTCAGTACTTGTTTTGTAATCTGCTTGGAGACATGCCAAATTCTCATGGGCTTCAGAAAGTTCTTTACATTTCTGTGATTGCTCGTTTTCGAGATCAGTAATTTTTTCATGGCATTCTTGAAGGGACTGTAGAAGAGATTTTTCTTTGTCAGTGGCATCAGATGTTTCGCTTTGCAGCCTCATCTCTAAATTCCTCATTTCAGTGTCAAGTTTCTTCCTCTGTTCAGTTAATAATTCTTGTTTTTCAGTATTGAATTTGTTCGTTAATTCTTCCACTAAATGACTTTTGTTCTCATCAAAAGCATTGTTCAAACTATTCCTCAATGATTCTAAATCTTGATTGTGAGTGTTTATCATTGATTCTTTTAACGCATCATATTCTTTTTCAGATTTCTCCTTCAAGCCTTCTAATTCATTTTTCAGTTTGTTTTCCCATTCAGACTCCATTGCTTTCAATCGCATTTCATGATTTTCAACCATTTTTCTATTTTGTCCTTCCAGTTGTTCTAATTTTATTTTGATTTCATTTAATTCTGTTTTAGACTTCTCAATCATAGATTCTTTCTCTGTCACAGTCGTCTGGTTTTCTTTAACAGTGGCTTTAAATTTTTGGGCAAGTGCTTTTAATCTTCCACCAGCTTCAAGAAATTTCTTATTTGTTTCTTCTTGTAATTTCTGAAGATCCAATTTCTCTTTTTCTAAAGTAGCAATTTTCACCACAGATTCCTGTTTTTCTTTATCTAACTGTGATGATAAATCACCGATTGCAGATTTATGGCTTTCCTCCATATCCAAGACATGTTTTTTCATTGTCTGTTCTCTTTGTTTCAATTTCTCTTCAGCAGCATTGCAAGCTTGTTCAAGTTCCTGTTTCTGAGATTGTAAATTTTCCAGATTTTCCTGCAACGTTTCAAGTTCTCCATGAGAAACTTCATTCTGCTGTAAGCTTTCTTGTTCTTTCTGTGAAAAGTCCTGCTGCAAGTTTTCCATTTTATTGTTTAGTTCTTTAATTATGTTTTCTTTTGCTTCAATATTCGAATTCAAATCTTCTTTTTCTTTTGTTGCACTGTTTTTGATTTCTTCTAATTCGTTTAAAGAATCCTTCAATTGTGTATCTCTTTCAAAAAGTTTAGATTCTATTTGCGAAAATTTGATACTTAAGGCTTCCCTATCACAATTCAACGTAGTGACTTCTTTTTCGAGTTGGGAAACCTTCTCTGCTTGTTGCTGAAAAAGTTCGTTCCTCTCTTTACCTTGTTCATTTACTTGTGTTTTCAAATCGTCAACTTCTTGTAAGTATGATTTCTCAGCTTCTGCTAACTTTTCAGTCCATGTCAATTCTTTTGTTTGAAGTTTGTTTTCAAACTTTTTCTTTTGATTTGTGAATTTTTCTAAAAACTCTTGAGCCTTCGAAGTCATATGATCATCATGATATTTTTTAAGGCTGTCAAGTTCGAATTTATGTTCTTCACTCGCCTTTTGAAAATTGTCTTTTAGAATGGTAATTTCCTCTTCATGTTTGTTGGCCTCATCCACTCTTGCCTTTTCAAGCTCTTCCACTTTTTGACGAACATTCTCCAACTCTGTATCTAGTTGTTTCAACAAATTCTGAGCTTCAGTGTCTTGTTGTGAGACTGCAGCCATTTTATTCAGCTCTCTCTCCTCAATTGCTAATCTCATTTGATTCTCTTTTTCATCCAATTCCAGTTTATATTTCTTTGCTTGTTCTTGCAATGCAACTTCATGCATTTTTGTATGAGCCTCTAAATCACTTTTGTGTTTTTTCATTACATTTTCAAGTTTCTCATTAATATCAAGACTATCAGCTTTTGCATGTGAAACCTCAGAAACATATGTTTTTCTTTCCGCATCAAATTCTTCTTCAATCTTTGTAATTCTGCCTTCCATTTCTTTCTGTATAGTTTCAGTTTTCAATAAAGCATCAGCTCTTTGAGCTTCTGCTGTTCTACCAATAGTAACTGCCTTTTGAAGTTCCTCCAACAAAGAATTTTCCCGTTGCTCTTTCTTCATTTTAAATTCATCAAGATCAATTTGTAGTTTCTTGACTTGTTGATGTAAGGATTCTACTTCGATATCTTTACCTTCAAGAATCTCATGCATTTGTCGTTTGGCCTCTGCAACAGCAGTGACTTTGTCCTCTTCAATTTTCTCAATGACGTTTTTTGCTTCACGCAATTGTTTGATAAGTTTCGACTTTTCCGCAACGTTCGAATCTTTCAGGTTTTCTAATTCTTCTAATCGCTCACTAAGTTGTTCTTGTAAAGCATCACCTTGGCTTCTTAGACCTTCACAAGTATCTTTAGCAAATTTGAGTTGTTCTTCTAAGGTTTTGACCCTTTTTTGAAGCTTTGAATCATCTCCCTGGCCTTGAGCAGTTTCAGTTTGTACTGGTGGTGGAGACTTCTGCGGATCATCTTTAAGAATTGCAACTTGAGTATGAAGCACTTGTATCATTTGATCTTTTTCTTCCAGAGAAACTCGAAACTCCTCTTCGAGATGCATTTTGGCTTTCAAATCCAACGCTGCGGCTTCTTTGAGTTCCTGAATTCTGCGTAGATTTTTATCTTGGGTCTGTTGCATAACTGATTGCAACTTTTCTCTTTCTTGTTTCGCCTCACGAAAACTAGAAGCAAGTTCTGCATATCTTTCTCTATATTTAAGAAGAGTTTTCTCCAGTCTCATTACTTTTGCAAATAGTTGTTCTTTGGGAATTGCACTTACATCAATAGCATTCCGATTCATTGATATTTCTTCTGTATCTGAAATGGAATCACTTCGCCGACGATCGTTAGTTTGTGCAACAATATCCGGTTTAGATCGTTCATTGGAAGAACCTGTTACATTGCCACGAACTTCGTCAACGAGAGAACTGATTGATTCCTTACTTTCCGAAAGTTTATTTGCAACTTGATCTTTAAGAGGAGTCAAAAATTCTAGTCTCTTGAAAAATGGAACTTTTTTCTCAGCTTCAGTAGCTATCTGAGCACTTTTTTGTGCTTGATCCGTTTCTCCATGATTTGAAGGATTAGGAGAAACATCACCTGATATATTTCCCACCTGTTGTACAATATCTGGTGATTCCATGGATTCATTATTTTGTTTAGTAGCTGCACCATTGGCACCATTCAAACTCTCAGAATTGGATCGCCTGGGTGGCGCTGAATTGGATGGTCGTGGCAATCTAGATGTTCCAGTACGACCAGTGGGTGTGCTTGAAGCATCACCCCGATTGGCAGACTGTGGAGTTCGAACTTTTTGATCAGTAGATACTTTCTGTTTCAAGTTTTTAAACATGATTACAACCAAATTATCTGCAAATATTAATTAGGGAAATCAGTTATAATTAATTGTAGGACTTGAGGATTTCCCGATGCAATAGTTAACATATGCAAAATCTGGATTAAAATAGAATCAGCTCGGCAGTCGGTGCATCATGGTAAGCCATCGCATCTCTGATTACCCTGAACAGGTTCAAATCCCATGGGAGCTGATTATATTATGTGAGGGGATAAACAGACTTTTCACCCAACAGACTTTTCTGCCAAATAAGACAGTTTGAGTTAATCTTTTGTTAATAATACATTGGCATTGGAGTTGCCTAAAAATACATGTGGATTCATAGGAAATTTGGGCATGGGTAGGGGGTTACAGGGTTAAGGTTGTACAGAAGCCACAGGTTGCCCATATATGGCACTAATGTGGTGGATAAATATCCTTAATCACTTAAATCTTAAAATATTTGAGTGTTTATTTAATATAATTTAAAAAAACTGCCATGTCAAAGTCATAACTCAAATCGCCATATGCCATCTAGTGATTGGAATGGTCCGAGGGGGCGAAACGTCTGTGGATCAAAAAGTCTGTAAATAATTACAGATGAGTAAGCACAGGAGTATAAGTCAGTGATAAAAAAAGAGAGAATTTATTATTTCGTCAAACAAAACATATAATATCAAAAATTTCAATAACAAAATAAGTGAAACAAAAGTTCACAGTATGACTGAGAGGTAACGATACAACCATTTACGGTTATCTGAGTCAGTCAATACAAACATTTGAATAAATAAATATATTGACACAGGTTTATTTTTATTACACTCTCTGGTTATGTACAAAACTTAATCTGATTAGGAGATGAATTTTGGGTTAGTCCAATCAGGATTGGGAATTTATTAAAAAAAAATGAGATATTTATTTATAGCTATAACCGTAATATAATTTATTTATTAAGTTAATTTGATTGAAGAAAAAGAAGAGTACACATGGCGCTTTTATGAGATATAAACATAAATTCGGACAAGGATTTAAATGAGAACTAATTAGAACTGCATTGCAACTCTATACAAAAATATTTCTACAACAGTACAGGAATAGACATAGACATATATAAATTAAAGCAGATATGAATTAGCCTATTAACGAACTTTTGACAAAGATGGAACAAAACTACAGAACTAAATTATGATAATCCAGAAACCATTTCCATTCTAGCAATAAATTATTAACTGCACGAAGAGTAAACTTTGGAGTTTGGAGTATCAAAAATTGTCAAATCTGTCCATCTAGGCTATTTCACTATTGCACATTGAAAAAATATTTATCACAGTAAATTATAAGATTCATGACAACAGTAGGCCTACTTATATTATATAGTTACCGTATATTACATAACTATGGAGCGGCTATCATATGAATCTAAAATGCCATCCAACTCCTGAACTGAGCAGATTTGCATATTTATCCCGGGAAGAGGAAAGGCGATAAGACGGCTTAACCATATGGCGAACCTGTCGCCCTGTCAGCTTACCGGTACCCAGTAGACTAAATATAAATCGAAAACAATTTCAGTAAAACAGAGAAAACGAGATATCACATAGCCTAGATCTAACCAATGACATTAAACAACATGATAGGCAACTCTGACGTCACTCCATAAGACTACAGGCGAAAGATTGTATCTCATGATACGCTCCAATGCACATATTTCTCGTCGCCTTTCGCGTCTGTTTTCCGCTCGCTTTTGCTACTTGGCGTCTTTTTTACGTGTAGTACCTGCCTTTTTGCGCCTATAACGAAACAAAATAATCTCTATATCTATGAAGTTTTGATCACTTGGAAAGCTGGAATGGCAGGCAAGCTGTAAAGAGCAATTCTGGACATCATAGACGTTTTTTTTATCAGAGAAGATTACAAACGCGATAGCGGAAAAATTTGTGTGGAACATTTTGCAGATAATGACAAAGTTCAAAGTTAGTAATTTTAATGTTTGCGCTTAATCATTGAAATTTTATTTAAAGAGGGTGTCATACAAAACTGTGCTGTGATACAATTCCATAACACAAAGTTTGCACCTATCGAACTTGCTTTTGTAGGTGAATTTATTAGACATATTACATATTCAGTTAATCGTAGGTAACATTGCTGGTACATAATGCATCGTAGATAGATTTGTTTAAATTTAGCTCATAGCTCACTAATTAATATTATCTTCTATGCTGGAGGTTGCAGGGCTGAATTCAACTTGCAGCCTTACCGACCACCTGGCAATGCTCATTTAGTTTGGCTCGAGCTAGTCTTCTTGAAATGCTTGTGTGGATGGAAACTACCTATATTTTTTGCCTTCCTCTGATTTTAAACAAATTTATTCTGAGGGATTTCGCATATAATTCTCATTGGTTGTTGGCTGTTTATACTTCCTATTGATTGTGAATTCTGATTATAACAAAGAGTTAAATTTTTTTATCTAATTTACTGGCACCTTTTTCTTGTCAATACTCCAAGCTGAGGTAATAAACAAGACAATACATTTATGTCATCTGGAAGCAAAATATGCACATTAATTAATAGTTTGGCACATTGAGATAATACACCATGACAGAAAATACAAGTTAAAGATATGTATGACCATCACATGGTAATTAAAATTAAAAAAACTAATAGGGGCTGTGGAGTATGAAAAGTTCAAGACAAAGAAAAGAACAAATGTTCATAGCTCATGAACAATTTTGCCTCCATTGCTTTGTGAAGGCCAATATATTTCGAGTGGCTGAATTGGTTTACCTTTATGATAGCAACGATTTTGTATTTAATATAGCGAGATTATTTCAATTTAATTGAAGTGATATTATTTTCCAAAGCAATGCTTGAATCGTCTAGAATAGATCAGTGGTGTCAAACTTATGGGTTTTCGAGAGCCGCATTGCATTTTGGAAATTGTAAAAAGAGCCGCAAACAGTTTTTGATAATGTATACTTAAAAGATATTTTTAAGATAGTTTTAGTTTGTGACATATATTGTGGAGCAACTAAACAGTTGGATTAAGTTTTAATATTTTCTTCAATTTCAAATGCAATTACATATTAATATTTGCATTCCACTATTATTGCAACATTTGCAAGTTACTGTATTTATTATAAAAAATCATAAAATAATATGTACAACCATCAAAATCATTTTTGAACAAGCTTTGAATAAGGAAAGAATAATACATACACTAAAACTAACTTAATCTAAATATATGAACCTAAAATTAACAAAAACACTACAGTATAAACTAAATGTTTTAATAATTATATTTGACCTGACGTTTGACATCTTTTTTGTGTCACCAGCATACTAAGGCCAGACTGAAATGATTTTATAGTACCAACGCTAACTAACGAGGCCACATGATCATGGGTTAATCTGGATCTTTGCGAATGTTTAATTAATTCCAGTAATGCAAAAAAGTTACTTTTATCATTTCATGTTAAGATCAGTAAAAAAACAAATGACAGATTTTTTCGACAAGACATTTCGCACCACATTGCGTGGCATAGGATTGCTTGAATTATTATTGATATTGATTTTTAGTAACTAAGTCGTTGTATAATTATATTAATATACAAACACATGAAAATTTTCTGTTCGAAGTTGGTCTTCGAATTTATCATATTGACTGCTGAGCTTATTGTGTTTTTTCATTGTATTGATGGAAATATGACAAATTAAACAATGTGCTTCAGAATTTTGTGAAAAGCAGAAATGTTACAACTCCCATTTTCTTCGAAAATGCCACCTTCTTCATGTACTTTACGTTTAATTTAATCACTCAAGTGTTTTATTCAAGTATTCTTTTGCAAGCTTGATGTGTATTCTTAATTGGGTCAAAATGTGGAAAAAAAAAATTAATATTCCAAAACTACTTTCAGTAAATTGTTTTCTGTGTGAATAATCAATTTCACTTTAGAAGGTTTGAAAAATCTATTACATTTAGATGAAAAAAAAACTTCCAAAATACTATTACAATTATTGTTAAGCGTTCGAGGGCCGCACTGGAAGTTCTCTGGGGCCGCGAGTTTGAGATCCCTGGTCTAGATTGAAGTTGTCCAAAAAATATATGATAGTATTTTATCATGAATGATGATTATACCCCTTCCGGAATTTCTTCTATAGTACTACCAAAAGTTGATGAACCAAATATAACACAGGTGAAGTGAGTTACCCGTAATCCTCATTTTCCAAAGCTGTTTTAAGTATGTCTGGCTTGTTTTGTGCCTTTTTACAAATAAGACCGAGTATGCAATTTTACGCTTTGGAATTTTTAGTTATTTTCCTCAAGCCCTGCAGGATGTGGGGGCCATACACAACTCTACCGGAGGTTCAAATGTCTTTGCATGCCTCCATAGGTTGTTTTTCTATTGCAGAGTACTCTAATTATATTTCTTGGAATCACACTGTCACTGATATGTCGCCAGACTTTTGATATCTCCCCTTCTGCTATAGTTGTCCTGTGAATAAATAATAGGAAATTGAGATTAGACGAATAGTTGAAAGTTTTGCTTTATGTCGGCTTAATTTCTTGATTGTTATGCTTACTACTTCTGCTATTGCCTCTTGTGCTGCAGGAGTCTCACAATGCTTAGACAGGTTTGTCCACAACTTTCACATCTGAAGAAAGAGAGGAGATTTATTAATTTCCGTTAAGAATAAATAAAGCAGTCTATATGATTTAGAATGGAAAAGCTAATAAATCCAATATCTCATGTTTTATGTAAAAAATATTTTACTGATTTTTGTATATAAACCAACTAATAAAAGGGTTAAGTCAGAAAATTACAAGCATTCGTGGCTCCAAATACTTGAGAGATCAGACTATACAATATAGACCGTTATGAGTGAAATGTTAGGTGAACTTGTTAACACTTTGATTCAATACGCAAATAAAAGTGAATGCGCAATAGTATGTTACAATGAGCAGCAATCAACAATGAATATATATCCTCACTGAATAAAAAAATCTAACTGGAGGTGCATAAACTATTTGAAACCATAAGGGGTAAGTAAATATGTAATTTCCGCAAATGGGCAACTACGTACCGTACTGAATTAATAACTTCGTAGTATTTGACAAAGGCTGGCTTTCCCACATGTACTTAACAGTGCGATGCCCGGGTGTGATATACAACAATAGTATTTACCTTACCTTTTTCCGATTTCTTTTTACCTTAACTTTCCAAAATATCAATAAAATCGACAACATCGAACACCATTCGTGCTACGCCTTGAAAGCAGCACACATCCGCTCGTTTCGTCTCGTCAAGTATGTGCATTGGAGCGTGCTATCGAATACGATCTTCGGACAAAAATGCCGGAGTTGCGCATCATGTTGTTTAATGTCATTGATCTAACTTATAACACATTCAAGATGACGATAACATTAACACGTCGCAGTGAAATTACGATGCAAATTTTCAGTAGCATGTAATAGTCATTGATTGAGCGGAAATAAATGCCGTAGTTACATCATGCAATCCAAGAAAACGTGTAGTAGCCAAAAAATATATTTACACAATTGTTAATACAAGAAAAATGATATCTTAGATTGTAAAATACATTTAGAAAAATGGAAATTCTTGCCCACTAATTATGGAAGATTGGTGACGTTCCGCATAAAATCTTATCCACCACTGGAACTCTTGTGTGGAGGATTGATTTTAGCATGGTTAATTAACCATTATTTTAGCATAAGTTTATCATATTCGGTGAAAAGCATTTGTTACATGGTTGCGATTGCTACTAGTTGAGCGGTGTATTCTCGTAGAATTTTCCGTCTACTTGGAGTTACATTTTGAAATGAATAGCGATTTCGACGAAAGAAGCGGTGTTGCATGTTGCAAGACTCCCTGGGGTAATTGGTATCAAACTGTGGAGGACGTGGTTGTTGTTGTTGATGTTGAGAAAGGGACAAGGGGGAAAGAAGTAAATGTGGTGATTGAACCCCAGCATTTATCTTGCGTTGTGAGGGGGAAGGAATTATTTAACAGCCCCCTACCGCAAGGAATATTGGTGGACGAATCAACTTGGAGTGTGGAAGATCAAAAATTAATCCGAATATTGCTTGTGAAACGCAGTCGCAAGAAAGAAAATTGTTTTTGGCCATCATTATTTGAGGGTGGAGAATTTGCTGTAGACCCTTTAACGAAAGATCAAATGCAAAAAAATTTGACTCTCGAAAGATTTGAACTCGAAAATCCAGGATTCGATTTCAGTAACGCTGAGATCACAGGGAATTATGAAGATGGTGGACCAACTCTTGACCTCAGAAAAGAGTATTAACCTTGAATCTCCGAAAGCAATACTACATTTTACTACTTGCAAATCTGAACTTAAGCAAACATTACCTAGCACAGACTCAGAAATGGAGCATACAATAGTACAATGTCTCCATGTATGTTGCAATAAGATTGACAATGTCTCTTTATTCATTTTAAAAGAATGTTGCACATTATTATATGAAAACAATATTGAAAAATGTCTTGACAATGCAGAAATGATACTAGACTTAACATGGGAAAAGTTGAATTCTTTTCATTGGAAAAATGTCCCGCTTGTGTGGCAAAAACTATATTCATTTGCTTGTGTCTTCAAAGCTTCGTGTTTGGGCTATAATGCCACAGCAGATGACGAATTGATAGAAATTTGTAGAGTCTCTGACATGGGCTTGCTAATGGGCCATAATGTAATGAATGGTATATTACACAAAATTATTAAAATTTTTAAACCTGCCCAACCGAAATATATTGAGACCCAAAACACTGAAAATTATGAACTAGATCCAGAAGTACATAATCCAATAAAAGTCTTATCAAATCCATCTTTAATTTCTTTCCAAGATTTTATGAACCATGCTCTTCCCATGGTGCTTAGCGATTGCATTGATCATTGGCCTGCTATGGCTAAATGGAATTTTCAGTATCTTAACAATATTGCAGGACACCGACTTGTACCTGTAGAACTTGGTGCTAAATACACTGATGAAAGTTGGGGTCAAAAATTAATGACTATTTCAAATTTCATTCAAAAATATATATTTAATGATGATTGTACATCAAAAGCGTATTTAGCACAACATACACTTTTTGATCAAATCCCACTGCTTAGAAATGACATATGCATTCCAGATTATTGCTGTATTTCAAAAATGCCAGATTGGGACCCTGATACTGATACCGAAATAAATGCTTGGTTTGGACCTGGTGGCACTGTTTCACCATGTCATTATGACAAAAAACACAATCTGTTGTGTCAAGTTGCAGGACGTAAATATGTACGGTTATATCATCCTTCACATGAGAATGCTCTCTACCCCCATGAGGGAATGTTAAACAACACATCAAAAGTTGATGTTGAAAAGCCAGATGATACAAATTTTCCACTTTTTTCCGAAATGGATTGTAATCATAGGGAAGAATGTATTTTACTGCCTGGCCAGATGCTTTATATACCTCCTGGTTACTGGCATTATGTTAGATCGCTAGATAAAAGCTTTTCTGTAAGTTTCTGGTGGAATTAATGTTTATAAATAAAACTCGTTTATAGATTATATTGAATATTATGCTTCTGGATTCTGACTGGGGTTTAGTGGCATCACTCCTACACCCATTATGTCAATTTGGCTTGAATATTTATATTCATTTTCCAAATTAACAAAGGCATATCTAGCACAAACAAAATATTATGAATTATTTTGCACACAGATTCAATGGTATATGTAGCAACATTTACCTGTCACAGGTAGCAGTGGCCATTTTGAAGCACCGCATGTAATGTACCAATTTTAAAAAAATCAATATATGCAAGGTCAACGATATCAATTTGACTTTCAAATTTGTCTGAGACTTCGTATGGATACTGAACGTGTTGAATACTAATGAATGATAGAATTTCCCGTCAAATTGTGTTATTGTTCTTTCTTGTCAGTAGTTACTGTCTGCGTGATGAATGCAGTTTTCCTTTAACAATATGCCACCTTTTTAACAATACATTGTGCCTATTTTATCATACATGTTGAACTACTAATAAATATAATCTCAACAATTGTACTATTTAGTTGCCTGTGAATATGTAACAAGGAGATTCAGGATACCGAGACCCGTGGACTTGGCATATACTTCTTTCCGAAAATCAAGGCTAAGGTGGATAGAAAGAGGTGCATTTAAGAAAACAGTTTGCAGTGAAATACCAGCAAAAACGTCATGACGAGGCTACCTCTAACGCACTACAAGCCTGTTTATAAATGAAGAAGAAGTCGTAACCTTAGCAATTATCATACCATTCTAATTCCTTTGCAGAAGAGATAACCACTATTCACAATCTGTGATTTTGTTTTATTTAAACAACTAGTTTATGAAGATCACTATAACAAATAAAATATATTACTTTTGCTCCATTACACAGTGCATGCAGAAAATTATTTACAGCTCTCAGGGATGTAAACTCCTTATCTGGTGGTGGCTTCGAAAATTTCAATGAATCTGCCAAAATTATGAACATTATAAAGCTCCAAATATCTCTCAGTATAATGGGGATTGCCTGAATAGAATTTTGTAAAATTAAGGATAGAAAAAATGTAGTCATGAATTTTTCATATTGTTCCGGTAGCATTTTTGTAGATATTCAGATTCATATAGTCATAGTGCATTGGTATAAAAACATTTTGCTAGGTAAATAGATCACTTTTAACTATTGTCAAACACATATCAATCCATCGAATAGAAAATTCCCCGGACATTTTCTTGTCATTTAATTTGGTATTGCATGTTACCGAAATAAAAGTTGGAAGAAACAAAAATGCAATGCGAAAGCAATTAAAATGTGAAACGTAGTTTATTATTCTACTCTAATATTGGAATAAAAAAGACTTTTCAATTGATTATACAAAAAAAATGATAAAACTTATCGCTGCCTATGATTTTGAATTGGTATTATCAACTAAGTGAAAGATGCTCTTTATTTGAAATTATACATAATATATTTGAATAACATTATTATCCTCTTGTCTGTACACCACATGCTTGTCAGGTAATCTGATTCTAGCAAATTTTTCACATTTGGGAGAGGGTTTGTTTACGAAGCCATTTCAAAAAAAAAATGTATCTTGAATGTTGTCTTTGTCAACAGCATGTTAAAAATACAAAATGATAATATCTATCATGATCATTAAACGGGAGATGATGAGACCAGTAATTTGATTTGTAAGAAATTGGGAACTTCCATATTACTAGACATATCCTTATTTAAAAGCTTGATTCAACAAGATTAACAGTCAATGTTCACCAAGAATCTTGCCAAACTGGTTTTGCCTTCCTTTGCGAAAATTGCATAGACCCATTTTCATAATCCCCTTGTCTTGTTTGACCAGATCTCGGTCTTCTGCGCTGTCGTCCCGGTTCAACCGGTCTACCAGTTTGTCTCTCATAATCCCGTAATAAATTTTCCCTTTTGAGAATGCCAGTTGCTTTTGTTGATTGCAGTCTTTTCAGAATTGTCAGGTTCTCTCTTTCAATCCTTTGTTGGTCACGAATCCTGTTTGTAGCTGAGTGATATACCCTTGGTCCTTGTGCCGGGGATGGTCTGTTAATGCATGATTTGTATTAGGTACATATTGCAAAAAAAATTATATAAAAAAAAAAAAAATCATACAGATATTGAATTATTTAATCGTAAGATAGTTTGCTGATACAAACTTGCTCAAATAGAACGTTCAATAGAGAGTTATACTGCCGCAAATGAATATATAAAATAATATTTGTCAGATTACGAGGCTTTATATACAATACTTAGTTCATAATAATTCAAGGCATCAGTAGCAAATGATTTTTTAAAAAAGACATTTGAGGATGCCTTTCAATGTTATATCAAATCACCGTAATTCGGGCGCCAATTGAATTGATTTTCGATCAATTTAAAACACTCGTAATATATCGGACTCTCAGAAATGCTGATATCGATACTGCAGAAATATTCTAATATAATTAAATTCAAAATCTCAAAGTTATGACCAAAATTGCCCTCATTTAATTTTAGAAAACTAAAAAAAAAGTGAACCAATCAAATCACTGTTTAATTTACATGGCCTTCTATGAGTTCTTTAGTGAAATTATTCAGAAATACTATGATACTTTACAGTGTATTCATCATAGTAAATATTCAGTTTTGGTTATCTCTGATTGGAAATGCATAATGACGGTATTATTCTTCATGGAGTGCTCCAACACCTTGCTTCAAGCAAGGTCCTGCAATAGCGGTGGTTACTGCAATTTAGGGTATCAGGGAATACCAAAATTTTTCAAATTCGGTGACTATCCAATTTCTTTCGAGTACATGGCATGAGTTAATAAATGGACAGGTGATACACCCATCCCAAGTTTTTATAACCCCAAAAAGTAGATATATTCCGCAGTGTTGGCTTAATACAAATACTTTAAATTACAATGAAAGATCCATATCATATGGATCGTTTCTCATACCCACCTTCTTGCTGTTGCTGGTCTTCTGTTGCTTCTACTTGTGCTTGCATTACTTCTATAAGAAGATGCAGATGATCTCACACTAGAAGCACTAGATGGCCGTTGTCGAGTGTTAAGTTGGGCTAAACGCTGAAGCAATCTTTGATTTTCATAGTCGATATCACGAACTTGTTGATTGGAGAAGGACATGTTTTTTCTATGAGATGGTTTCAAAGGGGGAGGTAAAACACTTTTAGATGCTTTGTGGCTTTGATACATTCTCCTGGCTTTCTCTTCTTGCTCCATCTCTAAAACCACTTCCAGTAATTGACTTAAATCCATAGAATTTTCTGCTGCGACATCTAATAATCTCCTCCGATGATGACGAGATGATGCCTCCATCCTTTGTTGAATTTCCTCATAGCGACTCCTTTTTTTACGCTGAACTCGTTTTCTTCTTATGGCTTGAGTATCTCTCTCCCCACTGCTTAACGGGGTGCCGTCACTAGAATAAAAAAGATCTTCAACAGATAAAGTTTCTCCATTCGCGCGACGAGCATGAGGACGTTCCCCATCTTCAACACCACTTTCTTTAATTGTGAATTTCGTTTTAGTTTCTTTTTTCATTTTGTTTCTTTTGTTTGGTGAACTTTCTTTATCATGGGGAACTGTACGTGGTCTCGGTGTAATATCTGGTGATGGCAAGGGAGAAACATCTGTCACAGAACCTGAGGAATCGTCGTCACTCGACGAGGAATTATACCTATTCATTGATGCTTGAACTGGAACATGGACGGTTAACTGTTCTTTAGGTTTTCGTTTAGAATTGGTAGTCGTTTGAGAAATTTGTTTGATCTGTACCTTTGTACTTGAAGTATAAGTTTTACTTGTTTTATGTTCAGATTCAGAAAAATCATGACTTTTATGAGGGTCACCCATACCAACTTGATCATTCTTCATGCCACTGCCATGAAGTTCATCATGCAGATTTCTTTCAGAAGAATTTACTGTTTTTGCGCTCCATTTTGATGTATTAGATACTTTTTTCTCATTTCCTACATCTTTGTCAGAATCGAAAAAATCAAAGTCTTCAAACTTTGATGGACGAGGTGTATCATCAGGTGATGACTCGGAACTTGATGTCATGTTCAGATATGAATAAAATTTACTTGTTACTTACATGGCTAAAAACACAAAGTGTATCAATTGATTAAAAAAACTTAATAACACAGGTAAAAGTGAGCAGCCATTTGGTTTAAACTAATATTTCACAGTAGTGTCCAATTCTTCTTTGTATTTAACAGATTCGTATCTACTTAGGCAGGTGAGATGGAAACCACTTTTATTTAAGTATTACTTATTCTGTATCCTTGATCGTTCAATGTTAAAGGGCACAAACTATTATTCTTTAACTTCTTTACTGGAACAACTTTTTCCCAGATGAATTTTGCACAATTTCTGAATTTGTTTAATAACGAATTCCATCTATACGGATTTAAAGTATTATTTCGTGAATGAATAAGAAACAAATTGCTTCCATAACACGTTTAGAAGACTGCTGATAACATTGAAGCAATAAATTATATTAAGAACCATAATAACACCACAGAATATGAATAACAAATCAAAAGGAACAGGGAGATAATAGCAGTTCCTCTCAAAGCATTGTTGAGAATAATATGTTATAAATAATCCAGTGAATTTATTGATATAGTTTTGATTTAAGAATAAATATAAATTATTCAATGCAATATATTTAATAAGAATGCTATAACAGTACGGTATGGCACAGTTCTGCAGTTAGGATAAGATTTACATATTTATGAAAGACCGATTTACACCTACATTCATAATTGTACAAAACCTTCTAGCTTTGTGAATGGTATTCGAAGCTTTTTCAAGTAGTCTAATTCTAATATTCTTTCTCTTTTCCGTGTGCTTTCAAATCTGGGATGCAAAACTAACAGACTCGAGTCTACCCTACACCTTCAGACCTTGAACGCAGGCAACGGGAATAAATCAGCAATACAGAACGCCGATTCCCTCTGCCGCCTCCAGTGAAAAAGCGTTATCATAACAAGTTGCCCAAGAAGTTGCTATGGCCAAACAAAAAAGGGGGCGGAGCTGCTGATTATATGATCCCGTTCCAGTTTTTTGTAAATACCGGAATCAAATGAGAACATCACTTTTCTTTCAATTTGATCATCTACAAAAATAAATGTGATAAGAGCAAATAATAAATAAATATAAGTATTACAAATCGAAGATATGTTTTTCATCTGAACTGGAATAACCCATCAGGAATTTTTCCGCACTACCCGTAAGAATATATTACGTGCGAGATATTCAAAAAATTAAAATTTGAAAATTTAAATTTAAAAAAACATAATGGAAGGCCACAATTTTTTCAATCTTCATATATGATAAAAATACTAAAAAAATAACTACCGTGTTTCCCCGAAAACAAGACCCAGCCTCAATTCCGAAAATGATTTTAATATGAGTCCTCCCCTTAAAATAAGACCAAGTCAATAACCAAAATTTTTTGCTTCTACCTAGTCGATAGCAAAAAATCTTCCCTACACGTTTTAAATGGTTGATAATAATCTATGTTTTGCAGTTATTCTTAACAAAAACGTGTTATTTATTGGTAAATGCATATCGGTTTTTATATTTTGTATATTTGAAAATTTCGTATTTCTCTACTTTGTAATTTTGTTTTTAATAAATTAAAATAAAAGACATCCCCCAAAAATAAGCCCTAGTTTTATTTTTCGGAAGAAAATTGAAATCAGACCTAATCTTTTTCGTGGAAACAATTAATTATTACTCAAAAAAATATTGCAAAATGGTAAACTGACAGTCTATATGGAAAAAAAAATTATCACGAACTCGTATTTTTATTTTAAGTGCAATTTTATTTATGTGGTATTTTGTCTATAGAAATTAATGTTTTTAATAATAATAAAAAAATGAGAATATATTCATTCTTATTCTGGCGCGGCGGTGTGGCTCATCGTGCTAAGCCAGTGTTTCCCAACCAGAGTTCGCGCTCTCAAATGAGTCCGCGGAGCATTTGAATGAGTCCGCAACGAGCCAGAAATTCACTGCGGGCCGCAAACGTTTTTGCGAAACTGAACAATCAGCCAAATGTCGAGTTACGTTAAAATTTACATAAAACGTCACAACCGTGACAACAAAAAAACTATCAATTTTTTATTTCTTATAAAGTGTTGCCCTGTTCATCTTCTGATCAGTATTTGCATAATTGAATAGATTTATTTGAAGGTATTGCCTGATTCTGTATCGCGTATTTTTATTTTATTGTGTTATTTGACTGTGTTTGGTGGACGGGCGCGTATTTTTAGGTTTTTAACTTTGTCTTTAAGTTCAGGTCCTCTAGCGATGTCTGGTTTCTGCAAGTTAATTCGCATATCATTATTCGAGTCAATTAGGGCTGGTAATATATTCGAATATTCAACTATTAGAATAAGAATTAACTATGCGAAAATTTGGTAACAAGGGACAGCAACAGGTCACTTGCGCGTCGCTTAATCAAACGATCGGAGTTCACAACTCACTGGCAAGTTTCCGACGAAAACACGAGTCTGTACACGCTTCTACCAAGTGGTGTTTCTTGCGAGTTCGAACAACGAGGAATAAATTTTTTTTCTGATAAGTGTCAATGGTGGCAACCCAAGTTTTCCAATTTAAAAAGCGGCAATAATAAAAATAAAACCGACCAAATTTAAATCGCTTTTTTAGACATTGCAAATCGCAAAATTTCTGGTGCGATCGTAGTATAGGAGCATTTTTCCTTGAGTTTCTTTGCTTTATTGCCTTCCTATTGGTACGTATAGTAGCGTACATAAGTACGTACAGTGGCGCCATAGGCGTTGTACGAACATATCAGATTTGTCGAATTTACAAAAATACGAACCAAAACAAAATATAATTGGGCACTTCACCACGCATTATTGTGTCCACGGATTGCCATGATATTATCTGAGTATTATTGATTTTATTTCGTCAACACAACCGCAGATTAATATGGTCCCAATTAAATCAATAATAAAGCAATGCGATGATTATGTATTTTTGATTTACTAATAGAATTTAAATAATATTTTATATAAGTACTAAATCAAGTGGTACTTTCTGGAAACTTATTGCAGATAGTAGGATTTTTCTAACGGCGATAACAAATTCGCAAGATCGCAAAAAGTATGTATCAAAACTAAATACAATCGGGCAATATATTCTCACATTATTATGTTTGCAGATTGTCGTTCTATTTTAAGAAGTAATGCTTTCATCTTATCGTAAGTCGACGCAACCGCGAGTTACCATGAACACAATTAAGTTAAAAAAGAAAGACATTTTAAATTCTCGTCATTGTCACGGATTGAATATTGTGCGACAGAAAAGGCCATTATACACTAAAAAAGTCGGCTCTCTTAACAAACGCGTAACTGCGGCAAATTTCTGATTTCGAAATTCGTTACGGTTGCAATAAACGCACATTGTGTCCGCAAAGGTTTTCACCGATGAGAAAATAGTCCGCGACCAACAATGGTTGGGAAACGCTGGACTATCAGTATACAGGTCTGAAAATCACAGTACTAGCAGACTAGCCTACAAAATGTCTTATCGCAAAACTAAATGAAGTGGGCTACAATGTACAAAATAAATGGCGTTTGACGGACACAACACTAAACAGCCTAACGAATGCATTTGTGAATATAAACTAGTCCGGTGTAGCATCATAAAAGCAAATCATGTCGCACAACATGAATTTTTTTGAAAAACGTCGCGCAACGCTTCGAGCCGTCCTCGCAAGAGACGAAACAAGCCAGCGCAAACGAGCGAGTGAGGCAGGAGAATGCAGCAACCAGCAGCGTGCGTTTAACCTTGTTTACAATCAAATTCTTAACACTAAGAATCTATTTCAATGCATCGAAATCGATTCCGTAGTCGATTCCGACATCCCTAATCACAACACGCGAGACAGAGCAGCTGGTTGATTGCTACGAGAACCGTAGTTCAAGTACAGCGGTCCCCACATTTAAACAACACTCACGTCTCACTATACTTTGTCAATATTTTTGAATTTCCTAATATGCTGAACAAGAGTCTTCGAAGAAAAGATCGAGATAATTTAGTATTGTTTTCTTCAAAACCGTTTATATGAGAAGTGCACGTTCTTTCCCTTTACTTTTATTATCTCTCTAGCTTCAACCGTAATGATCACTCTTACAAATGAAATTGAATCAAGACATAGGTTGCAAGGGAATGTTTAAAATTGTTTTGAAAACAACGATAACATGCTGCAGAAAGTATTGGTGACAATAAATATACCCGGAGCAACATGATTTTGACGCCATCCTACTTTTGATTTTGATTCGAAGCTATCAGCATGGTTTTCATAATATCGTTCTAACAGTAGTTAATCCACTGCCACTTTGGTATGCGATCTCGGCGTTATAAAACATTTTTCGTACGTGATCTCACTTGCCTAACGTGATCTCAATTGCATAAAGACATTTTTATAAAATTTAGTTCTTTACTCTAACCTTGTCACCGTTGGATTTGGTTGATACTAAAATCACTAGGATCGCATATCGAAGTGGCACTATTAATTCTGTGTACGTTTTAGCAAAAGATCCACAAAAACATACATTGCAATATTTGCTTTGTAATTTAAAATCAAGAGATTCGTTATTATTTATTATTATTAATTAATCTGGAGTGGTATTTATTGTCGCTCATCACAGGAATCGGTTGTGACTATAAGGTCATAATCTACACATCAACATACATTGAGATTGCGCCTATATTCAATTGAAGAAAGATCGACACCATGATCACGTTTTAAAGTCTGAAAGAAGTTTTGTATACCAGAGATTATCCTACAAAAGACAATGCAAAGTTATTTCATCGTTTATTATAGAGAATGGAAAGGAAAAAATAGAGAAAAAAAACTTACCGTATGTATATATATATATAAACTCATTATGTAAATTTATTTTATTTGAAATTAGATTGTTAATGATATTGTATACTAATTTGAATAAAACTGAATTGCATAATACGTGAAAAAATACATTTATGATATCTTGATATGGTTGTGAGTATTTATTTGAATAGCTAAATGAAATGGCGTTGTGGCATTTTATACAGAAATCATTTACAAGCGAATAGAGCAAAATAGGTTAAGGTTTCTGAATCAATATCTGATTACTGAAATAGATGGCTTCAAGGACCTGGAAGATTGCGGAGCGGTTTCGAGAGCCTATTTTAAGTCGAGCAATCGTATTGAAACATGAACTGCATGAAATGGGTTCGATTTTCCGAATACTTCAAGTATTGTTGTGTAATTTTTTTTTTCACTTCACAGATTTGCCACAAGCATGTAGGCTGTAGGTTATGAGGCATACCATGCCGTAAGTCATCATCGAGACAAAAGTTAGATTAACCACGATTGAACTTGATGGTAAAATTAATTATAAAATTTAAAAAATAAAATGCAGTATTTCTACATTCGCTCTTTTATCCATTGTAAAACTTCACCAAAATAGGCCTCGACAAATTCTGGAGTTTCACGTTCGAGCTTATGCATTGCACCATTGTAGATCTGTGTGTTAATAATAAAACTTTTACTAAAACTGAAATTAATAAGGGGTCACATAACAAATATAAACGTGAATAAAAAAAAATTGTCATGGCTTTTTTATTGCTTTCGCTTAAAATCCTTCCACATGTAATTACTACTGACAATTGAAAATATGTCATCACGATCACGAGAATTGGTTGATCAATTAATTTCGTTCAGGTAACGGTAAAGAGGAAGATTTTCGAAGAGAAACGACCTTAGTTGTTCATACCTTTAAAGTTAAGTCTTCGCTTTTGGATACTTCGGCCATGAACCTTGATCCACTGACGTCACAAATTTTGTCATCTTCTGAATGTGCGACAAAGAACGATCCCGTGGTTTGTGGCAGGATTTCTTTCATCTTTTTAGCAATAGCCAAAAACTGAATTGCAAAACTTGCTCTCATTCCTAACTTGTCGTTTAGCGGATCATTCATGTAAGTCTCCATCTGTAAAATAGATATTTTTAATGCGAACGTATTTGTAGGGTTTAACCGTTATTCGTTTTTGTGAATTTTTCACGGTCAAGATCACCAAAATCAGAAATATAAAACAAGGATAGGCGAAATGATTATAATAGATACATGATTCCATTGTTTTGGCCATACAAACGTAAAATTGCAGTGCTTATAAGACTTAAAATTTTGCACAGATCCGACTTTCGTTATTATATATAGTGTACATAACAACTATTAGCCTGATTGTCAAACATAGCAATAATACAATCGAAATTAAACTATTCATTTCCAAAGTATGGAATGTATTTTTTGTTTGCTTTTGGCTACGATGTTCCGTGCAATTACACTGAATCCATAGGAAGTGTGACATTATTTGATATTATTAATGTTTAATAACGCTATATAGGAAAAGATGGATTTACATACATATGGATCCTGGGGGAGAGGAATGGCGAGAAGACTGCTTAATCATACAGCGAACCACGGCCTCCCATATGGTTTAGCAGTTCATATCGGGTATGGGATTAGTTAGCCAGTTATTTGTTTTCGGAAGCATGAACTTGATGGTGGGGAACGCCGTAACCGACCAGCGGTTACGTGAACCACCCCTACGGTAGCGAGGAGTCCGGCAATCCTCTCACACATAATTATCCCCCACGGGATTGGAACCTGCGAACCCACGCAGATTATCAAATATAAAGGTTGATTCACACTATTTGATTTGAAGAAAGTATTCCACTAAATCCAAAATCACTCGACATTTCAATGTTATGACTTTAAAATGATTCTCGAAATCAGAATGTCATATTTTCTGGATACTTCATCTACACAAGGAATACATTTCATCATTGTCTATCATTATTTTCCTACCGATCTCTGTGCATATTCTTCATGAAATGAATGGTGAATAAAATGTTTCTCAAATTTCGATTACTATATTTTGGCAAACCCACAGAATCAATTGCTCACTTACAGCTTATTACAGGCGCTCATAATAACAAAGAATATTTTTTTAAATTGCCTGTTTCTCGTCTCTTGAAAGGAAGTCTGTGTCCATTTGTGCTATCCGAATTTTCGGTGCAAGACGTCCAACAATCTTAGCCAAGATAACCTGTTTTAGCAAATAAATAAATGAGTGACGATTGAGTGATCTATTGATATCTGGGCGTCCCCAAAGAATCCACTTCGAAATATCAATTTATCCGATGAAACTGTCAGAAAATGCAATTAAGGTCAAATCAACTTGCATTTTCGTAACAACTTAAATCTCAATGCCCCATCATAGCATTGCTATGAAAATGCGTATATATTAAATTTTAAAGTCTTACTGTTACTGATGAAATGTTAGTTTAGTGGAAATTGTAAAGATTGGCAAAATAAAGATACGAAGTTACGTTTTCGGAAATATTTATTGCTTTGTTATACAAGATATTGCTTTTGTGGTAAAGTGTATTATGGATCAATTATTTTTTAGGATTATTGTAATTTCGTGAGTATTTCGTAAAATGGAAATCAGTTTTTAACATAATTAGATAACCACGAAAGTTGACAAACAAGCCACTTTCATTGACTTGGGGTAACATGTGATGCTACTTGAGTTGAGAATGTTGTGTATTCTATAGTCAATTATTCATAAATTACCTTCACTGGAGTAGCTGTGGCTTCACTTGGTGTGATATAGGGAGCTGATAAGAGAATACCGCGAAAGAAGTTCGGCCTTTCGTGAGCTGCGATCAATGCAAGCGCACCTCCCTGCACATAAAGATCAAACTTCATTTATCGGAATTACTACTTCAAATTTTTAGGCCGTCACTATGTAATTAGTTTATAATATGTAAAAACAGAGGACTTTTACATATTATTATTATTGGACGCGAAGTGGACAAAGAGATCGTTTTGTTGTAATTATTACTATGATGTTGTTAGAGTTCTTGTTGTTGCTCTGAAATAATCGCTTTTAAATTTTCAGTGATTAAAAATTAAAATTTCGATGGAAGGCTACTACTTTCATTTAATTAAAAAATATTGTGGGCTCTATAAGATTGTTTTTTTGTGTACGATGACGTCATCAAAATTAAACATTGCGCACCTCGTGGCGGGTCCGCGTTCATGTTAGTGGTGAGGCGAGGTCGCGGAGACTGCGGGTGGTGTCTACTGTGTCTGTGACAGATTGCATATCCGTACTACTTTGTTTTGGCTTTCGTGTTCATTTCATATATTTGAGCATCGTTCTTTAGTTATTATTGTAAATTGTCGAGTGGTTACCTAAATACATAGGACGCATATAAACTTCACGCCCATTGACTGTTGTCTGTACCTACCCGAAGGTAGCCTACCTCATTATGCTATAATGCGTTTACAAAAACCGAATATGTAATTTTCATGTTCAGAAAATAAGAATACGTAGTTTACCATGGAATGAGCGTATATGAATATGGGAACCTCCGGATACTCCGGTCTTATCAAATCGATGTGTTGCCATATGTCTCGCACCATAACTTTATAATCCAATATATGACCTCGAAGACCTTGACTTTCTCCATGAGCAACTAAAATTAAATGAAAGTAGCATTTTAGTTTTAAAATTGTGCACATAGAAACTGAAATGAAAAAAAATCGATGCTAGTACTAACTATAGTCCTGACATTGGCAAACTACGGCCCGCGGGCCAAATCCGGCCCGTTTGGTAATTCAATCTGGCTCGCCTGATGCTGCCACAACTAAACTAAAACCAAATTTTGATATTTTAGCTAAAAATAGCTCAAGGAATTTGTTGAGATTGCGATTTAATTTAGTTTTGGAACGAGGCTCATTGTTTTTCTCTTTTTCTTTTGTAACACTGTAAATATTGCTCATAAAATGTAACATTTTAGATTGACTTTTTACGTCACACTTACATGGCCCGACATTCTTGATGAGCAAAATTGTTGGCCCCTAGTTCAAAAACCTTGCCCACCTCTAGTACTATAGTTAGACGATAGTATACCGGATTTAATCAACGATTACAAATGTTTTATTTTACTGCTGTCTGTAGTTATTAAAATACATGATGGTTACAGGAGCATCAACTCCAGATTAATAGAACAGTAATGGAGTGGCCGTGGCGATCATTTTACATAACAGTTCCCTTGGTACTCAGCAACATACTGCACTGCTATTAATGTTGAATTCAAATCACCATCATCATGGGCAAATGAATAAATTCCAAGCTCCATCATTCTTTCTGCTAGTACTTTTGAAGGTGCAGAATGTTCAGCAAATCCGTGTGCATGGAACATCAATGCTCTGAATTTATATTATACAATAACTAAAGACTTGGAACGAAAAGAGGTGTTGGGAACCCATGGGTGTAATTTTTTAGGAAATGGATAGGATTAGGATATGCGAAAATATAATATTGTGAACAATATAAAACAACTCCTAAAATATACTTGACAGATTTGATTTAAATTATTTAAAGATGATTTTATTCGTTTACCGAATTCATTTTGTATATGTGCTATCATCCCCAAATCTCTTTTTCTACAATAAGAAACGTTATCTTTTTTTTTAATTTTAATCTACAAAAATGTGGGTTACCCAAACCCAATATATACAAAATTTTAGTAAGCATAATTAATAATTATATAATAATAAAAATTGAACTGATTTTTGTAACGATTCCACAGCATGACAGGAATAGGACTGTAGTATTATCATCTAAAAGAATATCATCATTAGCCATGTTTTATGATAATTAACTCATAACTGTTTGATCGTTCGATTACTTGAAGGTAATATAACTAACTTATTTTTATAGACAATTTTTATCTTAATATTGAAAGCACAATCAAATCAAATATTTACTTGATTTCTGTATCTGGTTTCCAATATCTGCAAAATAAATATTGACCATCTGCATTAACGATATGATCAACGTCGCCGAATGAAATACCGGATGAAGTATTTGGATATTTGATCTTTTTTGACACATTTTCCGTAGTTCCTGCAATAAAATAAAGAATCACATATTTAAAATTGATAAATTTTGTGGCATATGAAACATTTTATTTGTGAATTCAAAAATGTGCGTTTTTGTTACAAAAAATATCGATGAAAATTAGCTAATATTCAATTTATTATATCTCTGAAGCTTGAGTTTTTCATCAAACCGGTTCCCTCTCGGCAAACACCAATTGTTATCTTGGTGTAGCATGCAGCGTCGATAATATAGTTATTCGATACTCCCGTTTCCCGTAGTATGTGAACCAAGATGGGATACCGAAACGTAGTATGTATACCAGGGTTAGGCCATAATTTCAGGTACAAATACCACGTGAGTCACTTGGCTAGACCCCGACCTCGTAATAGAACTAAAATAATAAGTAAAATTGGAATAAAATTATGGCCTAACCTTAACCTGGTACACATATTACGTTCCGGTGTCCGCCATTTTGGTTCACATACTGCGGGAGTACCAGTTATTCCAACCTAAGACCCATTTTCAATATGCGTGTTGAGGTACCATAGAAGCATGTATATCTATTCTTACCATTTTCTACTGCGGTTGAAGTATTTTTCGCATTCATTTTTTATGTTAGGTTGACAACACCAGTCTCAAATATTATATATACCAGACAATCTAAATAATACTGTAATTAATAAAAATCGAGTTGTATATTTTAAATAAAGAATTGTGGAATTAGGTAATTTATATATATATATAGACAAAAACCTACAATTAATGTGGTTTAATGACATAGTCCACAATAATACAATATCTCGCCTTTTCGTTACACACTTAGATAGCTGTTTGCTCTTCTGCGATCTCATTTAAAGACAGCATTTCTCATGTGTGGGTACTGAATAATTGTTTTGTGTTTTATGCTTTGCAACCTACGACTTCCTCATTTTGTGGATAATTGTCCACGCAATACCAGATTTTCATCACATAAACAACTTGTCGGTTGCTGTACTTGCTATGTCCCGCTCCTTTCAATCTGAGATAAATATATATATATAAGTTGGCTAAACGCTTTTTTCTCTAGACGAATCACAATTAATAAAACAAACAGACAGTTGTTTGACTTATTATCTCACTTGAGCTTGTGGTAACCGGCTCATTATTTGTCAGAAGCATAATAGACTTTGAAAGAACCTCATGATTGGTGGTTTATCCTCACTCGACATTTGCAATCCAAACATAAATCTCTGTTCATTATTTGTTCAGCCCAAGCTTTACCTCGTTTGTAATGTAACCATGTAATGCCACCTATAAACGGGAGTCAAAAGTTTGGGTTAAAGTGCGGCCTGATGGGACTAATCCCGGCCCCGCCATCAAAAATAGGCCTAACGCGGTGCTCTTAGACCCTACCGCACCGGTGTGCGACTCGGTGTAAAATATATTTGAGCATCGCTCTTTTGTTTCTGAATAGTCAATTCAATACCTCGTGTTCCTATCCCGTAGCGCATTGCGCCAACCGTCGAGGCACGAACATCAGGACCTCGAAGGTTGGTAGTTAGATGGTCTATTGACCGTGGATCACATTTACATACTTTTGATTTTTCAAGTCATTTTTTTTATGAAATAGCGATCTAGTGGTCTTAAAATCGGCGAGTCGAAAAAAATGAAGATCCCATATCTATCACCTGAACCATAGTGTAATGATCTTGTGCCGGAAATGCCGAGTCCAATAAGATTTCGATCCTTCGGTGGTGATATACTATTATATGTATCAGCAGGCACGTATCCAAAGGCGTACAAATCTCATATAAACAGCAGCGTGTTAAAAGATGCAAAAGTACGGTTTTAATTTCACCGGTATTGGGTGGAATGCTCATCATGCCAAGCGTTATAAATACGCTCGCCATCGCACCTCTGATGACCCTGCTTTGGTTCGCATCCCGGAGAGAATACTATGTGCGAGGGAATAGCTTTACTTCCCACCGCCGTTCATGTGACCGCTGGTGGTTATGGTTTGCTCCACCATTAGTTCAAGCATCTGGGATGAATAACTGGCCATATCAGATACGGACTAGCCGTGGTACGCCACCTGATTAGGCCGTCTTATTGACTTTCATCTCCCCCGAGATGAAAACATGAAAATCCAAATGAGTTGCTGGACCGTATGTCACACGAGCAATTAGTCTCCAGTCGATAAGTCCACCTGGCGGTTAGTTGTGTGAGAGTCCCAAGTCATTTTATTAAGTAAAATAGAGTCTTTAATAAACGGTGAATTGCGCATCCAACAATTTAAAGTTGAATTCTGGATAGCTCAGAGTCCCCATCATACAAACACAGCTAGCGCAGGTGAATTTCTCAATTCCCGAGCTCGGCAAAAAACACACGTAGATCGAAAAAAATTATTCATAATTTTATTTTTATAATGATAAACTAACGCATAATTGCATCCACAGACTACACCATTCTTTATTTTGTCAAAAAGAAATTAAATATATGTACCAAGTCAAAAAGTAATATGCTCTGTCGACCATATGTAACTTTTTAACTTGTTTTACACCAAGCCTAGCATATATACCGGTAATCATGGATTCTGTGGAAGGTAACAAGAAAAAAATTTTGATTTCATAAAGATATATTGGAAGTTATGTTGCAGTGCATGATGTGAAATGATAACTAGGGTGTGTGAGGCAATTCTTAGGAGGGGCTTTAAGAGGGGGAAACTGCGCAACAGCAAACGTCGATCAATTCCATCTTACAATTAATTACCGTAAATATAAGTACAAATGAAATGACACAAAACTTGGATCATGCATGGGCTTTTCTTTACAAATTTCAATTGCTGACTGAATTATGGAACATTGTTATTATTTGACACTATGACAGATTTTGCATCTACCACTCGATGTTACGGTTATGATTTAACACAAGCTACTGCTTCCGCTGCAGCACTATCAAAGGAGGAAGCAGTCTTGATTGGTAGGTTACTTTCTTCTAATATTTTTAACGCCTCGTCAACATTATTACCTGCAAAAATAGAAGGAAATTGTTTGAGATGCTTTCTATCAGACAGAAAAATCTTAACTGCTTCTCATTTGGTTGCCAGGCTGGGTTGTTGCAATTGCCTCAAAGCATGAGAATGGTTGGTGGAGAGTGGAGACACAGCAACTGATAGTATTCTTCAAACTTTTTTTCATCACGACCCACATGGCACGACTAAATTTTTTCGCCACCCTCAGGAACTTCAATGTGACAGATTTTCTTACATATTCTCGCACAACAGATCAAATTTTGGCTCTATTTTGGTGATGGTGGGCCTCAGTACTTGTTCCAAATTTGATTGATATTTTGTTTTAATATAAGTTAGTGTCGAAAAAGATTTTTTACAGATAAGTGGAGGCGAAACAAAAAGAGTAGGTATTGTCAGTTCTGACAATACTGGGTGTCGCAACCACCCATAAAGCCATTATGCGACCAACTGAAGGGTTGTGAGTTGTGACCCAATTTTGAAGAGCCTTCGGATACATGATACACTTTGCAATATTTTTAAAAGTGATGTATTTTTTCTCAATATCAACAGTCATCACTATTCATTTGTATTTAGCAAGATTGTGGCAGCTAATCAGAAACATAATAAATATTATGCTTCACATCGAAATCTACTCAAAAAAATGTATTAAAAACATAAGACATGTTGTGCTCAACTATAAATCATATTCAAGTAGACCAGTGGTTCCCAACCCGGCGGGTTTCTAGGGGGGTCGCGAAGGTCTGACAAAACAGTAGAAAATAATACAAAACTTTAGGTTAAATATTGGCAAAAGAACGTGAAGAAGTCCGGAATGGACTCTCGTCTGCCTCCGAAAGATTTTCACTAGCTGTCGGGAGACCCCAGAATGTCGCGGCACAAGATGTTAATGGCATGTTAACCATTGTGACGTCACATGAACTCGTCTGCATTTCCGCGCGTCCCAATGCGAAAAACACGCGGGCTTCGAAGCAATGGCGGGATTTTGAATCCATGGCCGCTATGGCCAAACCCATGGCGACCGACTTTTTAGCTGCCACAAATCAATGGCGAGATGTCATTACCACGGCAGCAAATTGAAAACCAAAGGCGGCTGAAATCTTGCTGCCGTATCCATGGCATGTCGGCTGTAAAGGCAGGGCTGTCCCAGATGGCAATAAATATGGGTTGGGTTGGAACATTTTTCTTTTGAATACAGTTTTGATGGATTCGGGGTTAGGTTTCAGGTTTAAGTAGATATAATTCCGCATGATGCACTAAAATCTGGTAAACGCCTTTGTGAATATACCGCGTAAAAGCGCCATAATCAGGGCAAGAGCTGCCATGGGTACGTTCGTGGCAGCAGCAAGCGGTAAGAACCTCGCCTCCTCTTTGCCGCTTACTTCACTGATAAGTATAGAAAGTGAGGCAGGGGGTCACGAGGTATTTGTAAACCACTAAAGGGGGTCGCGAGCCAAAAAAGATTGGGAACCACTGCAGTAGACCAACAAGCTATGATTCGAATTCTGAGCCGTGAAATTATATAGAATTCTGGTTTGTGATTGAGAGAAAAAGTCAATTTACCATCAAGCCTGACAACTAATGGAACTTTCAATTGCAGTTCTCGACAAGCTTTTGTGATTCCTTTGGCTATAGTTGCACAGTTAACAATTCCAGCAAAAATATTGACTAATATGGCTTGGACCTGGAATAATAATGTACTAGTTAGCCATATTGACATAGGTAAAGTAAATCTAACTTTCAAAACAATATGCATTGGCTTGTCCGTCATTGGGCCTTATGAAAGAAACCCAAAACACAGAAACCGTAAATTTCTCATTTATTTTATTTATTTAACCCTTAAACGTTGTTTGTATATGATTGTACCCAAAAGTTTCAGTAATGTAGGACGCTTCGAACAAAATGTTCTCTTTGAATTATGTTCTAAATGATATGGGTTGTATTTTTGGCGTCACTCTGTAATATCAAAATAGGTCATACAAATATTTCTAAGAAAAACTAGACAGAATTCATATTTTACTCAAATATTCAAAACTAACATTTGGATCTGAGGTAATAATTTTGAATGCATGATAAACTTGATCTTCTTGAACTCCTCCACCAAGATCTAGAAAATTAGCAGGACTTCCACCATGATGTTGAATTATGTCCATGGTTGCCATTGCTAATCCAGCACCATTGACTGCAAAAAAGATGCTAGTAAGTTTAGGGATAAACCAATTAAATTTTTTTACTTCATTCAAAAAACAAAATAATACATCCAAAAATGATTCCATTCCACATAAATAATATAACGACTGCCGAAAAGGAAGCATATACATTAATATAAGTTACATATTATACAGGGTGTCCATAAAGTCTCTTTACAATTTCATTCAGTAGGTAAAATTCGCGATAACTACATTAATTGAAACTAATTAACCGTGAATTGTTTATAATTTTTCGACTCTTGTTTTATTATTTTATCATTTTTCGTTTGTTGACTTCAATAATATTAAATAGTGAATACATAACTGATGGAAATTCATTAGAAAAATAACAAGGTTTATTTGTGGAGGTACTTCTATTACAAAGTACCTACCTAAACAAGCAATGTTTCCATCCATAGCAATGTAGTTTAAATTATGTTTAGTAGCTTCTACTTCCTTAGGATCGGTTTCTGTTTTATCATCCATTCCAAATATTTCTTCTTGACGAAATTCTGCATTGTCATCGAAGTTGATTTTGGCATCGAAGCAGACAACTGAAAAATATTTGATGACATCTAACATGAAGTATTTATTTTACTGTACATTTAAAACAATTGAAATTTCCAACAATTCGGAAAAGATATTTATTATTATTCTTTGTTTATTTTTTGTGCTGGAACATAATGTGACAAAAGAAACATATCTGACCGTATTACTGATACTATACCCAGTACTTTCGTGGTATGCATACCAGGTTAGGGTTAGGCCATAATTTTATTCAGTTTCCTTATTTCAGTTCTATTACGATTTCGGGGACTGTTTGGTATACATACTTCTGGAGCACCCTATACCCAAATGATTGCTTATAATATAATTATATTAATATAGGTATATTTATAAATATATTCAGCATATTCCTATGGTTCATGAACAATGATAGGATTGAAGTTGTTGTGCAAACCTATCCTTAGAATGTCGTGATAATCAGCGAACCCATTCTTGTTTTAGACATTAGATAACCGAAGAAAATGAGTAATGTGCATTTCAGCATTATATTTGATGCTTCCAAAGATATCTATCAAAAAAGTAGCTTACGTAGTGACAACATTTGTAGACTAAAATGGACTTTTACCTTGTTCTTTTTATCATTTAATCTCATGTTAAGTTCTTGTATCATCATAGAGCTATGCGGGCGGCATGGTTTTCTGACCCATTGTTCTCGAGTTGGATTCAAAAGAGAACCTATTCTTAAAATTTTTAATCCCATCACTGGTCACGAGCTTCTATGACAGAGGTCAGGAACTCATGGCTCTTTTGGTGACGGCATATGGCTCCCAGAAAAATCCAATATTCTAAGGCTAAGCTTACTATTGTTACCAGATTTCTCTTTTATAGTCAAAATTGGCAGAAAATTTCCCAATACGTTTGAGAACGAGTGCTTAGCGCATGTCCATGTTCTGTGAGAAAAATGCCAGATAGGCATTGTACAAAACTATGGGATTTTGGAACATATTTTGTGATATCACGAAGCGATAAGAGTCGCGGAGCAATAAAGGAATAAAAGTATTCCGTCCGTTTGTACTGTTTATTTGTATTATATAAAGAGGACTAGCAAATATAACTTTTTAGAGTGCTACGGAGATGCCCAAAAGAAAAAATGTAACGAGTATCGTGGATTTCAACTTGTGCTGCATGTGAGCTGTCATTCAAGGCCCTCGGCGACAACATGCAGCATCAGTCGTATTAATTGTATATTGACATTGTATGTTTTAACTGTTGAGTAGAAATTTGAGACGAGATTAAGTGTTTTAAAATGTTATATGACTCGCAACGAAATGAAATTGAAAATATGTACCTTTCATGGCTCTCTTGACCAAAAAGGTTCCCGACCCCTGTTCTATGACCTTCACCATTTGCTACTGACCAACACAAAATGATGATTAATTTTTTTTTTTTCAATGTCTTTGTTTTATAAGTGCTGACGCTGTTTGTGATGATAAAAATCTCTCTATCTCTCCATTTGTTACCAACAATTGTGAGTTGGCATGTGATTTCAGTCATATGACAAGTGAAATCACATCTCAAAATAGCTTATTCGCAGAATTAAATTTCAGTTTTTGATTCAATATGCTTAGGTCCTAAATTCATACATAAATAACTAAGACTCCAATTTACAATACCATTTTGCCATGCATGAAAAGGCAAGGTAATGATCAAACAAAAATTGTGATACAATTTACATATTTATACAATGGGAACATTTGCACTTTTGCTTAGTGTTTTAGCCATTTTGCCAAAGTGAATTTCAAATATTCAAAATAGAATAACCAGGGTTGCTCCTAGCAACAAACCTCTTCCATCAGGAGTTTCTCCGAAAGGATTGATTTCGACTTGTGTTGCATCAACTTTAACAAATAAATGATATAAAGATTTGATTTGATTTGCAGCTTCTTCCTGTTTAGATCCAGTAAATCCTAAATTTTTTGCCATTTCCATCGCTTGTTCATCTCGAATTCCATAGATAATGTCAATTGGTTCCTAAGATAAAAATATTACTATTAGATCAAAGCATATAGATGGGATTTTATTTTACATCACACTTACAATTCATCCTCCATACGTCCTGTTCAAGCACCTACTGATATCTCGACAATATGCAAGAAGCTATTATTTTTGGAAGGACCAGAATCTTCCCGGTTCGGCATTGCCTACTTAATGTATTACACCCTGGGCAAGGATTTAAACAAAGAATGTGTAATCTGCAATGCCAACACAGTTAAGTCTAATGCTCTAATCGCTAGGCAATCATGAGCAATATTTCAAATCAATTAAGTCAAAAAGGCGTATTTCAAAAATTCATCAAGATTACAGTTGTTTATTCGCCTATAATACATTGCAATCATGGTTTCTGTTAAATCTCTCAGAGAAAAACGAGGCATATGTCAAGATTCTGCTTTAAACAAATCTATTTAGAATATTCAATATAAAATTATAGAATTCAAAACTATTCTAATACGGACATTTCGTTGTCAGGGATTATACCTGCAAAACAGGATAAGTCACTTGACATAAATGATAATCCTGAGCAGACCTCGGGAATGACTGATGAATTGTAAGATTGCTGCTGGACTGGATTGCTCAATATCACAAAACCAACCAAGTCTTTTTTGCATCTTAATCTAGATCAGTGGTTCTCAAACTTTTTAAGTCGTGCCCTTTTTAAGAATTTGTCGAGTCTCGTGCCCCACCTCAAAAATAACTACCGGTAGCTAACAATAAGCTACAAATAACAGACAGTAAAGCCAAAGTGTGTTTAATTCAAAAAACACGTTGAAAATTCGTGGATGGAACGTAAATAATGAAATAAATGAAAAGTTTTGAAATGTAAATATCTAAAATGAAGCGGACAAGATCAAATCTAACAAATATTTTTATTTTTATTAGCTTCAGCCCCCTCAAAATATTGGCTCCACCCCCTCCACCCATTTGAGAACCACTGATCTAATTGCTGATTAGCTAATCCCATACATAGTCAAACTGGACTGATAGCCATACAGGAGGACATGTACCATCTGAATAAGCTGTCATGTTCATTTTTTGCTCCTTACGAGTGATATAAAAACGATGAATAGCCTATAAAGTGTTAAAAAAAATTGATACTAAAATTTTTTTGTATTCCAATACCTTGAATATTAAATCTGGTGTTTTCTCAGCAACTTCCTCAATATCCATTCCACCCTGTGGACTGCCAACCATCACTGGCCCATTATAAGATCGATCCATTAAAATAGCAAAATAGGTTTCCCTCTCAATATCCAAAGCCTCTGCCACCATCACCTTCATAGAAATTCAATAAGAATCCATATTATCTAAGAACAATATTCAAGATTGATAAAAATTAATTGATAAATGAAATACAAACATGAGATGACATAGATTCATGGATTTTATAGAAAGATATAATAGCAGTCAAAATTTTGGTTTTGAAAAATACCCATTAGTTACCTTCACCACTTTTACACCATCTTTTGCTGTTTGTTTTGTAACAAGATTGTACCCCAACATATCTTTACATAATTGTGCGACTTTTTGAGGATCTTTCGTTAAATGAACTCCTCCTTTTAATCCACTGGAAAACTGACCTTTCCCTCGACCTCCTGCCAGAATTTGAGCTTTCAGAACTAATTCATTAGCACCTTTCAGCACTAAATAAAAAGATATGAGATTTTAAATATTGTACCATACTAACCCCATGTACTAACTACAGGGTGACCTCCTAAAACAGCGTTTTAAATTACGTATAAAAGAAAATGAGGAAAATTTATTTAACACCTGAACTCCTGTTTGTGTATGATTGACAGTTTTTGGGTCACCCTGTACATATGATGTGAATGCTTTGTAGGTACTGAGGCACATCCGTACAGAATATTGCTGAGTACCTATGGTCTGAGCTTGGCAAATGTGATTTGCTGGGTTTGATGTCAGGATAGCTATTAGCATAGGACTTGTTTCGAGTGATTGATACATAAATATATTTTGCGGACATCCATTTACTTGAGTTTCAATACTCAAAACTTTTTTTACTTGTGGCCCCCTGGAAGCCTATGGCGAGGGCCCAGTCTGAGTAACCCCGAACTGAATTAACATGTTTAGCAGAAAACCATAATAATATGAGACTTATTTGTTACAAAAATAGCAATATAATTTGATTATTAAGATTCCATAAATATTTTTCAGACGTCTTAAATAATGTGCTGATTTTACAAACAAAACTGTAAATGTTAAATAAATTCAGTGAAGAGTCTAATCCAGGAATAACTATAGAAAATTAACTTGGATTAAAACCTACTTAGGCCTTTTCCGATTTCTGCAGCTGCTTCTGCATTATCAGTGACATCAAATTTTTGAACGTTGACTCCAAATCTTTCCATCAACTTTTTACTTTGATATTCTTGCAGATTAAGATTCCTTCGACTGATGTATGTTGTCGATGGATACTGTAAGAAAATAAATCAAAATATCCTCATTATATGAGGACGTAAGTACCGGTAACCAAAAAGTCAAAAAAAGAATGCTGTACAATGACTGGCACTCAATTAGAAATCGCGAAATAATTTTGTTAATTACGATGCACAACAAATATTAGGGCACTGACCACTATGAATCAACGGCTGCTACTAGCCTGGAGCCTTTTGCTCAACAGAGAGATTGGAAAAAGTTAGTTTAAAAATAGTTCATTAACTTTTGTATGAACAAACCTGGGTTTTCATAATAAGATGGGAGTACTGTGAGTAACTGAGTACACTATCGAAAATAATAACTTGCATTTTTAATTGTAACATTACAATACTACACTATACATGTATATTTACTAAGTTTTTTCAACAGTAAAATATTTGTTAAGTTAAGATTAATAATTGTATAAGTTGATTAGAAAAGAAATTTGTATATTTGCTTTGATAAATTTAACCAATTCTGAGATAAAACAATGTTCAATTTGGCCCACGCTACATTCCATACAGTTCAATTTTATTGCTCCACAGAGTATATAAAATAAATCTTTGGAAAAAAGAATGTTACACCTATGTAAATGAAGCCAAGATAAATTACTGGCTGTAATTCAATGGCAAACATGTAATATAGCTATCTTTTTGTATAATTCAGTTTATTCGGTGGGTTAGTTAGAACTAGTAAAATAGAATCTGAATGCTTCATTATTAATTATAATTATGACAACTCAACAAAATTTGGCACAGCACCAAGAACACTCTTCTAAATTAGCCAAAATCAGCTTAAACATTGAAACTGCAATTTAAGAACTTACTTAAAATATTATGAAATAATAATGGTTATATTAAATTTACACAAATATGCTGAGCATGATCTAAGGAAGACCAAAACGACAAGTAGTAATACAGGCTTTCTGGTCCAAAAAGTGGGTGTGTCTGATACCGGACATTCGATTCGAGCACCAGGGTGAAATAAATTGGGTAGGAAATGTTGGACCAGAAAGTTTTCAATCTTTCAAATAATTGTAGCTCACTTCATATCATTTATTCTACAAGGTATTGTTCGTAGCCAGATGCATGGATAAGCGTCGTAAAAAAGTATCTCACCTGGGAATTCACTCGAGTAAAAACTTGTCCGCATCTGGTGGCTCGTTTCAGAGCATGTCTGAGAGAAGACATTGTAAAAATAACTACTCAGTATAAACTATTTACACGGTAATTATTGGATGTGATCTAAAGCAAGAAATGTAAAATGCAATAAAAGTCTCAATATTTGGAACAACAAACATGTATGTGATGATCTACTTTATTAATTCATTGATCTTTAATAATTAATATGTCGGACGAAATCAAAAAAGCCCACTTGTTAGTCCAGCAAGGTCTAAGGTCAAGAACGCCATAGACATGTACAAACAATTTATATATTTGTTATTCAGTTAGAAAACGTTTATATTCATCTTCATTCAACAGATCCTTCAATTCATCATTATCCAAGACCTCCATTTTCAAAATCCACCCTTCTCCCCTTGCAGATTCGTTAATCAATTGTGGTTCATCCTCCAGCTTCTTATTTACTTCAACAACTTTGCCGGATACCGGAGAATATAGATCACTAGCCGCCTTGACGCTCTCAATTACAGCCATCTCATCGCCTTTAGAAAATTCAGTTTCGATAGCAGGAAGCTCACAATAAACAAGATCACCAAGTTGATCTTGAGCATGTTCTGTGATACCAATGGTTCCTATACCATCTTTCACATCTATCCATTCATGTTCTTTGGTGAAATATGTCGTAAGACTTCTGGATGAAATGTGTAAAGAGCGTTTGACAAATCCTACTGAAGTGGATGTCAATGGCTGATTGAATTTTCTCTGCAATATGTTTTTACTCACAATCAGAACTCGCTTTGATAAACCAATTCGAACCAATCTTTCCATAATTTCAAAGCAAGCATAAAAATCTGTGCCAGGGGGCACCGGCTAGTGGACTAAAATTAATTACACTTTTGCTATAAAATGTTTGAAAATAGTCTCTTTTATTAATAATTATGCAATGAAAAGTATATAGCATACCTATGGAATATTCGTTTTTTGATAAGAAAATTCCCTCACATTATCAAAAACAAGACATTTCTGGATGGGATTTCTATATTATCTAAGAGAAGAGGAAAGCTGATAAGACAGCTCAATCATATAGCAAACCATGGCCTCTCATCCAATTACCAGTCCATCCATGTATGGAAATAGCAATAGGTACCCAATTATTAATTACCTATGAATGAACTTCTGATAATGGTGGTTATTTTTAAGCACAATACACATCATACACTTGTTCATATTAAACATCACTTAAAATAATCTGCAGTGGTTATCTGTTTATATTAAAACAGACTAAGGTTGTTACCGAAAACGCCAACAACATATTTGGACAAAAAAAAAACGAGCATGTAAATTGTAACATATGTAAAATTTGGGAATAATGGTAAATTTTTTTAAAGAATCAAACAAGTGCTATGAACAAAGTATTGGAAATAAATTTACTTTCAAATTTGAAACAAAAAATATAAGAAAAAATCAACAAAATTTGGTGTGAGACCACAAGACTCAGGTCAATGCAATTGTCTTCTAGGAAACAACTTTGACTATTTCAAATTTGTAACAGATTGGTATAATAATGGAAAAAATCTGGTTTTTATCATGACAAACAACATTTTATGAAAACAATACATGGATTTACTTTGAGTCCTAAAACTGATGCAAGACAGAACAATATTTGACACATTAACACAACAAATAATAAGGTATTCAGTTTTGAATTACATGTCTTTTAATACTGTTGATAACATCTGGAATTACACAATTCATGATGACATTCATCCAATAAGTGAGATTTGACTTAAAGCGTTTGGGATTTGAGACACAGAATGCAAAAAAATATAACACAGCATCTCTTTCAAAACAAACAAGGGCAGAACATAGTGATATACTCTTTCAAACATTTTATGAAAATTTATTGCCCATGAAATAAATAACAAGCTTGCCAGCCTGTTGAATGTAGACAGGTACATAGGCCTACAAATGTGCAAAAATTAGTATTACCCTAGGCACGAAGGATTAGGTCAAACAAAGCATGTTTAAAATCGCAAAAGTGTGAAGATCTAACAAGAAAGAACAGTCGAAGTTATCGAAATTACTGTCATTCAACTTTTATAATACCTGGTGGAATATTTTCCTTTCAATAAAATTTTCAATTTTTATCGTTTCGACAAACACAATTTGTAAATACATTTAAATGCATACCTGAGAAGAATATCAATAGTTATATAACAACATTTCCAGAAAAAGTATTAGCTATTTTTAATAAATTACAGCCTTGATTTCTTTGATTCCCATTTAAAAATTCAAATGAAAGTTCTCTAAATGTACAACAAACCCTGCGATTTTTTATATCTTCCCTTAAAATACCATGTTTCCATGAGTGTCGAGCAGGTCCGTGTAATACAACAAGAGACCTTGCACGAAGTGGTATCTTAACTTTTATATCAGTTGGATCGATCATACCAATACAAGGGAGATTTTTCCAGTTGATAGAACTTCCCCCCCAAGTCATTGTCAACCATGAGTCAGATAGCAAATTCAAAGTTACAAGTCTTTCACCCCATAACCAGCTATCATCAAAATGAGGGTCAATTGCCGAACCTCTTTCAGGAGAGTATTCAAGATTACAGAGTTCAACTGTCTTAAAGTCATTCAAGCCATTGATTGAAGATAATCTATCCACAGCAAACTTACAATAAGAGGGCAGTCCAGAAAACGAAGCAATTTTACATTTCTGTTTTTTAAAATTAACTTTTGGACCAAAGTCTTGTTTTCTTCTACCGGATTGCGACAGTTTCCATATTTCACCATCTATGGCATTCACCAATGCAATTTCCTCGGAATGAGATATGAAGTCATTGATGACAATCACACCAGGAAATTCGAAAAAATGTGGAAGTTCGTTAATTTCATTTTGGGTGATTGTCGTCAGTTCTGCACTTTTGGTGGCATGATTATAATAATAATGTTTACATTCTCTCTGATTTTGTGAAAGAGTTTCAGATTTATGATTCATTTCACATTTGAGGCAAGTTCTTATGCCTACACAAGCACATTCTTCGTTTTTGTTTTCTTCCATTTTCGAATTTCTGTAATTGGCATGATATCTCCTGAGCTCAGTATACAACATCCATTTGATGTACTTCTACACTAATACAATTTATTTCGACAATCTGAATACACAACACTCAATGAAACAAACAAATCATATAACAGGAACGCCTATAAAGCCAAGAAAAATGAGTGGCACTTTTCACCGTGATCGAGTGAAAGAATGAATGTTCAAAAAGAACAGAACAATTTCCAAGAGTCTCTATAAGTGTTAATCCTATACTATACTATTAGGTACTACTACATGAGGACTGTAGGGGTAATGACTGCTACAATCTCAACCTACTGACCCAGCGATAAAAAAGAAATACAGCAATGTAATAATGAGAAACGTAGATCTTAACCCTCTGTCTCTATTATTTTATTATGATGTACCGATCCCCACGACTGAAAATTCAGAAAAATATTTGTACGATTGCCGTAAATAATGCAGTTAAAAATTCCGCTTATACTTTTCGCGTTTCTGACCTTGCGTGAAACGTGTCGCACGACTTGCAGAGGCAAGATGATCGTTCTTGACAGCGAAACAGCGTTTATTAGCATAGCAACTTAAGATAAGATTTCATTTCGATATATTCACAAAAAACAAAAACATATACCGGTATACACGAAAGATTAAGACGAAGAATTTGGAAAGTGAACAAAACCTAATAAAATAAGTTTAAAACGTATTAAACGCGTTCACTCACCGAAGAAGGAAGAAAACAAGTCACAAACACAAACAAATAAACATGAATATTCACGGCCGTCATTACTCAGGCGTTTCACTTTGTAATCAGGTTGTGTTCAATTTTTTCAAAAACAAAACTAAATGCCCGCTGTGCGTGTTATGCGGCATGTAAACAAACAATCCGAAAAATCCTAGAATGAAGTACGAATGCATGTTTCCGTTCCATGCTCAAAAATTACTTTACTGAGTAATCGCGTATATCGTTGAAACATATTAAATATATACTGTATTGTTTCATTCCGGCTGGACAGGGACAATATCGCAACATTTATGAATTTGATCTACTCGAAACCAACAACTTTGACCGTGTGGTAAACAATACGCACTTCTCTGTACCTGGGCGTCTTTTCTTCCATCGATAAAACCGGCGGTGAACGCATAAAACTTGATAAATATGGTAATATTTTCCCATTTACAGATTTATCCAGAGGAGAGCCATATTGCGAACCCCCTTTTCCTCATCCGGTAAAACAAAAATCGCCGTTCGACTATTAGTAAAAATTGTTTATTTTACCTGCCTAACCTAGTACATTTTTGTGAATTAATCTTATTTATCTGCGTTATTTTATCAACCAATGCATCTTTGCTCTATTCATGTCAATATTTCGTTGCCGGTCCATCAGTAGACTACATTTTTTTAATGTTACCTGTTCGCGGTGTAGAAAGGTTTTTAAACATAATACTAATACGCGGCAAGTTGAGTTGGCTCAATGAGAGTTATGAGAGAAACATCGCGGAATGTTAAGAAAAAACTTAAGAAATGTTCACGCAATCTCGTAATGCATTCCGGCAATCACAAATTTTCACCCTGATATTCTAACTTGTTTTCCTGTGCGGGTGTTTTCATTCAGTTTACATTCGGAAAATCAAAATATACCGGTACTTATTATTATAAAGTTGTTGTTATATATTAAAATGGAGTCAATAGAAACTACCAGCATGCTTCTTATGGGACGGGTGGAACAAGAGAAGGATATAAGTATAAAGAAACTAACTTTGGAGAAATTCTTAGACGAAGTGGAAAATAATTCTGCATGGCATAAAATATCAAGGTCATCTAATTTATTTAAAGGTGAGAAATTTCATTTTATTGGAGAGCATGTAAATCCTCTCCTATCCTAAATCCATAATGCCAATTTTTTATTCCTCATATTTATAGGTTAGGAAGAAAATTATTAGCTTTTTTGATTCCTGATTTTCTTTCAATAAACTTATAAGATATTTGTTAATTAATTAAATGATTTAATGTAAAATATCATTGTTTTGTTTTTTTAAATTTCTTATTCTGTACAAAAATACAGAAAAATCAAACCATAACCAGTTTCATTCAACCGATGCAAATGTTTTAATATCTTGTAGATTGCAAATGGATCAACACCAATCGTTCACTTGAGCTTGACGATTTTTCTGGAAAGTTAGTTTTGATGGACTTTTTCACATATTGCTGCATAAATTGTATGCACATTATGCCATTTTTACATAACTTGGAAAAAAGCCATCCAGTGACTTCAGGGTTTTTAGTAGTGGGAATACACTCAGCCAAATTTCCAAATGAAAAGGTACAATGAAATCTCTCAATATGTATTATTGTTACTACATTTATATCAAAAAACATTCTTACGGTAAGTAATAATATTACTTAATGACTTTTTTCTGTCAACCCAGTAGCTCACTAGCAAGAAAACTTGTGAGAAACATAATTTTAGCATTTATAAGATAGATACTTATTAAATTTATTGAAGAAGAAACTCATTATTCACGTTCACTTCATGATTTTCATTATTGTATCACTAGATGGATGAAAACATAAACAGTGCAATTTTTCGAAATGATATTCTACATCCAGTTGTCAATGACTGTGAAATTAAAATCTGGGAAGAATTTGGTGTGACATGTTGGCCAACTTTAATACTTATTAGTCCCAGCGGAAAGGTAATTAAGCATAATGTTTTTAATTTATATTTGATGTGATTTATTTTATTTTTGTTTCAATGTAGAGTTAATTCAGCATTCAGGTATATGCATTCCCTTTAATAATATATTTATGCTGGAAAAGCAATACCAGTGAGCTACATACAGCATTCATTTGTGGTACATTGTTTGTCGTATGAATATGAAATAAGGAATAGACCCTATTCATTGAAAACCCATCCTACGCGCAAAAAGAAAAGTGATGTGAAAAATTTTTTTTCAACATTAGCTCTTATGGGGACTGTGATCACCAGAGCAGAAATTTGCATTTTATGTCATTTTCTAGATATCTTTCATTGTATACGTGAGCAGTTTTGAGGATAGAATATTTTTTACATCATTTTTGATATTTTTATTATGATAAACATGGTCAAGATTTTTAATAATCGTTCATTGAAATTTTAATGAGCGCGGTGTTTCCGATGACGTCATTCTCCCTAGATCATGAGATTCTGCCAACGGGCCGTGCTCTGTGGGATATGTGCTCCAACTGCTTGTGATACCAGAATACTGGAATACCGGTACCGGGACCACAACTGGCGTTCAACGAAAGACCTATTTTGGTTTTAATTGGATGTTATATATTTCATGAATTCTGTATGTACATTTCTGGTACACCTTTCAAAATCCAATAGCCTAATTCAGTTCATATGTTGACGGTACCTACCATGTACGGTACCTATCCCAAAATTGGTGATGTTCAGGGCTGGATTTAGACCATGAGAGGCCCCTTCATATTTTTGAGCTCAGAATTTCTCTCTAAACAACACCACATTTAATTGCTTAAAATTCAAAAATATGAAAGTATTAAACTTTTCATTCTCCCCATTCATGGATGTGAATTTTTAATTAAAAGGATGATAATTTACTTGAGGCAGATTTGCTTTCAATTTCTTTGATCAAACAACCGCTACAGCCATACGTTAACATAGAAACTTCCAGCAGAATGCGCATAATAATAATTTCCCTTATTATGATGCAAACGACGCAATAATGGCTGTTTACAATGTGGTTGAAACTAGTTGTGTACAGAATTTTCTACTCTGAAAAGCTTGATATATATATATACTTTTTGTAGGGTTTAAACTTGTCAAGTTTTCAAAAGAATTACAAACTTTGAAACCGAATTTCGAGGCTCTAGGTTTCAGCCGGCCTAGCCTATTGGTAAATTCAGCCCTGGTGATGGACCCTACAGCAAATTTCTGGCTCTAATCACTCAGCAGATTGAAATAAATGGTTTTCAGCATTTATTAGCAAAGATAGATATTTTAATTAAACATATAGTTCAACTTAAAGCCTGTATAATGATATTATAAATATATGTCCCATTATTACTGCATTGTGAGAAGGCTTTCCACACTATCAAGTCTATAAGGTTTTAGCATCTTCCAATGTCTCAGATGGAAACTTCAGTCTTCATTTCGCATATTCTTTTCATTAATGCCATTAGCATTTGAAGCTTGACTGATTCCAATGTACCTTTTCCATTGTTGTTTAATGTAATATCCTAAACGTGACTTCAAATTTTTTTCTCACTTCAATCATCGCATGTTTGAATACCCGAGCTGACTTCTACTGATTTGTTATTAATTTACAATTTTTTTTATAAATTAACTGTCGTACTTGCTAAGTGTCCACTAAGTGAAAATCTACAAAAAAAGCAGTGTTTAATAATGGACTACATTTTTAACCGAATCCAAAAATATTCCGTAACTTAGTCAACCCTTCCTCCGAGGAGTTTTTGTTAAAACATCTTAATTAACTGTTAATCTTGATAGCAAACATGGTGGGCAGGGGGGAGTTGACTGTGATGGTCGTATCGCTCCCCAGTCTATACCGAATAACTGTGTGTTTTGTATATGATTTTTATTGATTCAATGCTTGTATTCTGGTTGACAAAATAAATCTCCCTCTCGTATTCAGTCATGTTTTTTTAACCTAGTTATGAGACCGGTATTGTACCATTATAGGTTGGAGATATTCATCTTTTTTGTATACCGGTAGCGTACAACTTGTCCTGCCTATTGGCAAGATGGCCAACATTTTTGTTCGTAGGCCTATTTCAGTATTTACTAAATAATTTAGTTTTCACCTCTTGCAGACTTGGTACGGTACTGGTAGTTTAAATAACACGTCAGCATGCCTTCAGTAAATGATTGCTAGCTGTACAGGTATATATGCGTAAAACCAGTAAACAAACGTGATAGAAATGGTACGGGTTATAGATTGTCAATGTTAAACGCTTCCAGTACCGGACGGACACGGACCCAAAGCGACATTAGGGCCGCATCTGCAGCGCATATCCCACAGAGCACGGCGCGTTGGCAGAATCTCATGGTCTAGTGATAATGACGTCATCGGAAACACCACGCTCATTAAAATTTTAATGAACGATATCAAGAATCTTGACCATGTTTATCATGATAAAAATATCAAAAAAGATGTAAAAAATATCCTATCCTCAAAACTGCTCACGTATACAATGAAAGATATCTAGAAAATTACAAAAATGCAAATTTCTGCTCTGGTGATCACATTTCCCATAAGAGCTAATGTTAAAAAAAAATTTTTTACATCACTTTTATTTTTTGCGCGTAGGATGGGTTTTTAATGAATAAGGTCTATTTTGAGAGATGTTGTGAAGAGGTTAGATCAAAATTCAACAGCTTCACTTTTATTCACCTTCAACTTCCATTAGTTTTTATTCCTATTTCAGGTGCTTTTCTCTATACCAGGAGAATCTCATACATCTTATGTAGAAATGTTTGTTGACGTGTCTTTAACATTTTATAATTCAAGAAATGCTCTTAATAAATCCCCACTTTCAAAGTTGACATACCTGGACAACAGTAGCATACAAACTGGAACTGACAAAACGAAACTACGTTTTCCTGGCAAGATTGCGATTGATGATGCAGGTAATTTGAATCTGCGGAAGTCCCCATAAAAGCAGCCACAAACATCTAACAATATGTATAGAGCTTCTATTATTTTGAAAGGACTGATATCTTTACGGTTTGTCATTGCCTACCCAATATATTATATCTTGGGTGAGGAGGGGAATTAAATTAATTAAAATTTCCATTTTATTTTCGTCTCAGGTGAAAGAATGGCAATATCTGACAGTGGTAACAACAGAATTATCATATCATCATTAAATGGTCCAATTTGTCACATTATTGGTGGCGAAGGTTCTGGTTTCGTTGATGGAATTTTTGATAACGCCAAGTTTAATTCACCTCAAGGTATCGCATGGCATGGAAAAAATACAGTGTTTGTGGCCGATTGCAACAATCATAGCATCAGAAAGGTAATGCTTATATTTATGAAACACTGTGTTAGATTTGATATTATTTTAATAGCAAAATTGAATAGAGTACATAATCTTGGTCTATTATTTCAACTTTCTAAGGCTAATCTGTTTGAATATCTTGGCGAAATTAGATTATGAAAGTTAAATTTTATATCTTCATCAACTACTGGTGGTTTGATTTTGGGTAATTCCATTAAAGTTTATTTTCATTGAGTTTCATGAATTTCAAGTGTTATTAAATCCTGTTCTAATTCTGGACAATATTAGATGCAATGTCAATATATCTAAACTCAATTTTATATAAAGTGTACTGGTAATTGTTTTGCGACTTTTATATTTAGTTGGCTTGATAATCCCATATTTTGTCATGGATGTGTAGTTGAGCATCATACATCTATGACTCAAAGTTGTGATGTGGTAATCTGTAGTCTTGCTCAGGACTCCAGTGTCAACTGGCTCCAATCACAAATTATTAGTGAAATTTGGCATTAGCAAGCAGGCTTCAGTTGAAGCAATTCCACTTTGGAAGCTCTGGGCATTTCATAATTTTGACTCAGGTTCTCTCTGTCCTACATATACCGGTATCAATATCTTTTTACTTTCAACAACAAATAGGAACACTGTGTACATTTAGATTGATTTAATAGTGAAAAGAGTTGTGACAGTAGCTGGGACTGGTGTTCAAGGGCATGATTTAGAAGGAGGTGCACAGGGATTAGAACAGCCAATTAGTTCACCATGGGATGTCATTGTAGGAGGAAGCCCTCGATTTCCAGATGGACGAAGTATTTTGTATATTGCAATGTCGGGGTCTCATCAAATTTGGGCGTTTTTTCTAAAAACAACAGACTATCAAAAAGGTATGTAAAAACTTCAACATAGTTAGTTTCAAAACTTGTTTCAGGTCTAGTATAAATGGGTCAAAATGTTAGCAAGATATCACCCAAACAGTACTGCTGTGATGCTGTTTTCATTTATATACAGGGATTCCATACCGTCCTTATTTCTAAGATTTGTCCTTATTTTCGACTTATTTTTAGCTTGCTTCCTTATTTTTGGCTTGCGTGTCCTTATTTTGACTTCGTAAAGAAAGCTTTGTGTTGTTTGTTTTATCGTCAAAACTTTATTGTGGCATTAAAAAAACAGCACAATCTTATTTGGAACACAAAGAAGCAAGGCACAGATAGGCATGTAGCATTGTTAGTGTGGCGATCCTTAGGTTTTGTCGTGGTGGTGGTTATTTTAGCCTAAATTTAAAAATGAGCAAATGTAAGAACATTTTTCGTGATGAGTACGGTGAAGAATTAAAAGTTAAAACGAAGCTTGAAGGGTGAGTGCTCCGTACACTGTGACGTCTGTAATTGTGACATTAACCTGGAGGCCATAGTAGAGCCAAATATTTCTGCTCACAATGCAGAAATTTTTTCAGTCTGCCTTCTTTTGGGTTGCAGATCGATGGAATCTCTGTTTATATGTTTGAACTTCTTGATTCACATTCAACTCAAAAACTCTATTTTTTGTTTTCTTAGTGTTGTTAAATCTGCTTTGACATTATCTTCTGCTTAACTGATCACCAAGAGTTCTGTAGACTTCTCTAAAATAATTTAATTTGCTGAATTTGTATGTAAGTACTATTCATGTGATACATCACAGGAGCTGAACTAGAAATGGGAACTTGTATTAGATATGCCGGGAATGGAAAAGAAGAAAACAGAAACAACAGTTATCCACACAAGGTAGCTATATATAATAATATACCCGTATGTATCATGGTAGATGGGTTAGTTAAATGTGATTAATGGACACTTATTCACCACATTATTAAAAGGACGCATTTTCACATATACTGTTGTGAGCAAACTATTAGAAAAATATCGCTATGAAATGAATTAAAATTTTTACAGGCGGGTTTTGCCCAGCCAAGTGGGTTATCTTTAAATGAAGAATGTCACACATTATATGTAGCAGACAGTGAAAGCAGCACCATCAGAAGAATAAATCTTACAAATGGAGCTGTTCAGGGCCTTGTAGGGGGAGACATCGACCCCACGGTATGTTTGTTAAAAATATATACCGTATAAACAGTAAAACAAGTTTACTTATTATTTGATTGGCATGGCCTTGTTTAAGGCACTAAACTTACATTTTCCAATTTTTATCAATCTCTTGCTGAGACCTGTTCATATGTATATAATGAACGGCCATTTTTTTTTTCTAAGTTCGACTGTTAGTGTTAGCCAATTGAAATTTTTACTCTTTGTTACATCAGTGTTATTTAAATAATTATAATGAGGTACACATATATCAAAAATGCTACCGGTGCTTGCAATCATTTTTATTCATTCATTTTGTTCATTTTTAATGATTTTTGATGTTGTTTAGAATCTCTTTTCATATGGTGATATTGATGGTAAAGGTAGAGAAGCAAAACTTCAACATCCTATAGGTGTAGCATGGGATCATAAGCGGGATTTATTATACATCGCAGATACATATAATCATAAGGTAAAATGTTCTAAAATTGTAAAATTGATGTGGGATAAACGATATTTTTAATTCATGGATAAATTTTAATTCAGGGAGGTTGTTTCTCATCTCTACTTCCTCGGATTATAAATGTATCATGTCATGCCATGAATATATCAACTATATTCAACATTTTTCTCTGAAATTTATATTAGATGGTAATTTGCTTCTGAATATCTAATATCAATCACAAACGTAACACAGTTTTGAAAAAGAAATATAGGTGAAAAACAGAATCCATGTCATTTGGAGCATTATAGAGGAATACAATCATACACAAACAGAAGTTCAAGTTTGTATTTTCTTCATTTTCATAGCAGTAATTAGGAAATTTATGGGTCCTGTTTTTTCAGTCACCCTGCATAAAAAATTTAAGATCTGAATTCCTGTTTTTTTTTTCAGATAAAGATTCTCAATCCGAAAGAAAAAACATGTAAAACCATGGCGGGTAATGGAAGGGAAAATTTGATACTCAATGAGCCAAGTGGGCTTGCATGCGATCCAGCTTGTGAGAATTTGTATATAGCTGACACGAACAATCACAAAATTAAAGTTATTTCACTGAGCAGTGAAGAAACAAATTCTGTAAGTTGTCATGGTAGCAGTAAATCTAGTTGACACTTGAATTAACAATAGGTCCCGGTTCTGTCAGGACTTCAAGGATTTGTATGGTATTGGCTAGCTAAGATTGGTACACTCTGCTTAGCCCTAATAACACCTAAACCAATGCAAATTCCAGCTGCGATGCAAAGACTCCTATCCTACTAATATGAGCGCATTTTGAAAGCGGCAACTTATGCCTATCATGATATGCCTTTTGTAATAGTGAAATATGAGTAAAGCTGCATACATGCATCTTGTTAAAATAGCTGTCATAGTACTCAACTTTAATAGCTACTTTTTCACAGTCTTTTTTTATGTGAAATCATAGCAAAGTTATTGCTACTATAAAATTTATTGTTGCATTTCCTCAAGGCTTTGTTTCAATTCAATATACGAATTTTCCTACATTTCAGGTTGATTTCAATATTGAAAAGTATTTTGAAAACCTTTCAATTGATGAGTTTGATGGACCAATAAAAATGACAGTGAAACCGTTGACCAGTAAAAAAGTCAATGCAATTATATTGGATCAGAGAATTGTCAATTACAACGGAACGATCAATATCAGTGTTACATGCCCTGGTTTTCATCTGAATCCAGATGCTCCGTCTGTGTGTCAAATAAGTTACAGTTTTGACAAAAGTCCTAACTTAATTTATCTTCTTCAGTCTGAAAACTTTAACATATCCGGAAAAGGTGTTTATTCATTTAATGTTAGCAAACTCGAGCCATTGCCGAAAGGCATTAATTCTATTCAGCTTAACATTTTCATTGAAAGTGTTTTATACTACTGCCAGGATGACTCTGGCATCTGTAAGATGCACAGTTATAAGGCTATACTGCCTTTGCTGGTTGACTCCAGTTCTGAGGCAATGTCGACTGAAGTTACTTTGGCCATTTCTCAGTAAATACCATGTAAATGGCATTACCCTTTGTACCAATTTACCCCTTTAAATGCACTTATTAACAAATTTTTGCCATTTAACATTGTGGTGTTTAAATACCTATAAATTGCCATGCCAGCTGCCAATACTAACTATAGATTGATAGATAATTCATTCTATTATTACTTGCACATTAACTTACCTAATGATAGTCATGTTTTTCAAGTGTTACCTTTTCTTTTGAATAAAACTTAAAAACACCGTCTTTGTTATGTTAGTATCCAATAAAAAGATCGCTCAGAAAATAATTTTCTTGAGAGAAATCTTCAACAGTTGTCAACTGACACTTCGCACATTTATGATTTTTTTTCAATTATAAATTTTTATATTTCAAATGCTGAATACAATTGTCAAATACTACAAATAGGCCGCGAGCCGAGGCCCTGAAAAACGCCTAGAAAGTGAGTTTCGTAGCGCACATCAGGTAATTACCTGAAAATGATTTTAAAATGTTCCTTAAAAATTTAGTAACAAATATTGCCTTGCCACTTCCAAAAGTTGCACGTTTTATGGAAAAGACGCTTTTACTGCAAGAAATATGTGCTACGATCTGTCCTATATTCTCTACATTTTCGGCAATGACTTCTGCATGTCGTAACAATTGAATCGAATCAGCTGTTAGCGAGCGGATGAATATTAGTTATTACTGCTCGACCTTGCGTTGAGTTGGGCAGCCTTTCCATAGCCCTGTTTAGTTATTATTAGTTGAGTTATCCTAAGACGTTGTTTAAAAAATGTATAAGTAAGTTATTAAACACTTGCAGATCCTTACCACCGATATGGGCCGTGAGACGAAGCCTTGAAAACGCCCAGAAAATGAGTTTCGTAGCGCACATCTGGTAACTAAATAAATTCGTCAATTTTGTGTGAAAATGAACATACTGAACTCATTACAGCTTGTTCCACAATCCTGATGCAAAATTGAATATAAGAGGTTCCCGGAAATTCAATAACCATAAGTTTACAACACATACATAAAAACTATGCAATTCGAGAGCCCTACAGCACACTAACACAAATGTATTCCAGTAATGTTTTTCCTACCAAAATCGGACTTCCTCAGTCAATCATAATTTAATAGGTAGATTACGAAAAATACTTTAATTGTGTGACAGGAGTCGCGAGTGACCTCGAAAGCAGCGACACCAACAACGCTGATTCACATTAGCGAATAAATTTTATGTAATAACCACAAGCAGTTTACAACAAGAACAGCATAAAAAGCTACATCCTTTTTATAGAAGCTATCAAACGTATTCATTTTTAAGCAATGAAGTCACAAATTAACATCGTGAGCACGAAAACACAAATAAATCAGTTATTTCTCACTTAGAAATTTAACGGAAAAGTCAAGAAAATTAAATGAATGTACAATATGTACATAACATAGTGAACAGAAATATAACAATTAGTCTTTTTTCAGTTTATGTGGTTATGTATTTGAACAAAGGCAATATTATTTCTAGAAACAGAACTACGACACTAACAAATGTCCGAAAAAAAAATGATAGGCCCTACTTAATAAATCAACTGCAATATCTAATTCACTTTCCTCTGAATTGTTTTCGAAATCCACTCTCGAAAATCGACTTTTCCTATATAAGTGTACTGTGATTTTTGCAGTACAAAAACAAAAATCTGTGCAATTTAAGTTGATTTTGGTACACTTGCATAAATTATTTTGACTATTTTTCTTACACTTGCAGTTTGCCAACTCAAGAACTGATTTGAGGGCCACATGCTTCTTCAGTGAATCCTTATGTTTGTCAGTGTTAAATAGACATGCCCTGGCCCCTGGTATCATTTACATTCTTCATATCCCCATAGTCTACAGCAGGGGTTCCCAAATCCGGCCCGCGTAACAATTTAAAATGGCCCGCCGAACTTGAGTAAAACGATGTTGTTATGTCCTTACCACAGTTTAAGCATGTGTTTATCGCGTAACAATTCAAATATGCCGATATCCAATAATACGTACCGGTATTACCATGTTTCCCCAAAAATAGAACAGATTATTTCAATTTTCTTTCGAAAAATATACCTAGGGCTTATTTTCGGGGCGTGTCTTTTATTTTCATGAGTCAAAAAAAAATTACAAAGATTTTCAAATATAAAAAATATGAAAACCAATATCCATTTACTTAAATGCCACGTATTCCTCTTTCACACTTGTTAGATTAATCATTTACAACGTGTATGGGAGATTTCCTGCTATCGACTAGGTGCTACTGACTATACGTCTTATTTTACGGTGAGGCTTATATTATAATCATTCTTAAAATTCAGGCTGGGTCTTATTTACGGGATTGGTCTCATTTTCAGGGAAACACGGTAGGATTACAAAGAGCAGTAATTAAGTTATCAGCCATATAAGAAAGCTTACAGATGTCAAAGAAACAAACAAAACTAGACTTTACAAATAGACGTTTCCGGGATAAATGGTAGCTTTCATATTTTCGTATTGCAAAGAATCAAACTTCAGCGATTTGTCTTTCTTGCCAATGAAATATTCCAGTTCTGAAGAAATACATAAAGCGCCATTGTGAGTCAAACAAACAGATTGCAAAAAATGTCAAATGGAAGTGAATCCACTGAACCCCAGCTAAACCGCCGCGAACTTTCGGGCGCTAAACTCTTCCGGCCCGCAAACATTGTCCCGATTCTAAATTTGGCCCGCGTCCAATAAAGTTTGGGAACCCCTGGTCTACAGTGAACAAACAAATTCCTCAGCTTTATTTATTAATGCCTCATTAACCTCAAAAGATCTTCATAGTTGAGAAAAAATTAATTGAAAACCTCAATGAAGTCTCCAACATGAGTTTGATGGGCAGTTTCAATTGCAGAAAAGTGCTAAAGTATTTCAATATGAATAGCCCATCTAAGCTGTTTGCAACTATTATGATTCTCATATACCTATACTCTTCAAGACTTCTTGTTTAATCCATTTTAAAGCACTGATAGCAGCAGGGATTAGAGCCTGCGTTAGGTCGGATTGGTGAAACATTGCCGTTTTCTTTTATAGTACAGTATCTAAAATGAGGAAGAAAATCATATTTGGAACAGCATGAGTGTAAAAATACCACTAAATACTAACTAATACCTTGAATACATAATGCATTTTATCTGATGTACTCAATGAGCGTATATATGCTCATTGCATGTACTACAGTCCAGCAGTGTTTGCATACCATTACTAGACTATATCTCCACTAAATTTTGATATATCACAGTCTGAAATGCCCTATGACAGTATGAGTATGGACTATAGACTATATTTTAAAACATCAACTGTCTGTCTACAACTTGGTTTCTCACCTCTAAATCGTTTCCAATGTTACTTTCTTTTTTTCCATCCCGGCATAACTTATCATTGCTTCCCAGGTTCTTGTCGACTCTATGAATTTAGATTTAAACCAACCGACATTAGTAAAATTGATTATTTTCTTCTCTTTCACACAACCGTGCATTACAGAAACAGCCATTAATTTCTATTTCCAAATATGCTGTGGCCTATATAGTAGTAGTATAAGTCTGCTGAATAGTCAAGAAGAGTCATTAAATTAATCATAAACATTTCATGCAAGCCAGAAAATATCGTTGTTTGTGACCTATTATTCTAGGTCTAGCCTTTCTTGGAGTTACCGCACCGTACCTATTTATCAACGTGTTATGAGCTAGTGCTCAACTAAAATTGCTATTTATGGTAAGGATATACAAGTGTTTAATATCTTACCGTACTTATAGTTTTCAACACCTCTTTAGAATAGCTAAACTAATAATAACTGAAAAAAACTATGGAAAGGTTACTGAACGCAAAAGCGAGCAGTAGTAGTACATCTGATATTCATCCGACCACTGGGGATCCACCTACAGCTGACTAATTTGATTGTTACGTCATGTAGAAGTCTGCGTTTATTGGCCCATGATACCGGAAAAGCAGAGAAAATAGGACAGATGGTAACACATATTTATTGTAGTAAAAGCGTCTTTTTTGTAAAACGTGCAACTTTTGGAAGTGGGAACAAGCCAATATTTGTTACTAAATTTCTAAGGAACATTTTAAAATAATTTTCAGGTAGTTACCTTATGTGCGCTACGAAACTGAAAGATAAATGGCCTCGGCTCGCGGCCTAAAAAGACCCTATTTATTTGCATCTCTTCAGGGTAGTTATGAACGTTTTGTAGAGAGTTGCACTGTGAGATCCAAAACTATGGAATCAATATGTTTAACTCCTCTCAATTTGTTGTATAATCTTTCGCATGTAGTTCTGCCGACTCCATTTTTTTTTATCTCGCAGGATAAGATTTTCAAATTTCTTCTGGAAAAGAGAGACATAGGTGTGGCCAGGGAGGGCGGTGGCCCCCATTTTTTTTTTGAGAAGCTATTTTACAGCATCTAAAGTGGCGCATAAATTTGTATGTCTCTTTGTCAACACCATTTTTCTTAGGCTCACTATCTATAATCCTTCATTCAAATGAACCAACCGGGATGAATGAAAAAACTTAGACAGCGAAGCAAGTTTGTGGAGATATTCTTCAATATGTTATGTTGTTAGATGTCTGCTTTCATCTTCGGCAAAACGAGCCATCCTGTGGCGGCGAGGCACCTTGCACTTACCCAAAGTGTCTATAAGTGTTATAGTCACCTTGCACTCACCGTAATTATGCAAGACTCCTTACAACAGAATGGTATCAATTGAATTTTTGCGGCCGCCCAGACAGATATTCCAGCGTGGGTGAAAACGATGCCTCTTTTTTCAAGTGCAGTTTCAAGTATTCTGTGGCATCTGCAGCTGCCGCAAAACCATGGCGGTATTTTCATACCATGGCCGCTACGGCCAAACTCATGGCAACTGACTTTTTAGCTGCCACAAACCAATGTCGAGCTGCCGTCACCGCGGCAGGTGGGCCGTAAAGACAGGACTGTCTATTATGGTGACAAATATTGGGTAAGTTGGAACGTTTTTCTTATGGATACAGTTTTGATTGATTTGGGGTTAGGGTTAGGGTTTAAGTAGATATAATTCCACATGATCAATTAAAATCTGGTACATTAATTTGTGAATATACCGTTAATACTGATTACTGAATAGCGCTATAAAACCATGGCAAGAGCTGCCGCGGTTACCACTGTGAAGCTAGTAGCAAACCTTCTTCTAATTTTGCGCAGCGGTGCGTTAAATCTCGTTTTTGTGCTCATTGAAGCGCGATATTGCAGTTTTGTGCTTATTGAAGGGCGTTGGTGTAAATCATGGGCGAGTCCTAAATTCCAC